GATTTTCGATATTCTCGGCCTGGATTGAACGATCTAAAACGCGTTAATTTTCAGCCCTCGTGTATTTGGTGACGGGCGAAGGCAGGTATGTCTGCGTGAAGTGCGGATCGTCCTACAAGAACAAGAAACATCTTAAGAGCCACGTCGAGTATGAGTGTGGTGTAGAGAGAAAGTTTGAGTGCCCCGGTTGCGGCAGGAGGTTCAAACACAGAAAACACTTGAATAGGCACGTCGTTACCAACGTGTGCAAGATGATCTAATTTCATTTTGTTGTTATTGTTTATTTGCGGAAATATATGAAACTTACTGCCGATTTTTTAAATTACAAACTGTCTATCGTGACCTGCGGCGTTATGCATCTCTGCGAGAAGGACTAATGCTTGTAGGGATTTATAGTAAGGTTAAGATGGGAAAGTAGGGCAATCGACTAGCATCGGATTTCGAATGCCGCGATCGGTTAACGCTGATTCCTTTCAGGCGGTTTGGTTTGCAAGAACTGCGGTCGTCTTTACAAGGCTAAAACGTCATTGAGCAGACACCTCAAGTACGAATGCGGAGTGGAACCAAAATTTAAATGTCAGCAGTGCCAATACGCCTCCAAGCAGAAGATAAACGCAGTGACGCATATGATGATCGTGCATCGTATCCGCAAATGCGATATCAAATTCGATTTGTAGCGTTAGGCTCATAGTGTCCCGATCCCACTTCTGAATAGTAAGTAGTAATGAACGGTGCGCGTTTTTAGGAGCGCACGTGCTGGTGCAGATGTCGCTGAAGCACAAGCGGCGGTGCCACGGCTGCTACCAGGGCATTGTCGCCGCGTTCGGCAGGGACGTCGCCCAAAAACGTACCCCGAGGGTTAACACCACTTGCAAGGGATGCGGCAAATATTACTGTAATAGTTGTTTCACCACTGTTCATTTTAAATAAATAGTTAGTTGTCGTAATGGTTTCTTTTTACGTTAAATTCGTAGGGTGCGGGCATGGAATTGCGGTTTTGATCTTTGCTGATTCTAATTCTGACGCGTTTTAGCGCTGTGGGGGTGTTTTAACTGCGACCGGAAGTATAAGCATAGGGAGTCGAGGAACAAGCACATGAGGTACGAATGCGGCGTCGAGAAACAGTTTAGATGTCCCCAATGTCCATACTCAGGCAAGCAGAAGGTGCACCTGGTGAGCCACATGGCTAGGATCCACAACATTATCGTCGGCAACGAGTATTTCAGATCTCTGAACGATTTGACTGTTAGAATCAAGAAGTAAAGTTAGGTAGTTGATAAATGTTTCGTGAATAAAAACCACACATTGGCCCGGTGTTTCGCTGGATTTGTAAATACCGATTGTACATAAAAGATGACGCAATAAAACCTTTCATATTAACTCTCTCTTCTTCGCACGCGTGTCCGATCGCCACGTGTTTCATCGGGGCTGTGTTTTAGAAACCTTCACCCTGGAGCAGATAAACGCGATGATGGGAACCCAGTGCTTGTACGCGTGCAAGGAGTGCGGCAGATCATATAAGAGGAAGAGCTCCCTCTACAATCACTCCAGATGGGAGTGCGGCAAAGAGCCCCAGTTCAAGTGCACATACTGCCCATACAAGGGAAAACAGAAGATCCATTTCATTATGCACGTTATGGCCAAACACAAGGAGCACAAGCAGGAGGTGTTGCTAAATACATACAATAAGTAGTAGCGTTTTGACAGTTCCGTGTCTCACTTTATGAAATTCCACAGCTTTCTCGGTTAATCCGTGGATATGTATCTCGATGGGCGTATTTTAGATGGAAATGGTGCTAGGACCGAATCATTGGATCTATTGAATGCGTGCCTTTATATATTTTGTCGTACTTTTTCTTGCGTACCTTATCATTAGTTATCGACAGTACAACTTTATAATATTTATATCCATTTTTTGTGGTTGGGTTACATATGGACCGGTGTTCGTAGGTTTATAGGTTATCGTTAGAGTATTGGAACAAATATTTATTTTTATATCAATTTATATATTTTATACTTTTACACAAATATATATCGATTTTATTATGGCAGCAGTTTCCGTTTTCCCCACGGTCCTTGTATATACTCGACTCTATCCGGTCTATATCCCGCTTCTAATTTCACCGCAACTCGCTCTAAGTGTCCCGTTTCTTCCAGAATGGCTCGAATTCGACAACATTTTGGTACCGCCGTCCTTCGACAACCTCCTCCTGAACCCTGCCAACGCCGTTCGGTGTCAAAAGAAGGAAAACGGCATCACGAGAAAACCGAAGCTTTTGACTGACGATTACGTCAGGCCTGGGTATAGCCACGACTCGCAGTTTGCGTGTAGACACTGCGGAAAACGATATCGATGGAAGTCCACCATGAGGCGGCACGAGCAGGTCGAGTGCGGTGGCAAAGAGCCCACATTTAAGTGTCCGCGGTGTCCCTACAGGGCGAAACAAAAGGGAAACTTGGGTGTGCACATCCGAAAACATCACTCCAACGAACAAAATTATGGTGATACGAAGGACAAGATGGTCCAGGGTGTTAATATCAACAACAACAACACCGAACAAATGTGATTCGGCGCAAGTTTTTAAACATTATTTTTTGGTATCTCGCGTTTGGCCAACGGTGTACCGAAAAGGTTCTAGTGGCAGGAAAAGTGCAATCTATAATTGCTGAAAGCAATTGAAATCTATGAAAAAAAAATGGTGCCTTCAGAAAGCAATAATTACTCTATATTTATTATAAATTATATGTATACAATTATTAAGAATTTATATATTTATATACAGGTGGTTCCCGCGACGACGGCACATGCGGGTACACACAAACTTCGGTTTTTCTTTTGTTTTATTTTGTTGTTGTTTGGTCCTCTGTCGGGGAAACAAAATCGATATAGGTTTAATCCTTCGATGTACGATGATTGTTTTTTCGGGTTTTGGTGAATTTATTGAATAAAATATTGGTTTGACTCGCAGGGTTTTGTTTCTTCCCTTTCACCGCAAATCAGGTCACCGCGTTCCATTTTGTTTTCGTTTTAGGCCAGTTTTGATATCGAAGTAGTGGATCTCACCGCGGTTCAGAGGGTTCCGATAGTCACGATTTTATTTATCTCTTCCGTGTGTCGCAGGTATTCTGTTTCGTGTTTCTCACCGTTGCTTTGGTTGTTGCAGGTTGTCGCATCCAATGTGAACGCTGCGGCAAGTCGTACAAAAACAAAAACTCCTTAAAGTGTCACTTAAGGTTCGATTGCGGCAAGGTCAACGCTTATACATGCCACGTATGCGCTTACAGCTCCAAACGGGTTCAGACCCTAAAGAGGCACCTTCAAACGCGTCATAACCTCTAAATTTGTTTTTTTTTCAATTCGAGAGTTTACCGCTTGTTCGAAATAAATTTAAACGAAATGGGAAAAAAATTGTTCTGCCTGAATAAGTATTTTTTTTCCGTATATTGTCAGTTAATTTTATTTTCATTTTCAGCGTTTTACTGTCCTGTCTGCTATCGAAAGTATAAGACCAAGCAGAGCCTGTATTACCACCGAAAGTACGAGTGCGGGAAAGAAAAGTCGTACAAGTGCGCGTATTGCGACCACTTTTGCAAGAGGAAGAACAACCTCAAAGCCCATTGCTACATCAAGCACCCGGAAATGAGGGACAGCACCACCCCGTTCTACATAAACCTGTTTAAGTGACGTTGAGATAGTAATAAAATTTTGTAGTAATCTCGTTGTTAATGGCGCCGTTATCAGCGCGGGTTCCAATTGACATCTGTCAATTCTAGCCTCGGTTCAGTGTCCCACCTGTGGCAAAACCTACAAGAACATGGATACGATGAAGGCTCACCGGCGTATGGACTGTACAAGCGTTTTATTCTCCTGTCATCTCTGCAACCATGTTACCAAGAGGAGATATAACTTTAAGAAACATCTGTTATGCGTCCACGATGTCCAAGGAGTCTGAACTGGGGTTTTCAACTTCGGGAAAGTTGCTAATTTGATTTGATTTTTTGTTTATTTAAGCGGAACGATATCGTGGTTTAATATTGAACGGTCGTCTATAAGTGAATTGTGTACAAATAAAACGTAATCATATTGCTCTTTAGTTAAGGGTAATATAAGTTTGCTATAGATTCAGAAGACGATGATTGCTACCGAAGTAACCCCTAACGACGGAAAGCATAGTGGAGAGGCAAGTAAATGTTTGCATGGCGTCGTCTCCAATCTTGCATCCACCTGGAAACTAACTAGTTTGCTTGTTTTAGGCGCAAATAAGCTGGCTTGCCCCAACTGCTTCCGGTACTACAGTCAGGGTTGTTCCCTGAACCGCCATTTAAAGTACGAGTGCGGGGTGAGCCGCTCCTTTACCTGTCCCCACTGCCCTTATACCGCCAGCAGGAAATTCACTCTGAAACAACACGTGTACAATAAACACAGCGTTTGAATGTCGAATTCAATTTTATTTCAATCCTCTTTCGAGTATATTATTTTGTTATGCGTTTTTGCAACATGCATCTTGAGTAGGTATATCAGCATTTACGGTGATACCGAGCTTTCTCCCTCAAGCGTTTTGTTGTTTTAGGTAACAGGGTGTTCCCGTGTTCCAGATGCGGAAAACCTTACAAATCGAAGAAGGCGATGCACACCCACCGCAAGTTCTCGTGCGAGAACAAACGGTCGTTCTTCTGCAGTCTATGCGACGCCGCTTACTTTTACAGTCACCACCTTAAACGCCACATGCGCCATCAGCATTCGCAAATTATGGCAGCATACGCTCCTGCCGCCATTTAAGAGTGTTGCATGTTGGTCCTCTATCTTAGTTGTACCAAAACAAACAATTCGGCTTTATTTTGTTCTACTTAAGATCTCATAGTTTCTAAGTGTGTTCAATCAGTTACCGATTGTATCTAGTCCGATATTTTTTACGCAATCGCGTTTGTATAAACGAAAGATTACCTCTTGTAGCTTGTAAAAATGTACTAATAAATTGTGAACTCGAAATTGTTGAGCGATGAATCAGCGACATCCTCTGTATATAGCGACCAATGTCGTTTCTGCTTTTGGTTGGGTTGATGGTGATGCTGCGGGCTTATCGAAACATTCTCGGTATCGTTTTGTTTTAGGCATTCCCATGTTGAGGCGCCCCAAAGGCAGAGGTAACCATAGATGTCGTTGTGGCAGAACCTACTACGAGAAAAAGAACCTGGTGCGCCACCAGAGACTGAAGTGCGAAATTCCCTTTCAGGATATCCAGGAATACGGGGAGTATCCTTTCTTTGTGGTAGAGGACGATACTCGAACGAACAAGATCTTTTGATCAAGTACAAACTAGCCGACCTTTCGAGACACCAAAGTGCCTTTGTATATCCAAAGGGAAGAGTTTTAAAAAATATATTTATATACAGAGTGTTATTTATTGAATAGTATTTACCGGTACTTAATTTTATACACTATATATTTGGTTAGTATTTGGTGCTGGCCTAGTGCAATTATTTATAACTTAATGGATGAAATTATTGTTTTTGAGGGTGCGGGGATGATGCAATTTCTTGTGTTTTTAGTCACGTTATCGATTTGTTAGTACAAATAAAAGCTAGTTTGTCCGAAATCTTTACTGGATTATAAGTCCTATATCCAGGCCTTTCTTTAATTTTTAATGTTACCTTTCATATTTATTGTTCCTTTGGAAACTTCTATTTCCATCTTTATTCTCGGTGGTGGCGTTTCTCTCCCTATGCACGGTTTAAATCCGTCACATTTTAGGGATGACCATCCTGTCCAAAGTGTGTTGCGTCACTTGTGGCAAGCGTTTTAAGAACAGCAACAGCTTAAGGGCGCATACATCTTTGGATTGCATGAAGAATGTACGTTTTTCTTGCAATTCCTGCGACTTCACGACCAAGAGGCGATTCAACATGAAGATGCACTACGCTTCGAAACATGGGCTTCGAATAGAATCGCGAGAGATTAGCAAACCTTGACATGTACAAATACTTTATAAGAGAAATATATTTACTTTACTAGTTCGTGTGTTCAACGGTTCCTCCCTCTTAAGTATGTAACGCTAGTTATTTTTCAGTGCCATCTGAATATTCCTGTATGAAATGCGGGAAGAGTTACAGGCACCATTCCTCCTTGTACAAACACAGGCGGTTTGAGTGCGAAAATCAAAGGAATTTTCGCTGCACGGAGTGTCCGAAATCGTTTAAGAGAAAAGACCATCTCAACAAACACCTGATGTGGGTCCACAATGTTATACACTAAATATACTGTTGTGCTCACATTAAATATCCACCGGCAAGTTTTTCTTTTTTCCTACATAAAGTGTTTTTTGCTTTTCGGTTTTTGTTTGGCTCCGATTCCGGTGCTAAGTTGTGCTTTTTTAGGTTTCTATCAGTGTCTGACCTGTCCGAAGACATACAAGACTTATTCCAGCTGCTGGAGACACGCTACCTACGAATGCGGCAACAAGAAATCCTTCCAATGTCTCTATTGTCCCAAACGCGTCACTCAGAAGTACGCTATGAAGAAACACGTTCGGAATAGCCATTCGGAGAAGTGGGAAGAATTCGAGTACATTTACAGGACGTCGTACTACAAAAAACTTATCAAATTCACATAACGTTAGTGTATCTTAGTTTGTTCAATAAATATTTTCTTACCCGGTCTTACCTGTGGTCATTTTAATTGATTTTCTTTTAATATTCTTAAAACATGATGCCGATGTTCAGAATGATGTTTAATTTCACACTGAGCGAACGTGTGATTAATTTGTCAATCGGGTTGCAGTGCGGTCGTCTTGGTGGTGCGAGCAGTGCGGCAAGTGTTACAAGAACAAATCGACTCTTTACCGACACAAAAAACACGAGTGTAACCAAAGCCCGTACCAATGCTTTTACTGTTCGACGCACTACCGTCAAAAATACGACCTGAAGATGCATGTGTATAGAAAACATCCGGAATATGCCGAAGAGTTTGACAACGTCTACAAAGACCTGCACATCTTCAAAACACCAGCCGCGATCTTATAATCGTGCGGTCGGAATTTTGACATTCGATTTTGTTCTAGGGATGCTTCATTGCGGGCAGTGTTCCAGACTGTACAGCACCAAGAGAGCGTTAAATTTTCACGTCCATAACGAGTGCCGAAAAGGCAAGGACTACGGATGCCTATTTTGCACGTACAAAGGGAAACGTGCCTACCACGTGAAAAGCCACTGCAAAAATAGGCATCCAAACTATTACGATGACAAGGTCAAATGCTATTACTACTCGCCCAAATAAATATAGAATAAAGCAGGTCGCTGCATCTGACAGTGTTTGATTGCGGTAGAAATTTGCGCGGTTGCGGGTCCGGATCGACGAGCGATGTTGATTTTCCTACCGTTTTAGGCGAGCCGAGGCTAACTTGCAAAAAATGCGGAAAAACTTACAAGAATAGGAGCACGCTGCTTTATCACATCAAGTACGACTGCACTACCGAGAAAACCGTCAAGTGCGCATTCTGCGAACAAACGTTCAAAAGAGCTTACGACTGTAAAATCCACTGCAGAGCGAAGCATCCGGATCAGTATAAAACTGCGAATGTCCATTATCGAAAGTTGTGAGATTTTTGCGGCTTAAAAATCGGACGCCAATATATGTCATTTCGAGTAACATTTGTCTTAATCTATCCATAAAGAGGACGAGTGGTTGTATTCTTAGAAGACGCTTCTCATCTTGACCTGTGTTTAATCGAGTCACCTTTCAGTTGAGAAACCAGCTGTGCCATACAAACCTCCGGCTTATCCCAAGGAACCCACCAAATGGCACTGCTCCTCCTGCAACCTATATTTCTTCACGCGGAACCAGCGGAGAACTCACATGAAATTTAACTGCATCCAGACTGTGTGTCCGCTGTGTTGCCAGAGGTTTAAGTGGAAAAAAGCTCTAGACGAGCATGTCCGCGTCGAGCACTTCGAACAAAGCAAATAGTTTTACCTCGAACTTGATTTTGTCTTCCGATTGTATAGATGTCTGTGGAGGCCCTTCGCTTCCCCGTCCTGCCATTAATAAAACATTAAAACGATCCCTTGCTTTTATTACACACCTTCGGCGCCTTAGGCTTCACAACCTAACCGGTCACGATCGCCACTTTGTAATATTATAGCACCGTCTTCTGTACATATTTATTTTGCTTCTTCACTTTTTTATTTCGCTTTTTTTGTTACTTATTTTCGTGCAATCCCCGCAGGTTTTGTTATGTACGCGCCCCGGCATTACATGTGCCCCAACTGTCACAAAATCTACGCCAAAAAATCAACGATGGTGCGTCACATGAAGTACGAGTGCGGTAAACTACCGAGGTTCGGATGCGCGATGTGCGGCTACAGGGGTTACCAAAAAACTCACGTGGAGCGCCACCTATCTAGGAAGCACGACGTCCTGTTGAAACCGGACATCAATAAGAACATCGTTATATTCAGCATATGACCGTTACTGGTTCTCGTACGTTTTGTTTTTATTTTTTGCGTTACTATGACTTTCCGCGCGCGAGTGAGTGACCGACGTATTTTCATCTTCTTTTTACAAATCCTCACTAATAAAAAATAAATTTTAAGCGTAGAATTTAGTGTACCTATTGATATATCTTCCATAGAGTAATATGGCGTTGCACGCGGCCGTTAGTGCCTTAGATCAGCGGGAATATTGGGTTAGTTTTTTATATAAACATATAAAGAAATTGTTTTAATTTTAGAAGATTTACGCACATTTATTCGAATATCGTAGAGTGGTATTTTTTATATGCGCCTGTTATTGTTGATTCACTCCGAGAATACTGTTGAGTTTTATTATTGCCAGTGTTGTTGAATATATTAAATATTTATTACATCTTTACGTTATTTCCCCTACCAGGATCCTGCATCCCTTTGCTTTGCTTCGCTTTTGTTGCTTGCAGAATATATAAACGGGCTACGGCGAGGCTCGTTGTTTGGGATATACGTAACGTTTTTCTTTTCGTTGTATTACGAAGTTCTTTTTCCAGATGCCTACCCGACTCTGACGTTGTCGACCGTCAACGACAATGCCGTCGACGAGATTATTTTGCGAGACCACGCCGACTACACCAAAACGGTCTGGAAGTTCAATAATAACAACAATGTCGTTCGCGAGATAAGGGAGTTCGTGTGCCACACGTGCGATAAAAAGTACTGTAGTTCGGGCGCGCTGCAGCGCCACCTGCGATTCGAGTGTCGGATTGATTCAAAGTACAAGTGCCCGCTGGCTGATTGCAAGTACAAGGCGAAACACGTAACGAACGTAATAAAACACGTTACCGCCATGCACGAGGAATACGACATGACTGAGTTTAGGGAACAATTCTCCTGAACGTCCGAAGCAATCTCTCGTTTGTTCATCTCGTTATACTGGGTGCCATTTTTTTGGGTTATTTCGTTTGCCAAAGTTTATATTCCAAATAAAATATATTATACAGTTCGTTGCATATAGTGTTTCCGACTCTCCCCACGAGATATCGTTGCATATATTTGAAACTTCGCCATTTTAGATTACAAATGCTTCGTGTGCGGAAAAACTTACAAGGTGCAGAGGTCGCTGTGGCGTCACCTAAAGTACGAATGCCAAAAAGAACCGGCATTCAACTGTCCGTACTGCAGCTACAGGGCGAAACACAAATCAAGCGTGGTCAAGCACGCTGTCTGCGTCCATGGAGGCTTGACCGACAACCTCAATTTCTTTTAACTTATAAACGTAGTCTAACCGATCCTCTCGTAAATGTTCTGTCATTGTTATAAACAAACTTTTTTTTAGGGTGTACGGCGAGGCATTTTTGTCCGAGATGCGGTAAATCTTACACCCTTGTGAAAAACCTGAAGCGCCACTTGTCGGTGGAGTGCCAAAAGGAGAAACGCTTTAAGTGCCGGTTCTGCTCCAACTCGTACTACTATCGCACAGACCTGAGAAACCACTTGCACAGGGTGCACGACGTCATTGTCAGATTCGATGCCGGCGCGGTCTACCTGTAGTTTTGTTGATTACTGTCCGAAATATACCTTTGACGCTTGGGCATCGAGTTTAAATGTCGAACCAGCGGGTGATGGGGAGCTCTCAACATCTCTCCGGGGTGTTTTTTTTTCAATTCGGTTTGTTTTGCAGATAGCCTAAGATTTCGTTGCGTCAATTGTCCGAAGAGTTACACGATGATGTGCAACTTAAAAAGGCACCTAAGAACGGAATGCGGCAAGGAAAAGAAACACTCCTGCTCTTTCTGCGGCAAGCGGTTTTTCTACTTGTCGGACCTCAATAAACATCTCATACGTCACACGCGATTTTAGCCTTTAATAAACATTCTCACGATAATATTGTTTTGCGTTCCCCGCATCCCCATGATTTTTGCTTACTTTGTGGAGATTTCAAAAGCTGGGTGGTCGGTAACGATCCACTGGGATATTATTCCGTGCTAAAGGGTTTAATTGTAACGCATATACCGGAATTTCCGTGTTTGCGCACTCAGTAGGCGCGACGCGCATACTAACCGTCGATTTTTTAGGCATGAGGAGACGGCAGAATTACACACCGAATCAGATCTCGCTCCTCGAGAAGGAGTTTCAGGAAAACGCGTACCTGGACTCCTTCCGACGGGCGGCGATATCCCGCAAGCTGGGTCTGTCCCAGAAACAGATCAAAATCTGGTTCCAGAACCGGCGCATGAAGGAGAAACATTCTAAAAGGCTAAACGAGGCGGATCACAACACTAACTCCTCCAGTTCGCAACCGGAAGGACCTCTCAATTTGTCCAATAGCGCAACGAGTTCCAGCCAGAGCGTTAAACCGGAACTACTCCCTGCGGATATCACCAGTCAGATGCAGGCGCTCATCGCGAATCTCGCTCATCCCTCCCTGATCAACCCCCTCAACCACTTGCCGCATAATTTTCCGTAAAACTTTTGTGTGTGTATATAGCTTGCCAGTAATCATGTATGTAGGTGGTCTATGGTGGTTCGGCGGCAGTTTAGGCCGAAATTGCTTCCGAACCGTCACGGAATATCTACTAATTCCGTTTTGCGCAAGTAGTACGTGTATGTGTATTGCTATTTATCGTTTAGGAAACGTTCATCTATAATATTAGACGCGTGCTGAAATTGATAGTGTTTGATTGGTCCTTCCCATTGACTCGCTCCACGCCTCCAATCCAAGGCCCGTGTTAACGTGGCTCCTATTTCAGCGGAGGAAGCGGCCGCGATCATCAGACAGCTTTTACAGCAACACAGGGTTCGGGCGGGAGTGTTGTCGCAGAGGAAATTCGAGTGTCCTCGGTGCCACAAAATGTACAAACACAAACACATTATGAGGCGACATTTTGAGTTCGAGTGCGGAGTCGAGCCGAAGTTCCAGTGCTCGATTTGCGGGTACAGGTGCAAGAGGAAATACGACATGACGACGCACGTTCGCTCGAAACATGTCGAGGAGGTGGCTGCAGACTTGGAGTGACTGTTTTACCCTGTATATTGATTAAATGACTCACATGAACGGGTGTTTCATTGGTTTCATTTATTTTATTGTTTTTATTTTCAGTTTTTTTAGTTTGCAGCTTTTTAGTTTGTGTAGATGTTGTGAGTATCGCTTCTCCGTTCTGTTTCGAGACTCGCTGGTAAACTGGCCGGGGTGTTGTAGGTTGCTTGACGTTTTTCGCCAAGGACTTCGACGAGTACATGGAACTGCGCGTTTACAACCACGAGAAAATCAGGTACGGTTGTGCCAAGTGCAACAAAACGTACCAGCAAAAGAAGACGCTCGGCAGACATCTGCGGTTCGATTGCGGCCAGCAGCCCGCCTTCACGTGCCAGATGTGCTCCAAGTCGTTCAAGCACGGCTACATTTTGCTAAAGCACATGCGCAACATCCATAAGATTCATATTCAGAAGCTGCGCCACAGGCAGCCGCCGAACGTTACCAAATAGTCCAACCGGAACCGTTCTAGTCAATATAAGGTATTTTAAGGTTAATACTCATCGGGGGCCGCGATTCCCTTCTCACCCCTCTAAATCTACAATGTTTCTTTTAGTCGGCTACCTAGCGTACCACATAATTCTAGTCTTGTCACTGAAGCAGTGCCAGTGTAACGTATAAAGTATTTATTTATATTTATATATTTATTTGTTCGTTCGTTAAGACTGAATCAGGGATCTCATTTTTTACACATTCCCGTTTTTTTTTAAGTTTTGTTCGAAGCGAGTGTGTGAGTGTACGTGTTGTGAGTTAAACCGTTCTAGATTTCCCACCAGAGATTTTATTTCACGCTTGGATACTCCGCGGCGTATCCGCCAGAATGTAAATAATTTCGCCGTTTATTTAGATACTGTATGTCTTATTTATGTAATAAAGCTCTTCGAAGCAACAAAGTGGTTTGCCTTCGCCCACCACCCACGTCCGATCCCGTCGACTGAGTATTTAACCTTACAGGATTAAAATGCGAATGCGGAAGAGAATTAAAGAACCTCCGACAAGCGAAGCTCCATCGGATGAAGGGGTGCGGAAACCCTCTGACGTTTTATTGCCCCTACGACGAGTGCGGATACAAGTTCACCGAGGCTATATTTTTGGGCTTCCACTTGCGCGGGTTTCACTCAAAGTGTGCCCCCCCTCCCCCCATTTAGCTTAATAAGAAAAGTCGCCATTTGATTTTAACACTTCGAATTGTAGGTCCGAGCCCGAGAATGCACGAATGCGTGGACTGTCACAAGACTTATTGCCACGCGAGTTCGCTGTACAACCACAGACGGTACAGCTGCGGCAAGCAGCCTATGTTTTTTTGTCCCGTGTGCGAGCACTCTGGCAACTACAGCCAGAACATGCAGACACATATGAAAGTGCGCCACAAGGTGCTAGTCAGCAGGCGTGAAATCTTCGAGAAATACCAGATCAAACCTTTTTGGTTGTAAAAATATAAAAGCGAACTGTAAACTGCCTTTTTCTCCGTCCTTAGATCCTAATCCGGTAGCGAAGTAGTTGAAGTAATTATTGAACACTCCTTCCCCCTGAAAGATCACGTCGTAACCGTCAAATTTTAGATGTCGATTCGGCGTGGACGCAGCTGAAGAAGCAACTGCTCACCATGCCCATTAAGGTCGAACTCCAAGAGCGACCGACCGAGGAGTTTTTGTCGTCGCTCTTGCTCACTTCGAATTGCGGCAAGCCCGCGAAGAAGAAGCCGAACCGTATCAAGGGCAATTTCCTGTGCACCAACTGCAACCGGAATTACATCAGGAAAGATTCGCTGCAACGTCACGTCACCTATGAGTGCGGCAAGGAGCCTCAGTTCCCCTGCCCTTTCTGTCCGCAAAAGTGTAAGCGGAGAACGCACCAGATCAGACACATTAAGAGACAACACCCTGACCAGATTGGGTTACTGGCCGAGAATAATCCCCATGCCAGTTGCATCCAGGCGGAGATAGTGTCCGGTGTCGAGCTGGACGCGAAGCACTCCCTCTGAGTCCCTTCGGTATTTTGTTTTTTAAGTGTTCGATAATTCACCCAAGTGCCTGAAACATCACGATTTTTTCTCTGTTTATTCGTTTCCCCTTGTCAGAATGTAGACTGAATGTGGATCTCGACCATCGCCTATGTTTAGGTTTTCGAATATTTTAAAATAAAATTTTGTCGTAAAATATGTGCGTTCGTTTTTAATATCACGTCCCGCCTCCGTTCGCCTGGTAAATATTAAGCGTGTGCGTTTTTAGCGAGGAAAAGGTACGTGTGCAACGTCTGCGGCAAGAAATATAATCACCAGCCGAACTTGAGCCGCCACAAAAACTTGGAGTGCCAAAAACCGAAATCGCGCCTCTGTCCCTTCTGCCCTTACGCATGCTACCACAAGTTCCAGCTCAAGGGCCACGTAATATCGCAGCATCCAGACCGGTACCACTTATTCTTCTAAAACCCTTGCTTGTTGAACAATTAAAGATCCAAAGTTTAACCGTTCGTTTTTTTTTTATCTCAGTCCTCATGCTTTTAAACTCTGAGCGATAGTAAATAGTTACGCTTTCAGGATTCACTTGTCAGCAGTGTTCCAAGTCGTACCGCCGATGGGACTCCTTGAGACGTCACATAAGGGTCGAGTGCTGCAAAAAGGGCCAGTTCGAATGTAACCATTGCTGCAGACTATTCAAGTACAAGTTTACGCTAAGCCTACACATGACAAAATGTCCCATGAAAGTGTCGTCGCATGGGATCTAGCGAAGATATCTTCATTCGGGAACGTCGTCGTCTTCAATTGTTATGGTCTTTGTCTTTGAGATTGTGTAATACCGAGCTGGATCTTTTTTTAATTAAATTAAAAGTCACTTTGTCGTTTACGTGATAATTTTTAATTAACATGGGCACATTATTGCAGGCCACAAGCCCTTTCAGTGCAACGGCTGCGACAGATTCTACAAATACAAGCGAAATATTCTGGAACATATAAAACACGAGTGCGGCAAATCTCGTCGCTTCAGTTGCCCGTATTGTCCGCACAAGTCCCATCGCAAGTTCAACCTCAACCTGCATATCAGGACCGTGCACAAAGTGTTCGAAACGATGTAACGTCGTGATTTTTAGGTCCTCGGTTCAGCTGTCCCTCGTGTTTCAAAATCTACAAAACGAGGAACTCGCTGAACGTGCACAAGTCCAGGGACTGCGCGAATTCTAAGAGGTTCCGGTGTAACACCTGCGCCAAAGTGCTGAAGCGGAAAGAGGCTATGAAATATCACATCAGCGGCAGTCCCGGTTGTCAGGTTGTCGACAACTTGTGCGACAATTTTGAAGTCCTCTCTAAAAACTTTAAATAGTTGTGATGTTCCACGATTTGTACAACAATTTGGATCGTTTTGAATTGTAGTTAAATATAAACTTCCTTTCTGCCAAATCCCACTTGTGATATCAGAAAACTATGAGCACGAGACCGTGACAATCGTAAACTACCAAGTTATGAGCGTACGCGTCTTTTATTTATTGACATTCGGATTGTAGAGTACTCTTTCGTCGACGACAAAATACAGTGCTCTCGTTGCCTGAAAACGTACAAAAACTTGGGCACTTTTCGCACGCATAGGAGTCAGGACTGCATGAAACTCAAGAAGCACGTTTGCGACTTGTGCGGGTACGGATCGCGAAGGAAATACGACCTCAAAATTCACTACCTATTAAACCACGGACTAAATAAATAAAATCTCTTAAAACTTCCGCGTTTCATTTCATTCCGTTTACTGCGACGCGCTTTATAGACTGCAGCTAGCCATGTTGTAGGAGAATTTTCTTGCAACGACTGCGGCAAGAGGTATAAGCACAGAGCGTCGCTCTACAATCACTCCAGGTTTGAGTGTGGGCAAGCTAAGAACGTCGCCTGTCCCGTGGAGACGTGCTCCTATAAAACGAAGCGGAAAGGGAGTTTGAAAATTCACCTAATGTCAGTTCACATGATCCGACAGTCCAGAGGCAGACCGGGACGGAAACCTCTCCTCTAAAATATATCCATTTTCTGTGGTGTCTACCGGGGGGGCTTTGCACTAACCTCCACTAACCTTCGTCGCGTTTATAGGACTTCGCGGTCCTAATGCTTCGTTAATTGTAGGCGAGTCGATCCACTGCAACCTGTGCGGGGCCGTGTTCCGCCATCTGGCCTCTTTGAAATACCACGTGACTAACAACGTCTGCACCAAGCCCAAGAAGGACGAGGCAGCTAAAATCCTCAAGTGCAACGCGTGCGGCAAAGTATTCAAGGGATGGACCGCCATGGACTACCACGTGAGGAGGAGAGTCTGCGAGCAACCGAAGATCCAAACAGGTAACTATGTTTACTCGGTGACGGCTCCTATTAAGCCTGTTGTTATTCAGGACCGCCTTACATCTGCATGTGGTGTAAGCATGCGTTCAATATTAAGCAAACCTGGTACGTGCACTTGAAACGTCAAGCTTGCAGACGTTTCCCTCAGAAGTACGGCCTCAAATCGGCTCAAAATTTCGGCATGTGTGTCCCATTGGAGTACCAGCCGATCGTGGAGCTGAAACAAGAGAGCGACCCGCTCAGCATTCAACCCTCGGACGCCGAGACCCACGAACAAATGCACCAATAACTTTACTCGTAGTTTATTTGTATTAGGGAGGTATTATCAATAAAGAGCAATACATTTTTATCGGGGATTTCATTATCAACCTTGCTATACCTTGCAATCCTGTATCTCTTGCACGATTCTAACTTTGACCGTGTTTTAGTTTTGCCCACCGAAGACGGGAGATTCTTCTGCAGAAAGTGCGGCAAGATATACCCGAAGGAGCATCACGCCATGCATATCCTGCTCGAGTGCGGCAAGCAAGCGATTTTTCAATGTCCCTTGTGCCCGAGAAAATGCAAGAAGAATGACGTCTTACAGACCCATTTGAAGAACATCCATGGGATAGTTTAGGCGTTTAGTTTTAGGATGGTGTCTAGGTGTTATTTTAGAGTTTAAGTCTGAGTAGTTGGTAGCGGCTTTCCAAATTAGGGCGCTCTAGGTTAATCGTCTAATAAAAGACTGTTCCTTTAGCTGTTAACATCTACGTAGCTATTCGGTTTCCTTCTCTTAACGTTTACACCTTTTAGTTCTTCCGTACAAGGACATGCGGTTCTACTGCAACTGCGGCAGGAGCTACAAGTACCCGGAAGGTCTGCATCGTCACAGGAAAGAATGCGGCAAAGAAAAAAAATATAAGTGCCCGCACTGCGAGCACAGGAGCCACCGCACCGACAACCTTAAAAAGCACATGCTCGTTCATTTTCAGATCTGCTAACGAGGAACTTGTTTCTCTCTGTCAAACACATTCACAGTTCACCAATGCGTCCAATTACGCGTTTTTTCTTCTTTCTTAACTTTGCGGAAAGAGGTTTCACCGTAACACCATTTTGCATCATACTTTTAAAAATAGCGTAACAACGATTTTGACTCTCCTTGCAACCGCAAGCGATGTAGGAGAACGACCTTGCAAAGAAACAGCGCAATACCATACGTATGATTGAGGCGCTATGTTGAAGTTCACCAATAAAGTGTTTGCCCTATTCAATTTTTTGTTCATTAGCTCGACTCCTCGCGTCTTCTCGAACGTAAAATCGTCCTTCGTTTCCGAATCAGTAGTTGACGGTGTACTTTTTTAGACGACTTCTACAACTTCTCGCTGGTGGACCACTTTTACATGGACGGAGTTTGGTTCGTGTGCAAGACGTGCAACAAAAGGTACAAACACCGGACATCCGTATGGCGGCACATCAAGTGGGAGTGCAACAAGAAACCTCAGTTTGCGTGTTACGTGTGCGGGAAACGAGTCACCCAGAAGACGAGCCTCAAAGCTCACCTGGAGAACATCCACGGCTTAGTCTTCGTTAAACGCTTCTAAGTGATATGTTTATATGTTGTTCTATTAAATTTTATGTACGGATCCCGATTGTATATTTTAAATATATTTTATATTTAACGTTCTTACTATCGTCCTTTGTATATGTATATAGGAACCTTTCGAATTTACCGCGACGATCAATGATATAACTTCCGATTTTTTTTAGTCGCTTCGCGGTACCACGCTTACCACCTTCTAGACGGCCTCGACGGGCCGTATCCCTGTCATGTGTGTCAGAAAAAGTACAAATACAAGACTAGCCTGAACAAGCACCTCAAGTACGAGTGCAACAAGGATCCCAGCTTTGTGTGTCCGATTTGCGCGAAGAAGTTCTACCAGAAAATCCACCTTAAAAAGCACATGCTATCGTCCGTCCATCAGCGAAGGATCATTTACTTTTAAATGGCGCCTGGGGTCTGTAGATTAAGATATTCTAACGTGCCTTCATATGTGTTCCTCTAAGTGACACTAAGTGAACCTCTACATTGGTTAGAAGTTAATTCAAAGTTATTGAGGTGAAACAATCCTCCATTATACGTATTTTGTACACTTTTTATACATTTTATACTATTTATAAAATATATATGCTATATCGCCATCATCGAGACGTTTGTACTGTGTGCGCAGTGCCGATTTTCGATACGCCTCTAGTTTTTGACGTACCCATTTTTGTAGCGTACCACAAGTTGGGTGAGTTCTACATCTGTCGTAACTGCAACGCCAAGTACCGATACCACCGCAGCTGGCAGCAGCATTGGCGCCACGAGTGCGGCAGATTGCCGAAGTACACTTGCCACATCTGCAACCAGGGTTTCACCCACCAGGGTCACCTCAGATACCACCTGTCCACCACCCACAATTTGAATTTTGACAATTTCGATTTCTCAGTGCGCACGCGGCCCAAATACTAGCGTTGTAGTTTGGTGACCGAAAAGAAACCGTGTTAAACCCGGCTCGTTTTAGGCATGCGTTGTTGGGGTTGCGGCACGACGTTGCGCAACAAGACGGCCCTCTTCAGACACAAGAACGACTGCCCGGTCGAGATGAGGTTTTCTTGTATAGTGTGCGAGGCGAGGTACGCGAAGAAGTCCGGTCTGAAGAGACACCTGGTTTATCGTCACCCTGACATATTTGGAGCCGGTTAAATAAACGATTCGATGGAGATCTTGTGTTATTGCCAGTCCTCTTCACCGATCCCGCCAACTTTTAGCAATGACCGATGGTTTTGCAGGTAACTTTTACTGTCCCAAGTGCGCTAAACCGTACGTGAAGATGACCTCGCTGCGCAAACATTTGAGGATCGACTGCGGTCACTCCAAGAGGTTCCGTTGCTCCTTCGACGCATGCAAGTATCGATCCAATCGGAAAGAAAACACCAAAAGACACATGGTGTTGGTACATGGTGTCTCAAATGCCTTGTAGCACATTACCCTCTGTCTGTGACGCTATAGTTGAGCGTGAGGAGTAGTTCAAGTGATCGAAGATAATGTTTTATTGAAATAAATAATAATTGCTGATACTCAGAACGAACACGGTAAACAAAACTACTTTTTTTTTCATTTTCGATTATATATTTCTGTTTGTAAGTGGATGTCAGTAACGAAGGTTCGTGATTATCTGCGTTTTAGATTTCAAATGCGACCTCTGCCACAAGGGTTATTCGAAGCCGGAGTCGCTCTACATCCATAAGAAGTACAACTGCAAGAAGGGCCTTGTGGGACGAGAGTACCGATTCGCGTGTCCCAACGACGGTTGCACCTACAGAACCAACTTCAAGTTCAACTTCAATAGGCATTTCTTAAACACTTGCAAAGGAAAACCCCTGAGAAACTTCCCCAGCCAATAAATCCCTAGCTTAATTAAATGTATGCCCGCGGGGTGTGGCGATACGCTGTATCGTTTCGAATTGTAGGTGGTCCGAGGTACATCTGCACGGTTTGCGGCAAATCTTACAAGTTTCGGAGCTCCCTCTGGCGGCACACCAACTTAGAGTGTCAGAAGGAGCCGGCGTTTGCTTGCTACTTTTGTCCCTACAAGACTTACCAAAAGGGACACCTCAAGAGTCACCTGTGGACGAGGCACCACCGCCAAGCCAAGGGCCAATGAGCTTTCGTTGTAATGTAGTAATAAACCGGTCAATTCTATCCTGCTTGTTTTTATATATCCTTGGGCGCCATATTTAGGTCGTCGATGTCATCGAAGGCCGTTCATGAAACGTATGCCTAATCGATTTTCGATTTTCCAGGATCGTATTTTAACTGTCCGTCCTGCCGGAGGAGCTACAGGCAGCTGCGCTCGCTCAGACGCCACGTCAAGTACGAGTGTCAAAAGGAACCGTCCTTTTTTTGCCAGCACTGCCCTTACGCGGCTCACCAGAAGGGCGCCCTCTATAGGCATCAGCGCGCAAAACACAAACAACAACGGCCGCTTCGTTCTTAATGTCGACCCAGTTGTGTGGAGTTGTAATTTTTTCAATGGTCGAATATTCTTTGACGTTGACCTTGGAAGTGTAGTGCGGCAAGTCGTACAAGAGAAAGAGCTCCGTCTACAATCGCTCGAGGCGGGAGTGCGAAAAGGATCCGCAGTTTAGGTGTTCGATTTGCCCGTACACGGCCAAACAGAAGGTTCACTACGTGAAACACGTGCTCGGCAAACACAAAGACCGTACCGGCGCTTATCGAACCTCCGTTTATTTATTATGCGCATATGTTTTATATTTTTATACCCCCACGTTCGAAAAATAAACCCTTTTTACAATACCGACGGGTTGTTAGAAATATTCCGTCTACTAGAAAAGGTTCTCATGCGGACGACGTCGGTTGCTTTGGTTGAAGTAACGACCGACGGGTGTTTTAGGTGCGAGATGCCCGAGCTGTAGGCGACTGTACGGAACTGTAGCATCGTTAAAGTTTCATCAAAAGTACGAGTGCGGCATAATGGCGGCGTTCGAGTGCGCCTTCTGCAAGTACCGCACCAAACGGAAGAGTTCCGTGAAGCAACACTGCCTGATCAAGCACCGGGAGCAGCTCATAGACGACGAGAACTTTTATAAAAGATTGATGCAATAAATCCGAACTAGCGTTACTAGTTTTTTTATCCGCTCCCTTTTCACCGCCAGAAAGTTTCGGTGACTTAAACGCTCTCGTTTTCAGGTTTCTATCCCTGTCCCCAGTGTCCCAGAGTGTACCGCCACTACACGTCAAGATCGAGACACGTCAAACTCGAGTGTGGGAAAGGACCGACTTTTAAATGCTCGGCGGAGCGTTGCAACTACGTAGCCAAGCGCAGGGGACACCTAAAGACCCATATGCTCAGGATACACAACTTGCAGCTTCAAAGTGTCAAACACTTTTAGACAATAAACCGATTTTCCTCTAAAGCTTTTTGATTGGGTCGCGGACTATCACACGTTCCATGTTCTATTTTAACGGACTTGCCTTTCAGGCGATTGCAAGGTGGAGGTTTCCGAGTACGAGCCGGCTCAAAAGGCGTTCAGGTGTCCTATCAGAATGTGCCGGTTTGAGGACAAAACGCTCACATACTTGCAGGATCACATAGCCCTGGATCATTGTCTTCCAGAAGATTATAGAATGGAGATACCTCACTACCAGCCGCTACCGAAGCCGTTCAGATGTCCGATCAGGATGTGCCAGTACGAGGGCAAGGCGCTATCGCATCTGAAGCACCACATCACCCTGGGTCACCGGCAGAATTGGGCGCGGTTTATCAAACCCAAAGCGGACGCTTCTTTATTATAAATTTCTTCAAAAGTCGCCTTTGTCGTTCTTCGCCAGTTAAAATGTCATTTTCTTTGCTCTTCACTGGTACCGTTTTTAGTTCGATTCCCGTGTCCGAACTGCGCCAGATCCTACAAGAATAAAACACACTTGACGCGACACCTCAGACTGGAATGCAACGTCGAGCCGAAGTACCAGTGTAGAGCCTGCTTTAGGTCGTACCGGCACAAACATATATACGACAAGCACGTTTGCAAAGTACCGTTTCTATAATAAAACAGTCTACTCGAACTCTCGGCTCTCATTCAATTCGATGGGGCGTCGGCGGCACCACTTTCATGGCCATAACGCATCTCGACGCTTCGCTTCCATTAACGCTGTGACGGTGCCTCCTGTACGGTACTCTCAAACCGATGTTTCAGGTCATCACTACGCGCAGTACGTCTGTCATTGCGGCAAATCGTACCGGCACCACCAGTCGCTGTACAAGCATCGGCGATTCGAGTGCGGCAAGGACAAATCTTTCTGCTGTGACGTGTGCACCAAGTCCTTTTGGCACAAGCAGTCATACAAAAGGCACTACCACCGTCACCACCGCTACTAGTTGTTTTTAGTACTATTGAAGGTTGATTAAACGGAATATTTTCGTACCCGCGTATCGACTAACTCCCGTTCCCGCGTGTGACACCACCCCGCACTTTTTTGCTCTTTTCCGCCGCCGTGACGGTACGTGAGTAATTCGGGATTATTTTTCAGAGTACTACCTCCACAGGTGTCCCAAGTGTCACAAAACCTACAAGTACAAGTGGAACCTTCTGCGTCACCTAAAGTACGAGTGCGGAATTCCGCCCCAGTTCACTTGCAGGCTGTGCCACAAGACGTTCACCCACAAGAGCAGCCTGAAAGTTCACGTGGCCTGCGTCCATGGCTACGAACTCACCTTTAAATAAACCCCCATTAATAAAGTGTATGGCCGTTCTTAGTGGAATAAAATTATCTAAAAGCGGGTAGCCTAGTTAGTGCCGACGTCCCCGTCCGGTTTCACGCGCGTCGCGATCGTAATGCTTCGTTTTTTGTTTCTAGAAGAGTCGAAGCGGTTCGAGTGCGCCAACTGCTACCGCAGGTACAAGTACAAGAAGAACTTGCAGTCGCACGTGAAGCACGAGTGCGGCAAGGGGGTGAAGTACAAGTGCCCGTATCGGGGTTGCGAGTATGGTACAAAGATTCAACGATCTCTGAAGCGGCACATGATGCTGAGAAACCACGTGGTCTAAGCGGTCGTTGAAGCGACCCGTTTGAAACATCGGTTGACTGTCATTTTTTTAGGCTACTCTTGCAAGCACTGCGGTAAGACGTACAAGCACGACACGTCACTATACAGACACAAACGGTACGAGTGCGAAGCTTCCTCGAGACCGTACACCTGCGGCGTGTGCCGCAAGACGTTCAAGAGGAGAGATCATTTGTTTAGGCATAGCGTTTACGTTCACTCAAGTGGCAAAATGTACCCTACGTAAAGCTAATAAAGAGTCGAGTCGCTGATTAAACTTTTGCATTGCTGTTCAACATCCCACAGTCTCATGGTGGAAGGAACCAACGATCCAGTAAGATGAAACTATATGTAAAAATAAACAGGTCATTTAAAATTTATCAAAACCACTGAAAACCGCTGAATATTTTTATTATTTTGTAGGGTCTAAGTTTGATTTCTAAGAATTTCTAAAAGAGTAGTATGTATGTTTCTTGTACCTAAATATCTATCTATATATCGTAATTATTATTATATTATTATATATTGATATGTACCAAAAAAAAAACAGTGAAAACCCAATTTTAACGAAAATAAATATCTCTTCTATCTGTGGTGCGTCCCTGGCCATACTATCGAGAAAATACGGCACCCAAGCAGCATACATGTGCTGTCGTCGCTCACCCCACCATACGCAGGTGGTTTCTTAAATGGTGTATTTCTGTTAAGATCCCCACCAGCGTTGGTAAGAGACTCTTTGACGCCTAGAGAAAATATAAAGTTTGAAGCCATTGTTCCTACCCTCTCGGCCTCAACAGCGGGCTGTCCAATTGTCCAACAAATTTAAGAAATTGACTGTATTTTTTGCTTATGTCAAAAATGATTAAACTATTTAAGAAGCTATGGAAATGTTTTCATTGGTTGATATGACACAGTTGACATTGTAAACTCCAAAAGCGGCATATTGAGGCAAACCATTTTAGAGCACATTATACTTTTAACAAAGTTAAACTTCCGAAAGCAAGTTTTTCGTTTGAACTTTGGGGTTTTGTCTTACTGAATCTTTCGTTCCGTCCATTGTCGCTCTGCCCTGTCAATACTAAGGCTCTCCATCAAACCCTTAGTAACTCTAACCCCTTTTAGACGATTGCTCCCAGAAATACGTCATCACATCGAACGGGCGATACGGATGCAGAAACTGCATAAGTTCGTACACTAAACTGACTAACCTGCGACGCCATCTTAGGTACGAGTGCGGGGTAGAGCCACAGTTCGCGTGCCAGCACTGCGACAAGAAATTCGTCTACAAGTTTCGCCTCAATCAGCACATGCACGCCCATACCCATTGGTAGGGCGTGGTATATACTCCCCCTCCCTTTAGTATCGATGTTGTTGTTGTAATTTAATATCGGTGTCTGTACGCAATAAAGCTTCGTCTCGCTTCCCATTTTTGACGCGGTGTTTTTTATCTCGGACCCCATTTCAGGACGGTACGCGTGCGCGACTTGTTCGAACTGCTATTGGTACAAGAGTAGTTTGAAGAGGCACATCACGTACGAATGCAACAAGGAGGGAAAGCAAGTGTGCCGCTACTGTTTCAAGGTGTTCAAGCATAAACACAATTTGAACTTCCACATGGCCATGAAACATTAACGCTCGTTGCGCACAAAGCGTCACCTTTACGTAACGTTACGTAACGTGTAAACGTTCTTTCAGCGAGGCGACCGCGTCACTACGCTTGCGCCGCCTGCGGCAGGACCTACAAGCACCACGCGTCGCTGTACAATCACGTCAAATACGAGTGCGGGGTGGAGCCCAAGTTCAAGTGTCCCGAGTGCAGCTACATGGCGAAAAGAAAACACGTCTTAATAGCTCACCGCTTTACTCATCTTCCTGCGTCAAACTTCCCTCCGAATCGTTCGCGATAGACGTTTAGACGGTACTTTTTTTCAGTTCCCGGTACGAGGCACGGGTGTCATAACTGCGACAGAACCTACACCAATAGGGCTAACCTGAGCCGTCACCGAAGGCAGTGCCTCGACAAAGCGGTTAGGCACGAGTGTCCGCACTGTGAGTACAAATCCTACAGGAGTGACCAACTGAAGAGTCACCTGTTAAGCCACACAAGCGACAACGCTCACGTCGCGTCGCGGTCGGTAAAGCACGTGTGCGCAAACTGCAACAAGGCGTACGCCAAGAAGAACTCGTTCTACAAGCACACGAGGTTCCATTGCGGCGAGGCGAACGTGTTTAGGTGCGTGAAGTGCGACTACAAATCGCCCAGGAAGGAGAACGTGAAAAAACATATCGTGGTGCGGCACGAGACCTTCGATTTCCCTTCGTGTATGGTCGTCGAGTAAAAGACTAGTCGTATAGAGGAATGTTACTAACCAAATGCGGAATAACGGCAAGTAGCAAAGTAGTACCCGTCACATTGTTACACTATGCCCTGTCGTATACTGCGCGCCAAAGAAATTGCAATACCCAGTATATGCTTAGCCAGAAAACATTTTTGTCCCAGACCAGATTTTTTAAACTTCGCAAAAAAATAAACGTCTTTGGAAATTGAAAATTTCGTTTAGCACAAGTGAAAAGTACGTTGGTAAGAGAGGTAGCACAGTGCGCTTGATCGCGAAAAACCACTCCTAAGGCTTTAGAGATCGTTTCAGTATAACCAGCGTAATCGTACTTGAGTGGGGTTCAGCTTTCCATCAGATCGGTTTATTGGAGGACTAAAGCTATTAGGCTACACTCAAACCTTCCTCATTTGGCTTTGACATAAACAACCATGTCTGGCATGGTATCGAGGACGACCTCCCTGGAATCAGGAGAGTGATCGAGTCGTTTTTAATGACGTGTTGCGGTTTTCTGCGGACAAAGGCCAACTTTATTTTTGCATGGAGGGTGGGACTGTGCTTACAAGACTTATGGTTTGAGGTGCCACAAGGCTATTAAGCAAATCACCTCTACTTTTTGGACCGAAGCGTGAATCTTACATTAATAACGTAACCATCAGCAATCGCAGATCAAATTTTTACCAAGGCATTGCAGTTACTAGCAACTTCGTTCGACAAGCTTCAAGGTGATTTATCCCCCATTAAACATTTATCGGATGTGACACCTTGGAAGGCTGAATCGGTTGCGGCATCTTATACTGGATTATGTTTAACGTCTACGTTAAACATAATCGACTTCGTGTTACAACTTACGTAGACGGGCAACTCAGTCTTAAATGTAAGAATCCTTTCAATAAACTCGTATAAGAATGTCATCTATAATTCATCAATTAAACTCCTTCCCGAAATATTACTAAAGTACATTTACCGGGCGTTTTTATAAAAACGTTATTTTTTTTAGCTTCTGCTTTCATGTGCGGGTGTTGTTCGAGGGCGTACAAGCATGCGCACAACCTTCGTCGTCACGAGTGCGGGAAACTGGTGCAGTTCAAGTGCGACTTCTGCGACAAGGCGTACCCGCATAAACTAGAGCTCGAACATCACTACTTCGCCAGTCACACCGACGTCATGGAACCTTTCTTCCCCTGAAGCTTTTCGTGCTTGATGTTTTGTATTAATTGTGGCTTTCAATATACTTCCGCCTCTGTCATGCACGTTGTTGATTTCTGACCAGTCCTCGAAGCAATCAGTATCTTTTTTACCGTTTTCAGTGCAGTTTGAGTTGTACGACCAAGTATCTGGCGATTTCGTCTGCGGCAGATGTCGCAGACACTACAAGCGTAAGTCCAGCCTGAAGCAGCACCTCAGGTTCGAGTGCGGAAAACCACCACAGTTCACTTGCACGTATTGCGGCAAAAAGTTCACGCAGAGGGGCACCCTGAAGTACCACCTCATTACCGTGCATTCCGATTTTTAATAGATAATAATAAATGTGGTATTGGGCTAATAAAACTGATCTTTCCATTTCCATCCATCGACGATTCGAATGGTTTTAGATGACGAACGGTTTCACTGCCTAGGCTGCAGCAGATCGTATAAGCACGAGGCGAGCCTGAGGAAACACATGAAGTACGAGTGCGGCAAGCCGCCTCAATTCGCTTGCCACATCTGTCGCAGGAAGTTCACCCAAAAGGGCTCGTTAAAGTACCACGTCGTCATGTTGCATCCGCACTTTTAATACTGTATCAATTTTTTTCCTCAATAAACGACTTTAAATGGAACGAAATGAAACCATAACGTACAATCACGAGAGTTGTCAATTGTTATCGATATCATATTTGATTGTAGATGAATTTTGCTGCCGTTCTTGTCACAAATCCTACAAGTCCAAAAGGTCGTTATTGAGGCACGCCAAATACCAGTGCAAACAGGAACCATCGTTTTACTGTACCGACTGTCCGTACAAAACGTTCCTGAAGTCCAACCTGCATAAACATCTGCGCGCCAAGCACCGACCGGACAGGATGTTTTAGTTTTACAAGTGTTTGAGACTGTCGTTTTTAGCTCCGTACTCGTGCTGCGACTGCGGCAAGTCGTACAAGTGCAGGCAGTCCTTGTGGAGGCACTCCAAATTTCAGTGCGGCAACAGGAAACCGTCATTCGGCTGTAAGGATTGTTTATACCGGACGTTTCTTGAAGGGAACTTGCGCAGGCACGTACGGACGAAGCACTTGAACTAACCTGTTACATTTTACGTTAAATAAACACGCTCTGAATAGCTTCGGTTTCTAAATCGCTCAACTCTCTCCCGGCCTTGTAAAGCGTTCTCTACCGTCGGTCGTTTTTTTAGATCTGTGGCGACACGTGTGTCAGACCTGCGGCAAGTCGTACAAAAACCGAACAAGTCTGAACAGGCACGTCAAGTACGAGTGCATGAAGGAGCCTCAGTTCGAGTGCCCGGTATGCCACCACAAGTCCTATCAAAGAGCGAACCTCTTTCAACATGTTCGCATAAAGCACCGGAACCTCGACACCTCGTTGTACCCGGAGTTTACCCGGAAACACTCCTGACGCTCGACGATGATGTACTGTACTTTTTATTGTATTCCTTCTCATTTACAACCTGTTGTAATATATAATACGCTTGCGTTGCTGACGTGATTTTCATGGCAACACTAGTGGCAGCAAAAATGAACTTCACCATCCCACATTATCCAAAGTACTCGCACACAGAAAACCTTCGAAAAGTAAAGTTAATATATCTTGTAAGAACGTTTTTAAAAGTTAACGACCCCTGAAGATCGTGCACGATAAGCAAGTTTACCGGAAAAAACATCGGTAGTGGATTAATGGTCGCCGTTTTTAGTACGGGCGAAGCGTCCGCTTACGGTGGTTTGCGAAAACTGCGGCAAGCTTTACCGCGACAGGGAACCCCTGCTACGTCATCAGCGCTTTACCTGCGGGAAGTATCCCGAAAAGCCTGTCCACAAATGCCGGATTTGCACCTACTGGACCGTCAATGTGGACAAATTCAACAAGCATTATCGAAAGTGTCACGACGTGATCAATCCCGATCCGGACGGAGCCCCGCCCACGTAGGCGTTGAAGTGGTGAGTCGAGTACGTGGCGAATAAGAATTTGAACATGGACCGGCCCAGTTTTTCCTTCCACGCTTTGTCGCTGTCGCGGGGTTTGTGTCGTGTAACTAACAGCGCCCTCTAAGACGTCAGCCACGTAGTTATAAGTGAACCGTGTTTTTAGAGAGAAGGGAGAACAAGTGTCCAAACTGCTTCAAACGGTACGTTCATCAGAACAGCTTGTGGAGGCATATGAAGTACGAGTGCCACAAGCAAAAGTCTTTCTTCTGCAGTTGGTGTCCGAAAGCGTTCTACCAGAAAACCCACCTGCAGAAACACGTATCCGCCAAACACTTCGTGTTTTAAAAGTAGCTATTCGGCGTCGTAGACTATTTTAGATTTGTTGTAATGTTTGAAGATGGATTATTACACGTTACGAAAAAAATAGCCCGTTTTACTTCTCCTTGGCGCTAGACGTCGCTAGTGGGCTAACTTGTCGGTTTTCAGATAAATCGGCCGTTACATACTACTGTCCGACGTGCACCAAACCGTACAAAACGAAAATTTCGCTCCAGGTGCACCAATCCCGAGACTGTACCAACCGGAAGTTGTATCAGTGCAAGACTTGCTTTAAGGTACTCAAACGTAGAGACTATACGAAACTCCACGTGTACTCTAGTCCCGATTGTTTCAAACAACCGAAACCCATCGACAACTTTACCTTGTTAATAAAGTAGCGAGAATGTTTCCGATTTTTAATCCCCGAAATCTTTATCGAGAGCTTCACAAAGTCGGATTGACTTAATCGGAAACGGTATAAGGGCAAACCGTCTCCCTGTACCGACCAGTAGAGGACTCGCGCTTTTAGGATCATAGAACCTCCGACTTAACCTACGAAGTAAATTTTTTGCAGGAAGCTTGAGCAGATGTTGTCCCCGGTGCAACAAGACCTACAAGAATAGGAAAACGTTAAGCGCGCATATGGCGCAGGACTGCGGTAAGGGTAAAATGTTCGAATGCCAATATTGCAAGGCCACGTTTCGACGCAAATTCCATCTCAAAGGACATATCCACAACAGGCACGCGTTGATGGTTTACGGGAAGCTATTCGAGCCCCCAGGGCAATCGTGTAACGATTTTAAAGACTGCAAAATTAAAATGTTTTTCGAGTAACTCACATAAAGTTTTTTTTAATCAGTTCCTTTTCCCGCTTAATATACTATAGCATTATTTTCATACAATTTTTTTTTTCAGATTTTAAGTATACCTGTCCGAACTGCCACAAAACGTACATGTACAAGTACAATCTCAACCGTCACTTAAAGTACGAGTGCGGGAAGATGAAATTTTTTGCTTGTTCCGTGTGCAGCAAAGCGTTCTCGCAGAAATCCACGCTGATATCTCATCGGGCCGCTATCCACAGCATCTTCTCGAAGGACGTCGCATATTAAATTCGGAAGCGAGGAAAAATTACCGAAAATCGGCAGAACCTTTTTTTTGTACTTCTCTTTATTTGCGATGTTTCTAATAGTAGGAAATTGTGCTTAGTATATTAACCGAGTGGTAAAGGGCAGAGGAATTATGGTTTACAATATCAAGAAGTTCAAAAATTATAATAGAGTTTAGGGTAGATGCAAACGATTCCAGAGAAATTTTACGAAGAATGCCAGAGTTGAATAATTACAGACTAATTACGAAACACCTAGGAAAAGTGAATAATTTATGTTATGTTTATGATTTCTATTTAATCACTATCATTCTGTTTATGGCGTACAGTATCCATTGCTCTCGAACTCCATAATTACAGATGAATTGCGAACACTCTAGAGTAATTACCACTAATTTCCATTCCATTCCATCGAATGACAAGTACAAAAGGAATTGTTCCCTCTGCGGTTTATCTCTCGGTTATATCTCTCAGGGACTTTGGTTAGGTTGGTCGGTTCATAGAAATACTCTGTTTCAAATTACTCTTATCTACTAAGTTTATATCGCACGTATTTTATATGGAAACTTAATATTTAAGCAATAAAGAGAATGAATCGTTCACGTTGCGTTACACAGCGTCATTAGGTATGACCGGTAAGTTAGGTTACTAGTTTTAGTAAGTAAAGTGTGTTAAATCGTCCCGCCCCGTTTTAACACACAGGTCGAATTTTAGGTAATACCCACCGGTGCGCGTCTTGTGGACGACACTACAAGAACAAGGGAACGCTGACGAGGCACATAACATACGAATGCTCTAACCGAAAGCTGTTTAAGTGCGCAGCGTGCGGTCAAGACTTCACGCAAAAGAACAGCATGAAGCGCCACTTCATGAACCACCACGGCGACTTGCCGTTCTTGTAACGATTGCCTCTAATAAAGCCAAAACGAATCCACATATTGTGTCGTATTAACCCCTGGGCTTTTTGGGCTAACCGATCATCTCGTTTGCGCTCGCGCGGCCGCCACTAACGTCTTCCCCGTTGCAGCTCTGACGTGTATACTTCAGTCAAGCGATCGGTGGGTGTGCGGGAGATGTCAAAAAAGTTATAAACACAAACGACACGTCTACAGTCACCTGAAGTACGAGTGCGGGAAAGAACCGAACTTCAGGTGTTCCCTTTGCAGAAAGCTGTTCTACCAAAAGTACACCTTGAACGCTCACCTGCGGCACATCCACGGACTGGTGTTTTCGGGAAGGGATCGCGACTCTTTCATCGAATGCGACAGGAACTCGTTTTAGCCGTTGTTTTCTTTTCTTGCTAGGTTACCAAAAATGTTTAGTGTCTAAAATAAAGCTCTAACCAAAACTGGTGTTTGTGTACGTTTGTTTTTTCAGTGTACGCCTGCTCCGCGTGCGACCGTCGATACAAAAACAAGCGGACGTTGACTACCCACGTCAAGAATGAGTGCGGGAAGGAGCCGATGTACCGGTGCGACCTTTGCGGCCGAAAGAACTACCAAAAATCGAACCACAGGCGGCATGTCGCCAAATGCGTAGCGAAAAATATGAACTGAATTTTTGTACCTTGCCGCGCATAGTCGTCAAATAAAATAAAAATGGTGATCGTGTTTTTTTTTGTAGGCAGGTACTCTTGCGAGAGCTGCGGGAAAACGTACGCCTACAAACGGGGTCTCGTCCAGCACCTGAACCACTTCTGTGGCAAGCAGCCGCGTTTCAGTTGTCCCCATTGTCCCCACAGATCGAAAATGAGTGCCGACATGAAAAGACACGTTAGAAATAGACATAAGTAGAGCTCGGACGTTTCTTTCCTCCTTTCTCCGCACGCGGCTGTCCGATAAAATTCAAGATTTGTTTTCCTCGACTGAAACCGATCCTTTTTGTAGACCTGTTGCGGCGCACCTGTTCCTTGTGCCACAGGGTGTTCAATAGCAGATCCGCTCGGTACATGCACTTGACGTACAAGTGTCAAAAGCAGCCGGCCTTTCGATGCGACATCTGCGGCATGACCTTTTTTTTCCGGTCGAACATGACCAGACACAGGAAGAGGAAACACCCCCTGCAGTAGCGCCTAGTTTTTTTTGTGTGAGCTAAATAAACGAGAGCGAGATGCAAATTGTTTTACTGCTGATGAGGTGGCGGGCCGTTGATGACTTTGTCGGGAGTTGTCGGCTTTAGTTTTGACTGGTTTCCGCTTGCAGGCAGGTTTAGGTGTCTGACGTGCGGCAGGTCGTACGGCACCGTCACCACCCTGAAGAGACACATCAAGTACGAGTGCGGTAAGAATCCCGAGTTCCAATGTTACTTCTGCACCACGAAAATGAAACACAGGTTCGACATATACAAGCACATGCGGAAGGTCCACGGCTACAACAACATGTAAATCGACGTGAATAAAAAGTGTTTGCTAAACGGCGTTGTTTTTTAAAGTCCTCGCGCCTACGTTTCCGAAGCGCCAACGCGTGATGCAATGTTCAATTTCAGGTTTCGAGTGCGCATGCGGCACCTCGTACCCCGACTACCACACGTTGAGCAGCCACCACCAGAGAGAGTGTCAGAAAATTTTGAACATTTTCAAGTGCCTCATTCCGACCCGCGGCGCGACGTTCCCGCAGTTTGTTTAACACCTTGTAACGAACTGTGAATTTTAAATAAAAGTTAATACCGACACCCGTCAGTAGAGCAGTTCGGTCACTTCTACGTCCTCCGTCCGCCGGGAAGACGACGGACGGCGCAGAAGTAACCGAACCGCACTACTCCCGTCGCTATCATTTTGCCTGAGTTTTCCTTAGTTAGCATTTTCGTTTTGCACTTTTTGCATCGCAACGTTTTTTTTTTAATTTTTAGCATAGCATCACACTTTTCGACCGGTCGGGGTAGCGTATTGCGCCAGGTCGATATGTTTTAGCTTGCTGTCCTATATACCTTGTATCGTGTGTGCATCGAGCTTGTTTTGGCACGTAGTGTAAATGTGTGCGCATCTTCGAATGTAGGTATTGCCGCCCGTCCGATCCCGCGTCCAAGCGTTTCACCCCGCACGTTGTCTTTGCAGACGTGGCGACGCGCAAGATCCGATTGGAAACTCGATTCGTGACGGTATTTCCGTGCCCGAAGTGCGAGAAGGTCTATCACCACAAGAAAACCCTAAACCGGCACATCCGGCAAGAGTGCGGAGTCGAGCCCGAACTCAAATGCCCCCACTGTCCCTATCGGGCCAGGAGAGTGTACGTCCTGCAAAATCACATCAAGGGCCACCTGCTCTACAACTGCAAAGCCGGCTCGTAATCTCGCTAGTCATCCGCTATCGTTTATTAGTATTTATCGTCTGTATTTTGTGTGTGTGTCAATAAAATTTCAAATGTAACCTTCGCCTTTCCGACGACCCGCCTCGCCCGTAGATCTACGCGCCGTCGCAGTAATTCATATTGTTTTAGGTCGCTTTTTCGGCCGCGTCCATCGGTGCTACAAGTGCGGTCGGGAATACAACAGGAACCACAACCTCACGCGTCATTTGAAGGTGGAATGCGGTCAGAAACCGCAGTTTAAGTGTCCGTTCTGTCCTGACCAGTTCAAATACAAACACGTCCTGAAAAGGCACTTGCTGACCCACACTTCCAAGTTTAATCAGTAATTTTGTATCGGGAAGATGTTCCACGAAATTGATGAAGACTGATCGAAGAAGAATAAATGCGTATATTCCCATCTTGTTTTTTTATTTTTACCGGTTATTGGTACTGCCGGTACGACATATTATCGCTGGGTACTTAAGGAGGGTGCATGTTTCTCCGTCGACTTGCTCCTTTCTTTGTGTTTAATTGGACTTGTTTGTAGCGAAAAGAATCCACAAATGTTCGACGTGCGGCAAAGAGTACAACCACCAACCGAACTTGTACAGACACATCAAATACGAGTGCAACAAGGTTAGGTATTTTCGGTGCCCTTACTGTAACTACGCGGGTTTCCAGAAGAGTCACCTGAAAACCCACATACTGCGACGACACGAAGAGCTGTTCTACACGTTCGACAAGCTTTTCGGCGCGCCCCAAAAGTCAAACGACGACGGTTCCATTTAATTTGTTTAGATTTTTATCGGGTTTTAAGTGTTATGTTGTTTTAGCAATAAAGGGTGACTTAGAAAAAAACTATGTCCATTTTTCTGTCGATTCCTAAAAAACAACCCCCCGAGGTCTTGCCGTCCAGTCTTTGCAGCGCTAAGAAAAAACGACGTTTTGTTTTAGACCAGCCTCAGTTGGACCAACAGTTCGTCCCGCTAAGCGCGCCGCCGCTTCCCGCGACCAAGAAACCGAAAAATCCGACCAAGAGATTTTTGTGCCATTGCGGCAAGGCTTTCATGCGCAGACAGTCGCTGAACAGCCACACGAACTTCGTCTGCGGCAAGATGAAACAGCATTACTGCGGCATGTGCAAGAAGTTCTTCTGGGCACTTCATCAGCTCAAAGAGCACCAGAAGATTTGCAAAAAGACCTGTCGTTAAATAAACTTTGAGTTATCGACGCTTGTTGGTTTTTTCGACCCAGGTCACGGAGAGATGTCGAACGCAACGGTAGAGGGCGTGAGGTATAAACAGAAAGGCAGTATGAGTGCGGCAAATCCGAGAGTCTTAATTCTAAGTACAAACGGCCGTTTGTACTTTAATTGTGCGTAGTTTAATGGATCTCGCGAGAGCATAAAAGCGCCACACACATTTTTGAAATTCACACAAAAAAAGGTGTAAATTAGTTTTACAAAAATTTTTAGGATAGTTATAAATCTTATCTTTCCCGTTAAACCAAAGTGTCAATTCACCCACTATTTTTGACGAAATTCCGTAAGAAAAATGCGAATCTGAACTTCTTGCAAAATTTCGGGTTGGGTCGAATTTTAGGGTCATAGTAAAAGGGATATCAAAATTTATACATTTTTTCGCATTTTATCAAATTCGTAAAAAGTGGATTCACGCTTTTTGCTTTCATAAAATTTCATTTAAACAGTGAAAATTCACGAAATTTTTTCGAAATTAACACTTGTTGCAAAATGTCTAAATCTTGAATTTATACTTTTTTACCAAGAATCTGCAGTTAACATTTTCGTAACGAAATTTCGTAATAGTGGTCTAAATATAAAATTTTTACGAAAAATTGTAAATTAACAAACTTTTTACTTTTTTTTTAAATGTCTAAATTTTTTTTTGGGAACTTTTGCAAAAAAATCTAAATTCCCTTTTCTCCACAATGTAAAAAATATGTATTTGCAAATATGTAGTTTTATCAAGAACCTTTCACTCTTTTCTTACGAAATTTTGTAAGGAAATGTAAATTCACAAACTTTTTTGAAATTTTGTATAAAACTGCGATTTACGTTTTTTAATGAAATATAATTTTATAAAACTGAAAATTCTAGATTACTTTTTTTGTAAAATGTAAAAAAAGTAGTTACCCTTTTTGTCAATAACCTAACAAAATTTCGCAGTATAAATTCACAAACTTTTTACGAAATTTTCCAAAAAAAAAAAAAGGTGTTACTTAGAAAAAAGGTACGTTGGGCGTCAAATTTTGACGCGTTTCATTTTACCAAACTTAATATGGCGGCATAATATTGAACTGCATCGGGAGGTATGTGTGACGCTGGCATTCAATTTTTTGATAGTTGAAATTTCTAAGCCCAATTATTCTGGTAACGAGGACGCGGTCCTCAGTACTGTACGGACCACGCCTCGAACTAAGCCTGAACGTTTTTTAGCCAAGAAATTTAAATGTTCGGTCTGTCAAAAAGCTTACTTCGTACTGTCCAGCCTGCGGAGACACGAACGCTTCGAATGCCAAAAGGACAAGCAATTTTCCTGTCCGTATTGCCTCAAAAAGTACATACACAAGCATCACGTGACCGAGCACATTCCCAAGTGCACGTCCAGCGTCTCCGCCCGACAAAACTCAGACTTTTTTTCACGGGAAAGCTTTGAATAAGTCTTATATTTACTGTTCACATTTTTAGGGTACTTTTATTTCAACCAGCTGCCAAGGCCTCGAAGCAAGTACCACGCGGACGACACCGGCCGGTACCCGTGTCCTCAGTGCGGTAGCTCGTACAAGCAAAAAACTCACCTAATCCGCCATATTAACTTTGAATGCGGCAAGGAGCCGAAGTTTGTGTGCGAGTGCGGCAAGAAGTTCAAGCAGAAAAGCAACTACAACACACACCTGAGGATGGTACACCACGTTTTGAGATTGTGATATTAAACGGTCCACGAATTATGGGTCTATTATTTTTCTCATCAATCCGCTAGCTTTATTAGAAGTAAATTATCGACCAATCGTCTTGAACTAGCACTTGTTGTACCTTAGCTGAAAGTTAAAAAGGTATACGCTTCAAATGTTTGCCTTTCACCCTAAACGTATTGTTATATTTTAAATTGACAAATATGATGGCGAAATTAAACTAGTTACCCTGCGTAAAATTTAACTAAATCTAAATTTATGTTGTCCACTATTTACACTACTATACGATATACACGTTTCTAAGGTCTATGATTTAGATTTAGCCGTTCCGGCTTTTCTTTTTAACTGACTGACTGGGGAGCGCGGTGCTCCGCTGTTATAGAACGCAGCCGCTGCTCACAATAGGTGGGGAGGGTTTTCAATGTTTTTATATTAAAATTTTTTCTCATTAAATTTAAAATAATATTTCGTGGCTAGCATTTACACTTTTGATTTAGTTAGTAACCGTAATTACAATGCACAATTCCTTATATTTAAAGCAAAATCATACTGTTGCCGCTATCCAATAAAAAAATCAACTAAAGATTTTTCGAAAACCCTTTGCTAAGAATTAAACTTGATTAAAAATAAAACACCGTATGTTATCGTAAATTTCATATAGCTCTCAGTTGTACGGAGGCACACATTGTTGACGAACCAGACGTTTCGGCGCTCGAAAATCAATATGCCCGATGACACCCAATTCCACGGTTTTGTGTGTGGCGCTTTAGGCAGTTTATTATCGAAATATATGCCCATGTCACATTAAAGAAAATGAGTTTAGTTCATGGAGATTCCCGAAAAGAAAATGGCTCCAAGACAGGTTATTGTGCTAAATACCATTGCTAGTCGCATTGATGTTGGTACAATTTTCGTTTTAAAACAAATGAACTTCTTAAACCCGACCGACGATTTTTTGCACTCCGTTCGACAAATAAATAACCGCACTACCTTTTAGAGGAAAGGACTTGTTTCGAGTGCGGCAGATACTACATGAGCAAGTCGTCGCTGAGGCGGCACAAGCGTCTGGAGTGCGGCGTGGAGCCGAAATATCAGTGCTATCTCTGTTTCCGTCGCTTCAAGCACGAACATCACCTGGAGCAGCACCGAAATGCAAAGCTGAAATGCTGGAGAAGCCGGATTTAATCTCACCCTACTCGTAAAATTTTATTTTTGGGTGTATCCCCGTGGGCTGTAATTCCGTACTTAATGTTGAAAACTGTCGTCCGCAATATAGTAGTTTAGTTTTCCTCTGTTCCGTAGTTACTCTATACAGAGTCCTGACTAATTCTTAGGGGCGGGTATATCGCCAAAGGTTAAAGTTACGTTGACGTTTGAATTAGAATTCTAGGGAAAAAATAGTACCGCAAATTTTATTATTTCAATTTTTTAATGCGGACCGATCGGGTTTTTTCTCTTTCAGTTTTTTAATTTTAAAACGATGGGATAGTTGAAATAGCTAATAGCTAATCCACCGAAGGCCATTTTGAAATAACGAACTAAAACTAACCAAAGTTGTGTCACTCATCTACAAAAAAAGTTTAATTAATTAATTAAATTCGATAACTTTTTTCTCATTTATTCGTCATCCTAACTTTAACCGTTGCCGATAAACCATTCCTATGAAGTAGTTGGGACCCTGTGCATATTGCTTTCTACTTTGAGCGTGGTGGTTGTTCAATACGTTGTTCAAACACGGATTAATATTACTCCATTTTTAGTCTTATTTCCATGCAACCATTGTCACAAGGGCTTCAGATACAAGCACAATCTCACCCATCATCAGAGATACAAGTGCAACAAACCGCCGCAGTTTTGCTGCATGTTCTGCGAGAAGAGGTTCACGTCGAAGGGATATTTGAAGATCCATGTGTCTCAGAAGCACACGCAAGCGATGTTCCCCTTTTAATATATTTTTATTTAATATATTTTTTGATACGAGATAACGTTTGTGCCGTCATCCTTCAACAGTGTTGGTGTATTTGCTCCGATTTGACGTCGCGTTTGTTTCAGATACGTGGCGCCACGCGTTTCAGTGCGAGAAGTGCCTGAAAATTTACAAATACAAGCAGAACCTTAAAATCCACCAGAAAACCAACTGCACGAGACGCGCGTCTTTCATCTGCGCGGTGTGCGGCAGGAGGTTCTCCAGTCAGGGGTTCCTACGGCGGCACATGGCCTCCACTTCTTGCGCCAGCAGAGGCGGCGTCGAGAAGCTCGTCGACTAAAATAAAATTTTCAATGGATCGTTTGTTTTTTTTTTATTTTGGTAACTGCCTCGGTGTTTTATGACGAATATGAATATGAATATTATGACTAGAGTAAGACTCAATCATAAGTACCTGACGTTGCTATGGTACCAAGAATCTTTATTGCAGCCGTCACTATCTACGATTTTTAACAGTAGTTAAAACTACTTGACGAAATTGTAAATATTCAACATAGCGCTGATACGGTTTTTGATGTTATAGCTAAGGAATTAGAAGAAGATGAGCAGAACAGAACCACCAATCATGACAGCAATGCTTTACGACGCGTTACGTATACCTATCCGTGTCCGCTGTGCGCAGTCGCAAGATGCGTTGACAACTGATCTAGCTTTAAGTGTCTAATTCCCGCTGTGTTGTAGGTGACGAGGTGTACACCTGTGCAAAGTGTATGAGGAGTTTCAAGGTGGTCGGTTCACTGCGGAGGCACCTACGATACTTTTGCAGTCGGAAGCAGCCAAAAGTGACCGGTTTTATAGAACACGGCGTCGATAATTACGAGTGTCAGGTGTGCCACCGGCAGTACAAATCGTACGCGACGATGAGACGCCATCTGGTGTACGAGTGTCAAAAACCGGCCACCATTGAGTGTCCCGTAGTGCACTGCAACTACAAAGCCAAGTTTAAAAACAGGATGCTGCAGCACTGCAGGATGTCGCACAAGCTGGAGCTCTGAGATTGTTATTTATTCTGTATATTTTTTGTCGCGCTTCTGATTAAATCACTAAACAGTACGGTCGCTAATCTGTGCGCTAACCGCCAGTTTTTTAGACTACCGATACGTCTGTGAGAAGTGCAACAAACCTTACAAGAAGTGGATATCGTTCTACGTGCATCGAAAGTACGATTGCGGTACCGGCACCACCTTGGTGTGCGGGTATCTCAATTGCGGTACTAAAATCAATCGGAGAAGCAGTATGAAACGGCACATGATGACGCACAACGTCCTGCCGTGCGAGTGGGAGAACTACGTCATTACGAAAGACACCACTATTTAGATCGCGTTTTTTTTTGTTGATTTTTGCCCCAATAAGGATAGAAATGAGCGGTTGCTTTTTTGCAGACGTATTTTACTGCAAAAAATGCGACAAGGTGTACACCAAGCAACAGTCGCTATACGTGCACACGAAGTACGATTGCGGAAATAAGAGACAGTGGAGGTGCTTGTTTCGGGATTGCCGTCACAGGACTACGAGGACCGGCAACATGAAACGGCACATATCGGGAATGCACGGCATCTTGAATTCCGTGGAGGAGTACATGGCTTTAAATAATTAGCCACGCGACGGGATGCATGCCTAAAATTAGACTTAGTTTGCTGTTGTACGTCGCGACCGGTGCCGTCGATAATCAATTTTCTTGTTGCCCGTAGGTTCCCGTTTAAAGGACCTGCTGCGCAACGTAAACTTCAAGGACCACGTTTGCCCCGCGTGCAACAGGCAGTTTAAAAGGAAGGACCACGTTCAAAGGCACTATCTCGAACTACACCTCTGTCGGCAAACGCAGTTCGGATTTAAGTGCGCCTCTTGCGGCAGGGGCTTTAAACGCAAGTACCTAATGGAAAACCACGAGAAAATCTGCGGGATTAAGCCTGAAAAACCGCGCCTACCTTGCTTCAAGTGCGGAATCGAGTTCCGAACTAAAGCTTCATGGGTCAGTCACATGGAGGCGCTGCACGGCCTCTGTGCCGGTCAGCTCTGAATATCGGCAATCTACTCAGTGCCTTATACTAGTGCCAAACATTTTTGTATGAATATATTTTTGTACTACATATACAAAACGGCGTTTCATTTCTTCTAGTCTCGCGCCGAAACCATTCGCATCTTACGCCCATTCTGTGTTTTAGGATACGCGTGTCTCGGATGTTACAGGACCTACAAGTATAAGCGGAACCTAGTGAGTCATCAAAAAATCGAATGTGGAAAGGAGCCGAGGTACCAGTGCACCAACTGCGGCCGAAGGACGTACTTTAAGTCGAACCACAAGAAGCACGTGGCCAAGTGCTGCGCGTTTGAGTACATTTACTAATTTGTAAAGCCACTACCTTTTTCGCCTAAGCCGATGTAAATAACTACGCGGGTTGGCTTTTCGGAGGACCCCGTGTTCATGCCGAGACTAACGAGGCTCGTTTTTAGATCGTCCGTACGCTTGTCCCAACTGTAACTCGAGATACAAGTACAGGAAACACCTGAATAGTCACGTGAACTTCGTGTGCGGCAAACTGCCCACGATCAAGTGCGACTTTTGCTCAAAGATGTTCTACAGACCGTACGAGCTCAACACCCACGTCAAAACCCATAAACTGAGGCAGCTGCTGTTGGAGTAACTCCCGTTCGTCCGCTGTTAACGAAGTGCAATACTATTTATTAAAACAATAAAAGTCTTACGATCGATTTTTAGTCGTTCGGAATGTTCTGACCAGCCGGGCCGCGCCGACGATGACATCTTGGTCTGTTTTAGGACCGTACGTGTGCACCAAGTGCGGCAAGGTCTACCACAAAAAGAACTCATTCTATTGCCACGTCAAACAGCTGTGCGGAATTGAGCCGACGCATGCGTGTCCCGTCGCCGGTTGTCGATACATTAGCCGACTCAGATCTAATCTCAAAAGGCACATGCTTACCGTGCACAAGACCAACTCGTCACGGTTGGAGCCGTTCGTGGCTCGAAACAAGCAGATTTAGTCGGGTGCATAATGCAAACGCAAATGATGGCTATATTTTACGGGGCATTTGCAGGGTGGCGTTACACAGTAGCACAGTTATATATCTCCCTAGAAAAAAATGTTTAAATAAGAGTTCCATAAAATATAAAAACAAACGAAGCAAACGTTGTAAAAATATTTCTTTGCTATGTAATTGAAAAAAAATTAAAACGTTAATTTTTTGACTTAACTAAGGGAGATGTACTTTGCCGCACTACTGCTCCACCGTGTTTATATTTTTACCGTTTTCCGAAATACAAAAACGTAAACGTAGAGGCAACGCCTATTTTGGAAAATATGGTTTTATTTTTCGCAAAATCGTATTACCGGTTACACCTCTTTCCTAGTCTGGGACGGTCAGGTATTGAGCGGGATTGGTCGCCTTGCGTTCTTGACTGGTCGTTTTCTTTTAGAACTGCGATATTCTTGCGACAGATGCGGCCGTCACTATCGCTACATAGGCGGTCTGAATCAACACAAAAAGTTCATCTGCGGAAAGAAGCCTCAATTCGTCTGCTGGTTCCCCGGATGCGTTTACCGTACCAAGCTGAAGTTCGATCTCAACAAGCACATGAGGAACATTCACAAGGTGTCGCCTCCTCGACGATAAGCGAAATTCTGTAATGCGCTTTGCCGAAAATAAACTCGTATCGTGTATCGAAGTCCCGTGATTTTTTAGGCTCAGACGTAATCGTAGCTGGCAGCCGCTAAGCGTCATTCGTTTGTAGGTTTCTACGAGTGCGCGTCTTGCAACAAATCGTATAAACTCAAGGGCTCGTTGGATAACCACAAAAAGTACGAGTGCGGCAAAGAACCGGCTTTCAAATGCCCGTTTTGTACGTATCGGTGCAAGCAGAAAGGTAACCTAAAAGCGCATATCAGCAGGAAGCACAGCTACCACGAGGACATCAACAGCTACTTGAATCCTTCGGTCAAAAGCAATTCGGCTTTGTAGTATAGATTTGTAGTTGTAATCGGCCAACACGTAACACGGGTGACGTTCGTACAATGGTTTTTTCTTTCAGGGTTTGCGTTCCATTGCCACAGCTGCTCCAAACGATACAAACACAGAGAATCACTTCACAAGCATTTGAAGTACGAATGCGGCAAGGAGCCCTCATTTAAGTGTCCTCACTGCCCTTACAAAGCGAAATTTAAGTTCAACTTGAAAAAGCACGTCGCGTCGCGCCACAGCGATTCGTATTTGGACAACGTCGTGGCCGCTTGGAGTCCGTCGAAATAAATTTTATTGTGTTTTTGAGCGCTTTATTTTATCTTTTTTTAAGTATTTTTGTAGAAGAATTTGGGGTTTTCAGGTGCTGGAACTAAAGTACCATTTTCAAAAAAACTTTTTGCAAGGACCATCTTATCGTAGACACACTGTATTCTCAATAAAGTAGTATTTTTAAAACATTTGAGTGATTTTTAACGGTTTTAAATTTTTTGCTCACGACAATAGCAGGAAAGCGTAATTTCTGCATCGCTTGTCCCCCGGGGGACGCAGAAGTTAGGCATTCTTACTACTAAAGGCGCCTTAACATCGCGTCGCACCGGTGACCGGTTGATCTAACATGGCCGTCGATATACACTACAGCAAAATTGTCAAATTTCAGTCGCTATGTTGTAGAATACGTTTTGACGCTGGAAGGACGGTACGGGTGTCGAAGGTGCCGCTGTTCTTAAAAGAGAAAGTAGTACTTTTTGAGATAGGAGTAGTACAACGAGAGGCACTTCGGGTGCAACAACTGCTATCGCGGGCTCCGGCAAAAGTACCATCTGCCCCTACATCTGTCGTCCGGCACTTGTTTCAAATTGCGCGAAATACACGATTTTCTCTAGATAAAACCTCTCGAACGTTAGCAACGCATTTTGTCTCTTCATGACGAACCCTCGTATAGTAGCATTGACATGGTTAGTCCAGGCGATACAAACATGGAGGGTTAATCCACCACGTCTGAAGTACGAATCCGCCAAAGAATCATCGTTTAAGTCTCCTTTCTGCGTTTACAAGCCGCAATTTAAATCCTTACCGTAATTGTTTTAGTACATTTTTAGATAAATTCGTTTGTCCAATCTAAAAGATCATTTTAGCAAAAATTGCGGCGCCAACTATATCATTAAAGCGTCATTTTAGCGTGAAGTAGTTCATTTTTATTAAATTAGTATTTTTAAAATATTCAAGTAATTCTAAAATGTTTACCTTTTTTTTTATTCACGAGAGTAATAGGAAAGTGTAACTTTTCACGCGCCCCTGGTCATGCAGAAATTAGGCTTTCCTTCCTTCCTATTGATACCTTACGATCGCAATCTTCTGTGCGTGTAGAAATTAGGCTTCCCTTTAACGTCCTTTGCGGCCACTTTAACGTCGCGTCGCACTGGTGATCGGTGGTTAACCAATATTGCCGTAGACCTCAAATTTTGTTAATCTTCAGTCGCTACGTTGTAGAGTACGTTTTGACGCTCGAAGGGCGGTACGGGTGTCGAAGGTGCGGCTGTTCGTACAAGAGAAAGCAGCACTTCTTAAGACATGTGAACCACGAGTGCGACAACCAAAGGCATTTCATATGCTACAACTGCTCCCGCGGGTTCCGGCAGAAGTACCACCTGCACAGACATCTGTTGTCCGGCACTTGTTTTAAATCAGCGAAAAAACACGATTTTATGTAAATAAAACTTCTAGAAAGGTAGCAATGCGTTTTCCCTCTTCATGACGGCCCGTGTTTTGCAGATGTAACCCTCGTTATGACGGAAAACGGCAGGTACGGTTGTATCCAATGCGGCGCGTCGTACAAGTTCAAGAAACACTTTAACCGACATGCGAAATACGAGTGCGAACGTTTGAAGAAATTTGTCTGCCACGTTTGCCACAAGTGTTACACCAGGAGCGATTATTTGAAAAAACACTTGCTCAGTTGTGTCGCAACCTAGACGGCCATTACAGTTCGGTTGTTTGTAGGCAGGATTGCGTGCAAGAACTGCGGCAGACTTTATAAGCTTAGGACGTCGCTCAATCGTCACCTCAAATTCGAGTGCGGGCTGGCGCCCAAGTTTAAATGTCTCGTGTGCTCTTACGCGACCAAGCAGAAAATCAATGCCGTCACGCACATGATAGTAGTCCACGGCATCAGAAAAGAGGATATTGTATTCGACCTGTGATTTTAATAAAAACCCACCTAAAAATAGCTGACTTTCAGCAAACCTTTCGGTTTTGTGCCGGCCCTCGTTATTTCTATAATTGTTTTAGGGTTTCGACTTACGCGTGATGGCCGCTTCGGCTGTCAGAAATGCAGTTCGTCGTATAAAGACCTCGGCAACTTAAGGAGACACCTTAAATTCGAATGCGGCCGTGATCCGATGTTCATGTGCCCTATCTGCTATAAAAAGTTTAACTATAAGTTCATTTTGTCAAGGCATTTGTACACGCACTCCAAACTCCATTGAGGAGTTCCGTTTTCGTAGCCTAGAAATACATTTTCTTTTCTATCTACGGTAACGTGTTACCTGTACATTTAAAATTTTAGGTTCTAACACGCGCAAGGAAGAGCGTAGGAAGAACAGAACCAAGCTCGAGTGCGACTATTGCGGTTACTCCACGTGCCGATCCTACAACCTCAAAAGGCACCTCCTGTCCAAGCACTACGAGTTTGCTACTTGATTCGCCACGAACGTTTGCATTAACGTTACCGCATTCCAAAATTTTCCAACCAAAAATTCTGTTGACTGTTGATGTACTTGAGGTTACTGGATTGAGGTTCGAGCAAAGCTACGCGCTGCGTGAGAGTACACCACCGGAAGAACCTAAAATTTTGGAGGCACAAAATTGATTTCAAATAAAATCTCAAGATTCGCAGTGGTCGTTTATTTAACCGGTATTTAAGGTTGGGAAACGGACAAAAACAAAAACTCGAAACGTTGCGATTTGATTAATAATTTCGAATTCTATATCATCGCGTGGAACTTTACCCTCCTCGTTCTTCATTAACCGGTATCGTTTATAGACCTGCGACATTACTGCCCGAACTGTAGCAGGAGCTACAAGCACAAATTCCACCTGCGTAGTCATCAGAAGTATGAGTGCGGCAAGAAGCCGGCTTTCGAGTGTGCCGTGTGCAAGAAGCGCTTCCATCATCAGTTCCTCTTGAATGCCCACGTGAAGCAGACAAAATGTAATGTGTGGCATCCGAGGAACAACGAATACCAAATGAAACCTTTTTAAATTGCCATACCTTCAATTAGTTCCTCAGTTGTAGAAGTTTACAATAAAGTCTATCATTTTATTTTATACCGATATGTTTCCGTTTCCCGCTCAATTAGTTCAAGTTAGTAGAGCGTGTTATATTATATTGGGACCGAGTTTCGACCGAATTACAATGTTTAATATACTTTCAGAGGCACCCCGCGATAGCAATCCCAATCCGAATCGCTATTGGATGAGACGAAGGTATATCTGCAGCAAGTTCTTTAAATTGCGTACAGGTCTATACAAACATCAGAAATTTAATTGAAAGGCCGCATGAAAAGCCGACACACGAAGGTCGGCTTCTTTCAAATACGATTTTTTGCGTTCCCCTCTTGGAATCGATTGGGTTACCGATCCCAAACTCAAAAGAAATGATTATTTTGCTAAAAAGTCGATGTTTTAGGTTCGTTCGTATGCCCGACGTGTTACAAAGCGTACAGACACAGCCAGTCGCTGTACAACCACACGAAATTCGAATGCGGACAGTTGCCGCAGTTTACGTGTAAATTCTGCCCGTACAGGGCGAAACGAAAGTACCACCTCAAGATGCACGTGATGCGCTGTAAATACCGCGTTTGAACGTCAGTCCGCGCGTGCATGTCTCTCTGGTGTCGGTTTCGTCCTCGCGCGTGTTCCGTCGTCATTGTTTCCGTTTTGTTTTTAGTGTACGACATCTACCCGTGCGACCGATGCTCCAAGTGTTACAAGCACAAGGCGACGTTGTATAGGCACCAGCTTTACGAGTGCGGCCGCAAAAAGATATTCAACTGTCCGTATTGCGGCGCCCATTCGACGCAAAGGTACGACATGAAGAAACACGTCCGGTCTCTTCACCCGGAACGGGTGCTCGAGTTCGAAGCCATCTATAAAACGTTGTACGACAGGAAAAGATACTGCTGATTCAGTAAACCGTTTCCTTTCACGTTGTTTTCGTCCTTTTCGTATATTCCCGTCCGTTTGTTTGGTGTACATTTTTGGTCAGCGAAGGTTTCCTAACTCGACTTACGTTTTAGAAAAGTCGAAACTGTACTACTGCCCAAACTGCGGCAAGGCGTATCGGCATTCGCAATCGTTACACCGGCACAAAAAGTTCGAATGCGGCAAACTGCCTCTATTTAGCTGCAGCTTCGGTGGGTGCACGTTTCGGACGAAAGTCAAATGCAATCTCAAACAGCACATCGTCAGGCACCTGAATAAGGAGGACCTGCAGTGCACGATGGCGCGTTTTTAGCCCTTTAATTTTGAAACGAATGTAAATACTAACGCTACTATTAGATAGTTTATTTATTAATGCATTTTTAATAAATGGAGTTACGTTTTCAGCGGAAAGTCACAACAATAATAGCGTCTCCGCTCATATCGTCGACCACATCGATTACACCAAAAGGATGGAGAGCGATGCCGGGACCGTTAAAATGTCGCGGGAATTCGTGTGCCGCACTTGTTCCAAAAAATACCAAAGTTCCGGATCCCTTCAGCGTCACATTCGGTATGAATGCGAGATCCACACTAAGTACAAATGTCCGTTGCAATACTGCAAGTACAAAGCTCCGTACGTGGTCAGCGTCATCAAGCACGTCAGCGCCATGCACGGAGCCGAATACGACGTGTCTGAATTTAGGGATCAATTCTCATAAGCGTCTTTAGGTGCCTTAAGAGTGCAAATATTATGTTTATCGTTCACGTTTATATATTTTTTATCTATATACTTTATGATCGTTATCGTGCCATTTGCACGTTTGTTTAATCAGCTCCGTACCAAAGTTTGCTTGTTGCTTGATATTCTAATAAAGGTTTCTTCGTACCTCCCGTGAATTTTTTCCCGCGCTTTTCTGCATCTCGAAGAGCATTTAACAAGATTCGCAATTTTAGATCCGGATTCTTCGGATATATTTCTGAGGACGTTGGGATTGAGGCGCAAGATCTCCATTAGAATTTCAGGTGTGTCCCGTATGCACTTCTGTCACCTGTGCAGCTACAGTACCGCGGACAAAACGCTTCTCAGGTTGCACGTGTCCATAATGCACTTTTAGCACACGGTTTTGCAATAAAACTATATCTGTCGACGTTGTTTGATTCAGACGCTTTACAATTTATTTCGCAAAATTCAACCGGATTCGACGTTTTTGGTTGTTGTTTTATATGATCTGTTGCTTTTTTTTGTCTTCTCCGAATGACATTGACTTTGTTCTAGATCAGTTTTTCCCTTGTCATCAGTGCGGCAAGAGGTATATCAGGAACACTCATCTGCGAAGGCATTTACGGTTCGAGTGCTACAAGGACCCGCAGTTTGTTTGCATCTTTTGCGGCAAAAAGTTTCATCAGCGATGTAACTTGAAGGTTCACATCATCAGGCGTCACCCTTCGGTGCCCAAGTTTTAAGGGCAAACACCGAAACGTTTTATGTGTGCAGCTAGTCAATATTACACGGCAATGTAGTTTTCACTATAATTTACGATTTATCTCACGTCCGTTAATAATAATAAAAAAAAATGTCGGCATCGCACGAGTGTAACGGGATTTTATGGTGAAAGTTTAAATAACAGTGTTCCAAACGGTTAAATGTTTAGCTAACTTCAGCAAGCAAAATTTGGCATTGACGTTGCCTCCACAATAAACATTTCTAAACAACTGGCGTTTGCTTTACACGCAGCTTTCATTTTTCTAATTTTTCATTTAATTTTTAGGTTTCGAGTTGGTTTTTGTTAGTATTCTGAGTACGAGCGTACGACTTTAAAGTCGCTGTGTGAACTGTTTTGTACCGTTCTAGGCTTATAACGTTCTTCGCGAGAGATTTTGACGAGTACTCCGACCTCAATGTCTACAACCGCGACCGTATCCGATACGGCTGGGCTAGGCGTCACAAAATTTACAGGCAGAAGAAAACTCTCGGTCGGCATCTGCGTAGCCACGCGTGAAAGATGTGTTTCAAGATATTTAAATCTGCCTACATTTTACTAAAGCGTATGCGCAACATCCACAAGATACACATACAAAAGTTGAGACATAGCCAGCCCGCGACGCGTTTACAATTTATTTTAAAATTATGCTAGGCCCGCAGACAAAGTTTAATTTATTCTATTATTTGCTTAATATTTGTATAATAAATTTAAGAAAAAAAATACGCGGATTAGACATGAAGGATTGTAATTTCCAGACTATCTCTCTTATTACAATTCTTAGGTTGTGGCGGCGTCGTAAATGCTTGGTTGGCTTGCTGGGCTTTACTGTGGGTTGTCGAGGTGCGAAGGTACGACGCGTTTACCCCCTCCCTGCTTGCAAGCGTTTCGCTCCCGCTCATTTGTCCGTTTTTTAGCTCAAGACCTGCGCGTGGTTAAACCGTGGCAGCAGCTGCCGCCCAGCCTTATGCTGCGCATGATGCTCATGAAACAGACCATGTTAAATCCTATGGCTCCCACCGCCTTACCGTTTCTACACTTGGCCAAGTGCCAGAAACCGAAACCAATGGAAGTTCAGTCCGAAAACGACGGTGGTTATGTGTGCCACGACTGTGGCAGGGTTTACAAGCTTAAGAGCTCGCTGCGCAATCATCAAAAGTGGGAATGCGGCAAGGAGCCCCAGTTCAAATGCCAGTTTTGCTCCTATCGGGCCAAGCAGAAAATGCATATGGTACGGCACATGGAGAGAATGCACAAGGATATGGATTTGGCGGTCGTTAAGAAAGAGAACGGCGAAGATCTCGCAGACTACGGCGGTTTGGACGGAGGCGGCGCCGAGTAGGCTGCGCCCAATATGTTCTACCTCAGGGATATGACGGACGGATATACTATCATCGACTCGTCCACCGTTAGTGCCTTCGTATACTCAACGGTTGTGTGATAAATATTTTCTCTGCGCTTTGAAACAGAAATCCCAACAACAACGTTTATTCGCATAGGTGTGGGGTTGTTGTAGCAATTTAAAATATCCTATAATACTCGTAATGTGATGAGCTCCTTTGATAGCGACGATCTACGTGGTTCCTAGTATGGGGAGTTGCAAATTCGAACTCCCAAACATTCCTATTTTTTTATACCATACTCGTTCCCAGTAATAATGTAATTATCATCGGATGGTTGCGGTGGTTTTCAATAAAATATATCCGAAATCCGTTCGTTTTTTCTATCGCCCAAAAGCGGAACATCGCTCCTTTGCTGAACTGTCCGTATTTTTAGATTTTCCCGCGACTTGCAAAAATGGGGGTAACGTGTACAAGAACGCGAGGTGCTGCGACTAGGAGAAGAACCATAAGTGCCTGTTTTGTCCGTTGACCTTTTAGCGGCGACATAATCTCGAAACGCACTCGTGCAGGCTCCGTTTCGCGAACGCGATTGTCCTGTACGGCGAATCTAAAATAACCTAAAAATGTCGGTTCGACACGGACAATTTTTCAGCTTTTAAATGTCTAAAGTGCCAGAAATCGTACACGACCAGGTCGTCGCTGCAGTCGCACGTCGCCAAAGATTGCGGCAAAGAGAAGACGCACCTGTGCGACCTGTGCTCGCAGAAGTTCAAGCGTAAACACCACCTGAAAAGTCACTACTTGAGAAAGCATTCAACGATCATAGTGTAGTGAAAAAAATAGACGCGAATTTAGTCCCCGAGTTTTTTTATCTTCTTCTGTGCTTTCGGGGGCTACTAACACTCCCGTGTCTGAATGTCTGACTATATTGACTGACGAAAAAAAAATTCCAGTGGGTTGCAACAGATGCGGCCGCGTCTACAAGAACTTCATCACGTTGCGAGTGCACCAGAGACAAGACTGCGGTAAACCGAAGACGTTCAGGTGCGAGGACTGCGGCAAACTCTTTCGGCGACAGTACCAGATGAAAGTGCACTCGGCGAGATACCACGCGTGTTAAAATGTACTTATTATATATATTTTTGCTAATACGAAATTTATTTTATTTCCCTTATCCTGTAGGTACTAACATTTAACGCTCACTATTAGCACGTATCACGCTTAACGCTGCCACCATTTTAGACCTGTCCATCGCGAAACATACCTGCAAGAGATGCGGAAGGTCGTACAAGCACTACCCCTCGCTGTACAACCACCTCAAGTTCGAGTGCGGAGTCCAACCCCAGTTCAAGTGTGATATATGCGACTACGTAGCCAAGAGGAAGCACGCTCTCAAGACCCATTACATCAAACACAACGTCGTGCTGGATTACTGAGAGTCAATAAACTCTTTCTTTGCCTCTTCGGTTAATTTGCTCAGCCCTAATCCCCCCGCGTGCATTTGTCGTTGACGTTTTTAGGGGTGAGTGCAATTTCGCTGACTCAATTCGTGTTTTAGTGCTGCCGACCGAAGACGGCAGGTTTTTCTGCCGCAAATGCGGGAAGATATACGTCAGGGAACAGCACGCCATGCACATCCTGCTCGAGTGCGGCAAACAGGCGGTGTTTCAGTGTCCCCTGTGTCCACGCAAATGCAAACAAAAGGACGTCTTGCAGACGCATCTCAAGAACATCCATGGAATACACTGAAGACGCCTTTGCAATGGTTTACTCGGTCGAAAGGTTTAGTTACTGTCATTTAAATTAACCAAACCGTGGTTTTATTTTAGGTTTCTTTCGTATCGCAGAAGTTCGTTTCACATCTAGTAATTTAATTGTTGTGTGTATACTTTTAGTAATTTAAGTACTAATTTGAAGACTGGTTAATTGTTCAAAAATTGGCATTATACGGGATGAAACCTTATTTTGGTGGTTCTGAGATGCGCAGCGAAACCAGCGGCTTACGAAATTGATTCATATAATTTGACTGTCGCTGCCTATCTGACTAAATCTTATTTTTGAATCGGAAAGCATCCTGTATAGTTAGTATAATTTTTAATTATATACGACTAAGTAAGTTTATTGTCGGCTGACTGAAACTGCAATGCATTTATTATAGTCGACATTATTCGCAGTATTCATGAATTTTATATGCCGCGCTATATCGTTGTCACAACTTATGTACATGTTCACTCCAAGACTGCTTTAATTTATTTCATGCTGTTTATTTTAACCCTAAGTGTAAACTGTAGACAGACGAAGTTGTTGATTAATAAAATACAGTATACCACGATTGTCAGCTTTTCATACCGAATTCACCATCGGGTTCAAAGCGGCGAATCGGACACTACAGTCGCTACCGCTATTTTCAGGCTACCGCCGTTACCACTGCCACTGCGGTCGGAGCTACAAGAATCCCGAGAGCTTGTGTCGGCATAGAAAGGAGTGCGGCAGGGAGAAAAAGTACAAGTGTCCGCACTGCAACCATCGCAGCCATCGCAGCGACAACCTCAAGAGGCACATGGTGCTCCATTTCGCGCCCAAAGACGTTAATTTTTATTAGCGAAAATAAAACCCGTCACTGCAAACGCGTTTTATTCGTTATTTGCGTCTTCTTTGCCGTCGCCGCCACGTAACCTGCTGCCTGTTTTAGCGCTGTACCACTGCGAAAAGTGCGGGAGGGGGTACACGCATCACCGCAATATGAAGAGGCACGAAAATTTCGAATGTCAGAAACCTCCTAGGTTCGGTTGCAAGCTGTGCGAGTACCAGTGTCACAGAAACAACGTGCTGAGACAGCACTATGCCAAAAAACACGGCGTGTCCCAGTAAAACCTAAAGACTAACGCCTCCGCTTTTAGCTCGCGGATTCGGTTGTCCGAGATGCTACAGGATGTTCACCAGGCCGGACAACCTCAGTAGACACATAAGACTCATCTGCGGACAAAACTCGCGACCCTTCTGCTGTCCCATGTGCCAGAAGCGCTTCAAACTCAAGCACCACCTTAAAAACCACTTCAAAAGTTTGCACAACGAATACGTTTTGTATGGATCCGATAACTGATACAATAAAGCCGTCAAGCTCGAACACTGTGTCTCGGAACCCCCTTGCAAGTACTACTAAGCTGCGTCCCTGCACTTACTAGCTCTTTGTTTTAGCCGACGACAAAAAAAAGTACATGTGTCCGAAATGTTGCACGCTGTTCACGCGCTCCGACAACCTTAGCCGGCACATGCGCGTCATCTGCGGGCAAAATTACAGGCCATTTTCGTGCTACGTGTGCCTCAAGGCGTTCAAGCTCAAGTACCACCTGAAGAAACACTTCTGCTGCGTGCATCCCGAGCACTCATTCGCTGTCGAGTACAATTCCTCTTAAAGCCTTGTAGTGTGCACGATAGTCGGCTTGCAGAGTCCTTCTATTTTTACATCGCGTTCTGTTTTAGAACATGCTTGTCCGAACTGCTGGAAGATTTACAAGTACAAATCGAACCTGGGCAGGCACCTACGGTACGAGTGCAACAAGAGGCCTTCGTTCGCGTGCCCCCATTGCTCGAAGGCTTACTACCAGAAGTCGAGCTTGAAGAGTCACGTCACGTACTCCCACGGATTTTTCGACGAGAGGTTATAGGACAACCCGAACTAATAAAAATCTCAAACGGACCGTCGCTCGTGTTTTATTGCATTGCTTCGCTTAGCACCTCCTCCACACCACTTTAAGCTCTTACGGGTGAGTTCGGGAAGTTGCACTAACTCACTGTGTTTTTCAGATCCGCTGGCTCTGAGAGCGAAGTTGTACCCGAACTACAACGGCTTGACGCGTGTTTCCACTGCGGTACCATCCAACCGTAGCTATCCGGAGCGAGTTTCTGAATATTATCAAGAGGAACCAACCGGGTACTACGTGTGCTCGCGGTGCGGGCGCAAATACAAGTACAAAACCGGTTTGAACACGCATCAGCGTTTCGAGTGCGGCAAACCACCTCAATTTTTCTGCCGGTACTGCCGCAAGACGTTCACAAGGAAGGGCAGCCTCAAAGTTCACCTGGCGACCACGCACTCGGCTACCATTTAATTTTGCAATACACCGTTTATCCTACGAACTAGAGCGTTTCATTTAATAATGTTTTTCGTGAATTTAGTTGGAATTGGGTCGTGACTCGTTTGTTTTTCGTTTCAAGAGTTCGTCAAACCTGACGACTTCTTCGCGTGTCGGAACTGCGGCGCCAAGTTCAAGTACCGCCGCAGCTGGCAGCAACACTGGCGCTTGGGATGCGGCCGGATGCCCAGCTTCACCTGCCACATCTGTGTGCAGGCTTTTACCCACCCCGGACACTTGAGGTACCACCTGTCTACCACGCACGACCTCGACGTTTACAAATCGACATGATTTCTCGAGGCGCGTAATTGGATCGCATCGCATGTTCACCCAGAGCTCTGACTTTGATCGGTACCGCGGGTAACCTAGTGCGTTTTTAGTACACAAGTCTCGCGAATCGTATACGTGCAAGAATTGTGGAAACTAGAAGGTTTCTTTCTACAGCCACTGTACCTACGACTGCGGCACGAAAAGTTCTGCTGCAACCTGTACGACTGTAGTCACCAGCGTGGAAAACGACGCTCTATCTAATTGAGCCTCATATTTATTATGTGCTTTAACCTAGTTCATTAAAACATTTAGTTGGGTTTTAGTGTACATATTTCGGTGGGTACTACCGCAGCTACAGTCGCGACGCCAAAACCACAGCTGATTAACTTATTTTTTTAGAAACGACGATGTTTATCTTCCAGTGCGACCGGTGCGACAAAGCGTACCGCCGTCAGGGGTCGCTCTACAGCCATAAGAAGTACGAGTGCGGCAAGCCGAAGGGGTTCCGTTGCCCGTACTGCTCCCATAGCACCTACAGGAAAGAGAATCTGAAGTACCATGTTTTCAATCGACACAAAAGGTCCCTGTAATTGTGCAATATACTGCGTTTAATTGACTCGGAATGATCATCGTCGGTTAGGTTTTGAAATGAAAATGCCCTTATGGGTGGTACTGGCGCAATAAAAATATTTTTGATTAACAATCCGGAGTTTCATTCAAAATACAACTTGACAGCGAACAAGAGATCCATCGCGCTAACCGGTACCGTTTTTAGAGTTTTACAAAAGATGCACCGGCTGCAACAAGGTCTACACGAATAAGTACAGCCTCAATCGGCACATGACTTACGAGTGCGGCAAGCAGAAGTTGAACAAGTGCCTATATTGCTCGCACACGTCGAAACAGCGGTACAACCTCATGATCCACGTGAGACACGTGCACCCCGAAAAGGAACCGGAGTTTACCCAATGGTACTTCGAGAGGAAAACAAGAAAGAGCTGACCTCTCTTTTGTTTAGTTCGCGAATAGACGATTTTCGATGCGAATCTCTAAAATGGTACTACTTGGTTCCAGGCAGTACGTATTACATAACGAGCGACGGACGTTTCGGCTGTTTGCGTTGTCCCTCTTCGTACAAACGAAAGGTCCACCTGTCCCGACACGTCACGTACGAGTGCGGGGTCGAGAGGAAATTCATCTGCTGCAACTGCAACAGTCGCTTCAAGCACCGGAACCACCTGAACGTGCACGAAACGTCGGGTATCTGTTACAAATACAAACGGCAAATAAAGTTTTGAGTTGTACCCTAGTTTTTCGTACGACCTCCCGCAGAAGCGGACGATAGTCACTGTTATAGTTACACCTGTTCTTTGTAGGTGTCGGAGTTATCTGTCCCCAGTGCGTAAAGCAGTACAGCAGCACCGCCTCGTTGAGGTTCCACCGGAAGTACGAATGTGGTAAAACCGCTGCATTCAAATGCGCGTTCTGTGCTTACACGTCGAAGAGGAAGAGCTCCGTGAAGCAGCACTGCGGGTTAAAGCATCGCGGCGTGCTGCTGACCGACGAAACATTTTTCGTGAAGTTGTGACCGTACTTAGTTTTAAAGTCGCTGGGGCGTCGAAGCGTTTTGTTGACTCGAGGTTCATTTTAGGCATTTCAACGTACCAGTGTCCGCGCTGCCAAAAGTCTTACAGACACTTGCAGTCGATGAAACGGCACCACGTGTACGAGTGCGGCAAAGCGCCCACCTTCAAGTGTCCCTATTCGGGATGCACGTATCTAGGCAAGAGAAACTCGCACCTCAAACTTCACATCGCCAACCGGCACACCTACGTCCAGATCCCAAAGTTGTAAATAAAAATTGATAATCAAATGCGGGTCTTCTTTGGCGGTGCCCGATTCCATCAACATTTTCATGGGGTTCCCGAACGCCAAGACTGGGGCTAATTGTTGAATATAATACTTGTCATTGTTTCCTGAATATACCGATCACAAAGCCCATACTTAAAACATATACGTTTTGCAAAAAAGAGAACAACAAAAAATCTAGGTAACGTATTCTTGATTATTTTATTTATCAGGACATTAAGTTTATTCTTTCGTTTTTTTAAAAATGATATTTTCAGTTGAAACAAAAATATTTAAACCACTTTGAGGATCCTCCAAATTAATTGTGAAACACACCCTAATTATTCAGTAAAATTAGGTTGATGGAACCGGTCGTTTAAACTTCGATTGTAACTTTCAGTTACAGCGGCGCACACGAAGGGAACCAAAAAAAAGGCGGAGGCGTTTAAATGCCCGATCAAGAAGTGCCACTACGTCGGCAAGGCGATCTCGCACTTGAAGTTGCACATCACGCACGGCCACCGGCAGAACTGGGGCAACATCATCAAGGTGGTGGACAAGCCCAAGTTGGAGAATACGGAGCAAGTGTGGATTAAGGAGGAACCGAAGTAGTCCTGTAGAAAATTGTCGCAATATATCATTTCCGCACTTAGGATTCCGTTTTCTACCCACTGCCCCCTTCCCCAACTATCGCTCCGTCATTAACCGAGAGATGGATTTTAGGTTATCGCCCCGAGGATGGTCAGCAGCCGCGACTTCGAATCTGCAGAAGAATCTTTAAGTCGATGGACGAATACCTAAAATTCAAGAGCAAGGTGAAGCCTTCGTTCGATTGTCCGACGCCGGGTTGCGCGTATTCCACCAAGCGCCTACATTTCCTGAAAAACCACCTCAAAAAAGTCCACGCCCTCGACTGGACCAGGGTGCTGCAATTTATTCCCGTCGAGGTGTTTCGCCCTTAAACGTTTTATTTCTAGCAATGTCTTCAATTTGCACATACCTGTAGAAGTGGGTAAAGGACGCGCGCTCACGTTTTGCTCGTTTTAGGGCTCCCGAATCCGCCACAGCTCCGAATATGCCGGCGCATTTTTAAATCCAAAGAGGAGTACATGAAACACAAGAGCCAGGTGGCTCCGTGGTTCAACTGTCCGATGCCTACCTGCAATTACTCCACGAATCGATTAAAGTCGTTGAAAAGTCACCTTCCGAGGGTGCACAAGGTTGACTGGGCCAGCGTGTTGCAGTTCATTCCAGTCAACGTCGGCGCCGACCAATAAACGTTTGAAATGTTTCACTCGTTTTCTTAGGGCGCGGGGGGTGGGGGGGTCCCGATAGCGTACACGTTACTATTGACGCGTAACGTCACGGCTCTGAGCTGACCGTCTTTTAGATGAGCTGCATCAGTGCACTTCGTGTGACAGGGTATACAAGCGCAAGAGTTCGCTGAGGAACCACAAGGCGTTCGAGTGTGGCAAGGAACCCACCCTGTTCTGTTCCCGCTGTCCCTATCGGACGAAAATCAAGTGTAACTTTAAACGTCACTCGAAAACCCACGGTCAAATATACTAACTTCTTCCCAAAACGGTTCGGATTTATTTTTTTTCGGGTGGTGGGATCTCGCTGGTACGTAACGCTGATTTGGACGTTGGCCTTCCTGCTCTTCCCTCGCTTTCGCTTCCGTTCTTCCGCCGTATCGTTTTTAGTTACTTAGCGTTTTGTTTCTAGAAATAATAGTTGTGGGATTTCCCAACACGAGGCGGCCCAAGGGCAAGGGCAGCAACCGCTGCTATTGCGGCAAAACGTACTATGAGAAAAAGAACCTCATCAGGCACCAGAGACTAAAGTGCGTGCTGAGGTTTCAAAACGTTCACGAGTTTACCGACATTCACCAGTTAAAAATTTAAAACGGCACTTCAGGCTTTCGGCCGAGTACTTAGCGTAGTTTCGTATTATTATTATTTTTTAGGTAGTTGGTAGACGCGGTTTGGGTCGTACGTTGTTTTTATTTATATTTAGAGATTTTTTTTTTAATTTATTGTCCTGTTATACATAGTGCCTTTATTTATTTGTTGTGCTAGCGGTTGCCTTTCGATTAAATTTTATTTTTACTTCGAATATTTTTTTATGCATGCGTTGCAAAATAACACACGGAATACATCAGTGACCGAAGTCCTTGAGATTTGGTACCTCAGTAGTTAATTGGTTCGCTTCTGCATCCACCGTCGTCCTCAGATTTTGAGATATTATAATTTCTACAGTAAAAGAATTCGGATTTATTGTCTTCACACCACATTAAAAACATTGAGTTGAGCGCGGAATTAGATATTTGAGTTTGGTTCAAAGGAAAGCTCACTAAATGAATATTCAAATATTGACTAAGGCACAAACTTTCCAGCCAGCCTATGAAACTCAATCGAAAGCCTGGATTGGAGAAACTTGAGAACCTCACGCTTACAGCTCTGGTTTTCATCTTCATTCTTGTTTTATAATTATGATGATTAATGTTTATCGAACTTGCCGTAACCATTCAGTAGACAAAATACACCAAATGTTTATGGCTTCCGACTTCGTACTCTCTTACGTTTTGATTGTCCCAATTTTCAGCCGCATTAACGTTCAAGTGTAGGATTTATTCAAAAGGTTTTATCCAGGATCGTTATATGAACTACTACTCGAACCACGAGTGCGGCAAATATTTCCATCGCATCGTATGCGACAAGACGTTCCAGATCAAGGAGGCTTGAACAGATACTTCAAGATGAGTCGCTTGTGTTTTTTTTTACTTTAATTTTCTTTGCGTGTGTGCTTTGACTTTCAAAGCGAACGCTGATCGGATGGTTATTTTTAGATACTTGCCATCAGTGCGGAAAAGTGTACAAGCACAAGCACACGCTGGTCCGCCATTTGCGGTACGAGTGCTTGAAGAAGCCCTCCTTCGAGTGCATCTACTGCAACTATGCGTCGAAAAGAAAATACCCGCTACTCGATCACGTCAAGAGCAGCCATTTTGAAGAATACCCCAACTTTGCCCGAAACATTTACAAGTTTTTGTACAACGAGCTCGAGGCTTACAATCCTCTTACGGAAAAGCATCGCGCCACCTCTTCTTAAATTTTTAGACGTCGCGTGACTACGTAGAAGTGTGTGTAGAGTGGGCGGTACCTTTAAATGTCTGAAAAATATATTGTGCCAATTAGAAGCTGTAGCGTGTTTAATCGAGATGGTTAGTTGACGTTCCGTAATTTTAGGCTTCAAGTGTGGCTGTGGCAAAGCCTACACCCAAGCGTACAATCTGAGACGGCATCAGAAGCTGGAGTGCGGACAGAAACCTCGATTCACGTGCCATCTGTGCAACTACTCTTGTTACAGGAATAACGTGCTGAAGCTTCACTTGAGGACAAAACACTCGTTCCTTAATTTTGATAGATAGCGAGGACGTTAGACAGGGTCGAACTTGGTAGTCGTAAGATCGCCTCCACGTAGGGGGATGAGACTTGATTGTGCTGTGGTTGTAAATTACACTTATTTGAACACGAACAATAGTTTTATTGCCTCTTTTGTATTATGAATGTTGTAACACTAACTGATCGTTCCCTAGCACTCCGTTCGATAACGCAGTCGTCAATTCCTTTCAGTGTTCGGGTACCCGCTCATCACCGATCCTCACGGGTACTTTAACTGTTCAACGTGCTTCAAAAGATACACCCACCGTAGCAGCGCCATGAGACACGTGAAGTATGAGTGCGGCAAAGGACCGCAGTTCAGGTGCCGGTACTGCCCGAAGCTCTTCACTCAAAGGAGTAGTTTAAAATCGCACGTGCTCGCGTTCCACGTGCCCGAGATTAAAAAATACAGATTGGTGTTTTAGTAGTGTACAGACGCAATCGGAATAAATTTTAAACAAGGCAGCCGTCGTGATTTTTGATTTTGGGAAACCTCGACCTTCGATATTTACCCTGTGGTGTTGTAGGTTTTGTCAAAGACGCGAAATCTGGACTTTTCGTGTGTCTGACCTGCACCAAGAGGTACAAACGAAGAGCCGGCGTTCGCGAACATCTGAAACACTACTGTCAAACTGACGCGCGTTATGTCTGCGACCTGTGCAAGAGAGTTTTCAAACGCAAGAGCTCCTTAAAGCGCCACCTTCACATATTTCACCGCTTAAATGTTTAACCGCTCTAGTTTTTAGGACCTAAGTATTACGCGATAGAGTCCGACACCAAGCTTTACGCATGCCTCAAATGCATGAAGAAATACAAGAGCAGGGGTGGCATTTCTCAACATGTCCATTACGAGTGCGGAATCTCGCCCCAGTTTTGCTGCGAGCGCTGCGAGAAGACATTCGCTAGGCGTAGTTCCCTGAGGCGCCACCTTAAGTGCTGCCACTCTATTCACATGAACTAAACGTTTATATAACATCCCCACCCCCTCTTTCGTGCCACGGTCGCTTCATACCCTACATCGCTGTCGTTTTTTAGCCCTGATGTGCTCGAGGTGCGGTAAACACTACAAGACTAAAAGTACTCTGAAGCAACACCTTAAAGAGTGCGGCCTTCGGCCGCAATTTTCGTGCCACCTCTGCGCCAAGAGTTTCACCAGGAAGAGTTCCCTAAAGTACCACCTAGTTTTAGTCCATTCGACTAGGAAATAAACTCTAAAAACTTGTAACTTGCAATTTTTGAGCGTGTTGCTTGGGGGGGGGGGGGACTGAGGCGCCTGCATTTATCTGACGCGGTGTTAATTTTCAGATTTTTTCCTGCAGTTTCGCGAGTTGCGGCCGCGGTTCAGCTGCAACAAATGCGGCAGGAGTTACAAGCACAGTCGCCATCTTACGGCTCATCTCAAGTACGAGTGCGGCAAAGAGCCTGGATTCGCTTGCCAGATGTGCCACAAGAAATTCTTTTACAAGTATACCATGAACGCGCACCTGCGAGGGGTGCACCTTAAGGACAATATCCCCTGAGCGTTGTATCGTGCTGTATATTAAACAACGTGTTGCAAACGAATTAGTATTATTTCCGCTTAAGCATTGGATCCCGTGGAAGCTCTTAGTCGACTGATTGGTATCACGTTTTAGAGAAATCGTTTCCGTGCGATACTTGTGGGCGGGCGTACAAGTACCGGGGCGGCTTGACCCAGCACAAGAAGTACTTTTGCATGCGAGAGAAGAAGCTCGAGTGCGAAATCCCCGACTGCACTTACAAGACCAATAGGGTCTACGACCTATCGCGACACATGAGAAAAAAGCACAAAATCCACCACGTCGAGTAGTCTTTTCGCTTTTTCTTAATAAAGGCCGATGGTCGAACCGTTGTTTTGTTATTGTTCCTCGCCTCTGTCCTGGGGACCTCCCTACAAATGCAAATGTTTCAGGTTTTACTTGCCAGCACTGCGGGAAAACCTACAGGCACGACACATCCTTGTACAGGCACAAGAGGTTCGAGTGCGAATCGTTCGCCAGGCCGTTCACTTGCGGGGTATGTCGCAAGACGTTCAAGAGAAAAGACCACCTGTTCAGACACAGTGTCTACATCCACGGCATCGGGAAAATTTTTTAGTTTTAGTCGTCAAAGTCGTTGTCTTCTTCTTCTTCGTACGATTTCGCTGGTTATCGTGCCGTCTTATTGCAGCCGATCTGTACCGTTGCGAGGCGTGCGGTAAGGTCTACAAGCTGAAGAACTCCCTGCGGAACCACAAGAGGTACGAGTGCGGCCGGTCGCCGCGTTTCCGATGCGACCTCTGCCACTTCAAAACCAAGCTGAAAGGCAACCTCAAAAAGCACGTGGTCAAAGTGCACAACCGGTTCGAAATTGTAACAACATTTGATAAATAAACCGGTAATTTTACTTCAACTTCTTTGCTCCGTTGAATGTGTATGAGTAGCGGTCCTATTTGGCTTTCTTTTTGGAACAATCTATTTTTTATTTAATAGACCACCCCAATTGGAACCTGCGACTCGACGTGAAATGGCGAACAATTAAATTTGGGTGTTGTAGGGAGGCACCGTTGCTCGACGTGCGGCAAACATTACAACGCAAAGAGTTCTTTGAGGAGGCACCAAATTTACGAGTGTCAAAAGTCACCGCAGTGCGCATGCTCGTTTTGTCCTTATAGGACGTACTTCAAGTCGAACTTGGAACGACACGTCGTCGTGAAACATTCGAAAAACGCGCATTATTCGCAGAACTCGGTTACATCTTCCGAAGAAAATTTCTCTTCCGTTTTATTTTAATCGACTCCCCCAAATAAATGTAGAACCGAAATTTGCAGCTATAACTTATTCGTCTTTGACTTCAACATCGACCAACCATATTCTACTTCACGTTAACTTTGTAGGTGCGTCCTTCAGGCACTTCTGCACTACCTGCGGCAAATCGTACAGCCTGCTGAAGAACCTGAAGCGTCACGTCGCCGTCGAGTGCCAAAAGGAGAAGACGTTCGTTTGCCAGTTTTGCGAGAAATCTTATTATTATCGGGCCGACCTCAAGAACCACCTGCATCGGGTGCACAGAATCCGTTTCGCCTCTTAGACTTACCTTAGTTATAACTTTGCACACGACTATAGAGTATTTTTTCTAAATGCGTTTTTTTCGTCCGTCGGTGAGTATACGATTCCATCCGAGTTGCAGGTTCAGCTTTCCCCTCTCCTGCTGGCTAATACCCGGTGACGCGTCGCTTGGAACGCTTTTTCAAAGAATCTCCTCCTCCCAGCAGGACCCGTTTACTCATGCGACCTCTTTTTTAGCCGGCGCGTTGCCGCCCAACTTGGCGCTGCCGATGATGCTAATGCGCGAGAACCTCAAACAGGCGATGATGCAGACGGAGTTTTTGGAAATGAAATCGAAGAAGATAAATAAAGAGTCCGATGATTCGGGTTACGACTGCGCAGAGTGCGGGCGCATTTACAAGCTGCGCACGTCGCTGCGCAACCATCAGAAGTGGGAATGCGGCAGGGAGCCTCAGTTTAAGTGCCCGTTTTGCCCTTACAAAGCGAAACAGAAGATGCACATGGTGAGACACGTCAAACGCGTTCACAAGGACGTCGACGTCAAACAGGGAGGCCGGGACGACGCGGTAAATATCGAGATCGCGTTCGGTGAGATAAATAACGAAGCGGCCGCCGATTAAGGGCGCGACCGCTTATTCAAGTGATAAGCGATGATATTAGACAGTAGAAGTTCCTATAACATTTCTCGACTCTTTCTTTTTGAAATTTGAACCGCAATACCTCAAAGTCATTCCGATACTGCCGTTCACGCCTCCAAGTGCCTTTTTTAAACTAGTGCTTTTAAATCGGTTCCTACTACGATTACGACGTATACTACGTAAGCAATTTTTTTTTGTAGTTTTAGGTTTAAAAATCACATTCCGAGAACCTAACGTTTACATAATTTTCGGTCCATATCATTCGTGATTAAGTTTAGAGATATTATATATTTCGGTTGGGGTGTAAAATAAACAAATGTTAAATCGTGGACGAATTTTTCTTGCGCCGACCTTTGCGTATTTCGTTGTTGCATTTTACTGCTAACCGATGATGTTTTAGTTCTGGAAACCGGGAAGAAAGGCCAACGAAAACCAAAACGGGCACTCGATCGCGTATTCCGCTGCGACCGGTGCGGCAAGTGCTTCGCCCTGAACCACTCGCTGAAACGACACCGCCTCATGGAGTGCGGAAAAGAAAAATCGTTCTTCTGCCGCCTTTGCGACTATTCCACATTTCACCGTTTTTCGTTAAAGCGACATTCGGCAGTGCGGCATAACACCAACATCGACTAGCCCCTAAAATATATCGATTTTCATCTCCGCCACGCTTTTCATTTCTTTGCCACGATTTAGTTGCTTGGTCGGTAACGGGTGAATGTTTTCAGGACGGCCACGTTCAAATTGGTGCGAGAAATGCGGGAAGACCTACACGCACAATCGCAATTTGCAACGCCACCAGAAGATCGAGTGCCAGAAATCCAAGTCGTTCGTATGTCCGCTCTGTCCGTATGCTAGTTACTACAGGTACCACCTGAAAACGCACATGTACGGGCAGCACGGCATATTATGATCCATATTGAAGATATTCCCGCTTCCTTTATAACCTCATTTTTTTGTTTTGACCATTCGGACTGTCTACGCGAAATAAAATGTCGTTTAGTTGAAGAGAGATAAGTTAGATACTGTCAACTGTTACCATCCAGTCCTGTTCATAATTGTTATTGTTTTAAATAAACCAACTTTCATTTAAGAATTGCGCTACCGAACTCTAATTTTACCCCTACGCGGTGATTCAGGATTTTCCCGAAGCTGAACATTCTCGACAATACAAATTTTTCCGCAAGGGGCTCAGAATCGACATGGCTATACTACTTTTGCACGTTAATTCGATCATTTCAAGGTGTCAATATCGTTCGTATTTTTTCTGGTGGCTATCCTCAGAACGATAAAAGTTATCTCCGACTAATAAAATAATTCGTCTATTAATTGATTGTGTTACTTTTTCGATTCCGCTGAATGCCAGTCGCGGGATATCCTGAGATATCAAAATTACATATTTCCAACTAAATCAACGTCTAAGTTTTGGCGCTCATCGACAGATGGCAGCACAGGTTGTAACAAAAAATCACGCGGAGCTTTACGGTAATGTATGCTTAGTTTATTAACGTCTAATTTAAAAATCAGCATGCAGGGCCGAGCGCTGTTGAAAAAGTAAAAGTAAACTGCAAGGAATAAAATGATTTCACTATAATTCGGTTGCTTTATTTTTTCGATCTCGTGAATACCGGTAGTATTAATACCTAACTTGGCCGTCCACCATTCCCCTACCATGAGATATTAAAATCGGAGATCCACTAAGCAAATACTTTCTATTTCAGTATGCAGGATCTATCAACGTTAAAACAATAAAAGTAAATTAAGGCGAATAAGGTACCATTTACCAACCAGCTGGATTCCTTCTGCTCGATTGTTGATGAATTGACTGCTGACTTTTCATTCGTTAAGTTAAGCTCCGAAGAAACCAACAGGCTGATTGGCGAAACACCATCAACAACCGATGCAGGAGGAATCCATCAGATTTGTAAATAGTATTCATCCAGTAGTGTGTTGAAGTTTATTTGGAAAACGAATAAAATAATTTTTCGATAATTTCAGTGTTTTATTTCCTCGATATCATCAAATACCGAACGTCGCTGGGAATTTTACGTCACTCTACGTTTGAGTTTATGGACCTCCTTAGACTGGCTTTCGATTTTAGCGAAACACGCTTGCAAGAACTGTGGCAAACGGTATTCGAACCGGGTCTCATACACGAGTCACGTGAACTACGAATGCAGCTCGTTTCGATTTTTTTGTATGGTCGACGAGTGCGGATGGTCCTCCAATCGGAAACACGATGTGAAAAAGCACATACTCAGAAGCCACGCGGGCGTGAAGATTGTCAAAGACGACATGATAAAGAGGTGTAAAGTAAGCTAAGTAGTTCGGCGTTTACGTTTAGCTGTTCTGGATCAGGTATGGGTCCTTCGTCACAGTCGCGTTTTTTTTTTTAGTTTTCCAATGGTATCTGACCGAAGACGGACGGTACGGTTGCCCCCAATGCGGAAAATCATACAAGCAGAAAGCTCACGCGTCCCGCCACTACAGGCTCGAGTGCAACAAGGAGAGGCAATTTGAGTGCGGTTTCTGCGGCAAAAAATTCGTACAGAAGCACCACCTTCGCATGCACTCCGTCAGCAAAAACTGTCAGCCGGATATTATTGAATATTAGCTTCCAATAAATCTCTTTAATAACGCGCGCCTATTATTTCAACCGACCTTGTTATTGCTGGGGCTGCCGCTGATGTCGGATTTCTTTCAGATGCGTACTGGTATCGGTTGACGGAGAACGGTCGTTATGGCTGCAGGAAATGTATATCGTCGTACAAGAATCTGAACAACCTGCGGCGACATCTGCGTTTCGAGTGCAACAAAGAGCCCGCGTTCGCTTGCAACATCTGCTTCAAACGGTTTACTTACAAGTACATCTTGTCCAGACACATGGCCATTCACGGAATAATTGTTGAATAACTCTTAGCTTATGTATAAATGTGAAGCTTCTAGGTAATAAAAGTATGCTTTGTCTTTCAGGGCTTATTTGCTTCAACTGCTACAAGTTGTACCGGTCTAAGGTAGCGTTCAATCGGCACAAGAAAAACGATTGCGGCAAGATGAAGCAGTTCGCTTGCCACGTGCGCCGTTGCAAGTTCAAGTCGTACCAAAAAAGTCAACTCAAATCCCACCTATCCATCAAGCACAATATGAAATCCTAGTTGTGTCTAACTTTTGGTGCCTTTTAGGTGCGTGCAGGTACAAGTGTTCGACCTGCGACCGATCGTACAAGCGGGTTACGGATCTGAGGAGACACCTTAGGCAGGAGTGCAACGTACCACCCCAGTTTCAGTGCGAGGTTTGCTCGAAAAAGTTCCGGTACAAGCACGTCTTAAAGGGCCACATGAGAAGACACGCCAAACCAGATTTCATTTAATATCGACGGTATAGATTAGAGACTTTGAATAAATTTTATTCGGTGGTATCGTGATGTTTTCCAATCCCGATGCCTTCTACCCGAACCTCCTCAATAGAAGTGATTATTGAGACTTGGTTTTAGATTACGCCAAGGATTGTAAATATGGAAAGGGGGAAAACAAATTCGCTTATTACTCGTGTAAGTCCTGCGGCAAGTGATACAAGTACAACAGATCGCTGTGGGCGCATAGGAAAATGGAGTGCGGTCAAAATCCGAAATGCCTCTGCCACGCGTGCAACTACAAAACGTACAAATCTCAAAATATGAGGCGCCATCTCGCGATGAAGCATGGCTTGTTTTAGAATTCGGTACCGTGTATGATTCCACTAATAAATTGTAATCGTCGAAGATGATTTTGCTTTGCCATGTTTGGCTTTGGTTGGTACCATTGCTACCTTTTCTCAACCATGGCGACGCACTTAAATGTAAGAGTGTCGGAATGAGTTGAAAAAGAGAACCCGGCATCGACGTTGCTTTAACGTTGAATTTCGTTGCAGACGATTACAAATTCGTGTGCAACTGCGGTAAGGTCTATCGACGTCGAAATTCCCTGTTTGTTCACAAGCGAAACTACTGCGGCAAAGAACCGTCCCATATTTGTAACATGCCTAATTGTACCTACAAGACCCATCTAAAGTCCAACCTCAAAAAGCACGTGTTTCTGATGCACAAACGGGTATGACTAAATAGTAAGTCAAGTTTCTTAAATGGTACCCAATTGCGCAGGAGTCTTATGCGCATTATCTTTCGATAGTTTGTCGCTGGTTCGCGGCTCGTATTGACGCATTTGATCTTTTAGGTTCCTACCTTTACCGTTGCTCCACGTGTAGCAAAGGTTATAATAGCAGAAATTCTCTATTCGCTCATAAGAAGGTGTACTGTGGCAAGCAACCGTCCCACTTGTGTTCAATGTGCACTTACAAAAGTCATCTTAAATCCAACCTCAAGCGTCACCTATATTTAGTACACAAACTCTGTTAAATGTCCGCAAATAAAATCGTTCAAACAGAGTTTTCATGTTTAATGGTTCACAACCCTATCACGGGTTTGTTTTGCGCATGCTCGCTTCTGCGCTTGAAAAATGTATATTTTTTGTAGAACCTTTCGTGTGCGTGATGTGCAATAAGACTTACAAGAACCTCAACACGTTGAAAGCGCACCAGTTCTTCGACTGCGGCAAGTGCAAGTCGCACAATTGTCCGATCTGCAGTTTCACTTGCAAACGGAAGTATAACCTAAAACTGCACCTACGAAAGAGACACTTCATATTTAGCTGATCCTCGATTGTTTTGCGAGCTAATTAAAGTTTAGAATTAGGTTATTCTAACGAAAACTAACCCACCCTGAAACTTGTTTTGCTTGCAGCGTTCCAATGCAACGAGTGCTGGAAGTTCTACGCGACCAAGGCGTCGATCAGGTACCACTTTCGGTACGACTGCGGTAAAAAGAGATGTATCTTCTCCTGCGAGGATTGCAAGTACTCTACTGGTCGCAAGCACGATTTACGAAAACACCGGAAAAGGAAGCATAATTGTTAACATTTTTAACAGAGTCCCTTGTTCGTTGGTTGTCAAATGTAGGGGTTGTCTGGTTGATTCAATGCGACCAATGTATGAAGTACTATGCGACCAAGGCTGGCCTCAGGCATCATTTTAATTACAATTGTACTAAGAAGAAAACGACCTTCGGCTGTGAGCTCTGCGGCTACTCTACGGGTCGCAAGTACAACTTAAAAAAGCACTGGGAAACGAAGCATAAGTTGGATAATTAAGCAATGGCAATGTTTTATACTCTCTTATAATCAAATAATAAGTTCCAGAGCGTTTAAGTCGATTTTTATTTTATTTTAATGAACCGCCATTATCAAATACACGTTTCTGGCGTTAACTGGCATTTTGGTGCTCCCATTCTGTTGCGACCCTTATGAGACCGGATGTGACAGTTGCATATCTTTTCAGAGGTTTCCGAACGTTCCAAATGTCCCAACTGCCAGAAAGAGTACAAGAACCAACGATCCATGAAAGCGCACTACTATCAGGACTGCAAGACTACCTTGACGTGCCATATCTGTCAGTATGTGTGCAGAAGGAAATACGTGCTCAAGCAGCATTACTTTATCAAGCATAAACTAACGATGTCGAAATAAAGAAAACGTTGTCATAGTTTTAGAGGATCCTCAACCTTTCCTGAAATTCATCCCTGTGTGCATCTACTCATTTCTACGATGACGTTATGTGGTAGCTGCTTTGAAGGTTTTATTAAGTCCAGAATTGACCCACTGTCAAATGCCTTCTTCAGTCCCAACTGTGGTACGACTGCTACTTAAAAGTCCTACCACAATTCGATCTACCTGAAAGAAATTATACAAAACCCACACCTAGGAATGTACACGTATCTGTCGAATACACAATATTGGAACTCCTTTGGTTTCGTTTGAATATCCGGCATTGGCCTCCCTTTTTTCACTAACGGGTCCCGAATTTCAGGAAAAAAGTTCTCTTGTCATCAGTGCCACCGCAGGTACAAGAGGAAGATGCATCTCATTAGCCACCTGAAGTTCGAGTGCGGTAAACAACCGCAGTTCGTCTGCAATTGGTGTTCCAAGGCGTTTCACCAAAAGTCCAATCTGAAAACTCACAAAATTAAGATCCATTGCAAGACCGCTTAACTTCCTGTTCTATTTCGCTTCGGCCATAAGTTATGCTTAAAACTCACCGTAGCGGCTTAATGCAATTGAGGAGCATGTTCTGGGACAGTTTGGTGTCCATCCAGTTCTGAACAAATGAACTAAGCAAACTCCCTTGGAACCATCTCTACTATACTATTAATTTGGTTGACTTAATGGCACAAAATGTGTTACTTTACCTTACTCGCCTTGGAAGGAACCAGGCTACAGTTTCTAGAACTGAAAATGAATTATAAAATTCAGACAAGTGTCATTATCCTGTCTGCTACAGTTACAAAAGGAACTTGTCGGTGCAGAGTGTGGCACAAAATGATCAATAGTTGATAGTAAATACGTAGTTGATTCCGGATTTTTGTAGTCAAATACATTTGTGCGGAGTGCAGCCGCAGCTACAGACACAAGCGGGGACTGATTCAACATTCGCAGTACGAGTGCGGCAAGGATCCGCTCTTTGTCTGCCCGGTACCGAATTGTGGCTATAAAACTAAAAGGAGGTGGAGCCTCAAACCTCACTGCTCGAATAGGCATCCGAATGTACAAATTGACGCGTTCACGTTGTAATAAATAATGTCAAAATGGTCGTGGTTGGTTTTGGTATTGTACTAACAAGCCCGCTAGTTGAAGTACCGTTTATCTAGTAGAGCCAAGAATTTTTTTTCATTTCCTGTATACGGGTTTTTCGTCTGCTCCAAGTGCGGCAACGCGTACAAGTTCAAGAGATCGCTTTGGAGACACCTGAAGTACCAGTGTCAAAAAGTACCATCTTTGCAGTGCCCGTTGTGCTTCGTAAAGTGGTACCATAAGTATCATATGAAGATGCACATGTACCATAAGCACCCGGAAAATTGCGCCGCACAAGTGATCGATTTGAATTACCATACCAAAGAGTAACCGAGTGGTACTTTCATTTTCTTCAGGTTTCGGTGACCTTTCTAGATATAACTTTACGGCGCTAAAGCTTTCGGGCGTACAAAAAATCTTTGTTAAGTCGACGTTTTGATTTCAGGTTCCGTCGGTCCCCTCATCAGAACGCTGGAAGGGTATTTTAACTGTCCAAGATGCTACAAGAGATACACTCACCGGAGTAGCGCCATGAGGCACATGAAATACGAGTGTGGCAAAGCGCCACAGTTTAAGTGCGACTTCTGCCGTAGGTTCTTTACACAAAAGAGCAGCTTAAAATCTCACATGTTCTCGTATCACTGGGACGAGGTCAAGTGACGTTTTTCCAATAACTGACCAAGGTGTATTTTGCGTGCTAATAAAATTCTAACCGACGGCGCAGCTTTTAAATGCGACTCGCGATATTGCTAGGTACCGGGACGCGATTCGAATAATTGAACCTGCGGGTTTTTAGGGAAACTTTACAAGTGCGAGAGATGCCTCAAAACGTACAAATACAACAGCGGCCTGTGGACGCACCAGAAATACAATTGCCAAACAAACACTGCCTAACGTATCATTTAAAAATGAAACATAACATGTACGTTGACACTCGCAAAACGCGATAGTAGGTGTTTCGGTGGACGGGCTCAATGAAACTTATCCTTTGCAGATCGTTATAAGGAGACGGCCGCTGGCTTGTTCATGTGCCTCAAGTGTGGCAGAACGTACAAGAGGAAGTCGGGCGTCAGGCAACATATTAGGTACGAGTGCGACAAAAAGCGTTATTTTCAATGCGACCATTGTCAAAAGGCTTTTACCAGGAGTACCTCTTTGAAGTGTCACTTATTCGTTGTGCACAAGGTGCGCTTTGACGGTTAGTCGATAGCGTGGAATGTAAATATACCGAAGTACTAATTTTCGTTTTTTTTTTGGCATTATCTTTCTCACAATAAACCTTTAACTATGACTCAATTATGTCGTTCACGCGGTGGTGTTTGTAGATCGAGTACAGTGTCCTAGGTGTAAGAAACACTACAAAAACGTCTACACCATGAAGACCCACTACACACTCGATTGTTTAGGCGCCGCGTTTCGATGCGACGCTTGCAGCTACGTCACCAAGAGGAGATACGACTTGCAAAAACACATGAAAAGAAAACATTAACCTCAAATCAAATCCCGATCGACCTCAGCGGATTTTTTTTTTCTAGCCAACGTACTCTGCGTCAGATGCGGCAAACCGTACAGATCGAAGGCGGCGATGGTGAACCACCTGCGCTACTCCTGCGAAAAAAAGAAATCATTTTTCTGTCAACTCTGCGGCGCCGCGTTCTTCTACAATCACCACCTGAAGCGACACACGCTCCACATGCACCCTCCCATTTAAAAGTCGCTTGTTTTTCCTAGCTCTTAGTTTTTTCTGTCTCGACGGGGCGCATTACTACCGAACGTGTTGCAGGTGCCTCCTCCGCGCCGATGGTCAAAATCCTGAAGGTGGAAGACTTAAAAGACGACCGGATCGTGGCTAGAATCAAAAAAGAGCTGAGCGTTCAACTGAGCTTCAGCAAGCCCGTTCTATCAGATTCGCTTCAGATCAGAAACTCGTCGTCGGTGAAAAAAGAGATCGACATCGATCCGAGTCAAAAGAATGTGGTAGGTTCCGATGATGACGAGAATCGGGTAGAAAAAACGTCGACCTCGCAAACGGAAATGTCCGTGTTCTCCAAGTCACTGCACAAGCCCACGTACCGAGCCGAGAGGCTGAAGAGGTTTTTAGACATGACACCGGCGAACGTGCTCAAAAAGGAAACCAAGAAGTTGTCTTGCGAAGTGGCGCTGAACGAACTCAAGTTCCCCAAGGACACCATTAGGTGTTACCCTTGCGGGATACTGCTCGAGAGGGAGGAATTCGTGAAACACTCTTCGACGTGTCCCGGCAAAAAGAAGAAGAGCAGATTCGGGTGTCTGTTGTGCAGCTACACTGATTACAGCATCAAGGAACTGGAGACGCACATCAAAACCGAACACTCCGTCAAAAAGTCGTGACTTTGTATTACTAGTAAAACTTTCTTTAGGTGGCACGGAGTTTTATTGGCCTCCTGCAACACCCAGTCGCATCTCCGACTCTAAATCGAAGTCACTTTGTAGATGCCGAGAAAGCGTTCGTATGCCGAGAATGCGGGCGAAGCTACAAATACCGAAGGTACCTGGTGAGGCACTATAACTTCGAGTGCGGCAACAAGCGGCTGTTTCGGTGCGACATGTGCGGCGCGGGGTTCAGCAGAAATTACACACTCAAAAGACACGTCTCTAACTATTGTAAAAAGGCTACTAACGCTCCTAACGTTACGTCACTGTAAATTTTGCTATAGATTAAAGGACGTCCTGCGGGTAAATGACCATACAGAGTACCGTTTAATTTCAGCCGCGTCGAGGCACGTGTGCCTGCAATGTCGCAGATCTTACAAGCACAAGGGCCACCTAACACGCCATCAGCGTTACGAGTGCGGAAAAATCGCGACGCTCCTTTGCGATTACTGCCTCAAACGTTTCAAGAGGAGCGACCTGCTGGCCAGTCACAAGTGTATTTTAGAGAAAACCGTGCCAAAACCCGCGGCTCCCTCTTACAGCTTTTTTTAGTACCTTGGAATGGTTTGTTTTAAGAAATAAATCCGATTTTAAGAAGCTGCTTGTTTCCATTTTACAAGAGCACAAAACCGCCGCTAACGTGAACTATTGCAGCGCTACCGTTCCTCTGCTCCAAGTGCGGGAAGGGCTACAAACACAAGACGTCGCTATACAATCACTCGACGTTCGAGTGCGGCAAAGACAAGATCTTGAAATGTCCGTACGAGGAGTGCCACCACAAATCGAAACGAAAATGGAACTTGAGAAAGCACATTCGCATAGTCCACAAAGACGTTTGGTAGTTATAGTTGGCAAATTTGTGTGTTTACGTCGCGTGAAAACATTTCGCCGTATGTTGCGCGTACATGATTTTATTTTTTAGAGTTTCTCAACCACGGGTTCAATTGCGCGAGATGCGGTAAGCGCTACAAGCACAAGCAGTCGCTCAACAACCACATCAAATTCGAATGCGGCATAACGCCGCAATTCCGTTGCGACTTGTGTCACTACGTCACGAAGCGGAAACATTCCTTAAAGTCTCATCTAATGCTGATCCACAAAAGTTTCTCTGCTTAATGTACCGATCTCAATAAACTTTACGAAACGTACGAGCGTACTCTTCCACGCACCATCTTCCTCCCAGTCGCCGTGAAGTCGGTAGTTTTTAACACTTCTCCGTTGTAGATGACAAAACGTGTTACGATTGCGGCCGAGTGTACCGTAGCAAGTACTCGCTGACCCGACACAAGAAACTGGAATGCGGCGTGATGCCGAAATACGAGTGTCCGCTGTGCTTTCGCCGTTTCAAGCACGAGCACCACCTGGAGCAGCACCGAAGGTCGAAGTTTCGTTGCGCCAAAACCCGCATGGGAGTGCTATAAAATCACTAACACCCACACACCCTGTCGCTTAGATTTAGACGGGCGATCGTCGTAAACCCGATTGACAGTGCAGTTTGTTTTTAGCGCTGCCGATATTCGAGTGTCTGAGCTGCGCGAAAACTTACAAGCATGCGCACAACCTGCGCCGCCACATTAGGTACGAGTGCAACAAGAACCCGCAATTCCGGTGCGACATGTGCGACAAGGCATACACGCAGAAGAGCAGCCTCAAGCACCATTACTTTATGGCCCACAAGAAACCTTTGGACCATATCGTTTTACCTTTCCGCCCTTGAATCGAGCATATTTGTGTACTGCCCTAATAAATGTTACGTGTGACTCGAAGTTCGTCAATCCCCCCGCCCCCCGTCGTTTTTATTTCTAGATGAGTCGCTGGATTCTACGACTCAACCAGATCCCGGTTACTCTGCTTTCGCTTTATCCATATCAGTGTTTCAGTTCCGTACGGCAAGATCCGCCACAACTCTGCCGGCGAATTCGTTTGTCCCCGATGTTCGAAGTCTTACAAACACAAAACGTCAGTCTACACGCACATCAAACAAGACTGCGGGCAATCGCCGAAGTACTTTTGCGACCTGTGTCAATTCGCGTGTAAATATCATCACGTGTTGAGTCGTCACAAAACGTCGCTCTCCCACCGCCGTAGGGAAATGAAACTCAGCGTCGTAGAACCCTCGTACCTTAGCTACTGATATACGCCATTACTAGTCGTTGTTTTCGATATACCGGTTTTAGTATTGGTACTACCATGATCGTTTTTTTTTAGAGTTATTCGCTTGTCCACAGTGCGGGCGCTGGTACAAGTACAGCCACAACATGCGGTACCATTTGAAAAAGTGCGGGGAGAAACTGTTTCATTGCAGGTTTTGCCCGAAAGAGTACACGTCAAAGTTTGCCTGCAAGAGGCACATGCTCCAGGCTCATCGGCACTCCGATTAACCTCGAGGCGTTTGTAACAATAAATGAATTTATAAATAAATAAATGAGTTTCCGTAGCACTCGTTGCCTGTCACCCGTGCGATTAATCGACGTTTAATTTTTTAGTCGGTACTCACCGATGCGTGAAGTGCGGCAAGTTGTACCGATCGAAATCGGCGCTAAACAGGCACGTACGGTACGACTGCGGTCAAGAAAAGCGCTTCGCCTGCGTAGTACCCGCGTGCGGGTACAAGGCTTACCAGAAAGTCCATCTGACCAGCCACCTGATGCGTATCCACAAAGACGTGCTCAGCACAAAGACCGACCTTTTGTAACTAGTCCAATAAACATTTTAGGCCTGGACCTTGACTTTTTGACACTTCATCGACGCGAGTGTAAAGTTGGGTAAATTACAGGTAAATTGTTCAACTGCCACAATTGCGAGCGGCGGTACAAGCTCAAGACATCCCTTTACAATCACCTGAAGTACGAGTGCGGCAAGAGCAAGAGTTTCGTGTGTACTTTCTGTCAGAAAACGTTCCGGTACAAGCACAGCCTGAGGGATCATATGAACCACAGGCGGTGCCGGATCCAAGATATCCTTAAATGATAACGGAATCTAACTAGCATTTACTAAAATAAACGTTCCATTCTCGGTGGTCTAACGACTCGGTATCTTTCCAGCCACGGCAGAGACGTCCACGTCGAGCAAGCGGACCGAGTTAGTCCATTTTCCATGGTCCGGCAACCGTCGTTTCATGTGCCGTTTGGGAGTCTGCATGTACAATTACCCCAGGAAGAGACAAGTGGTCAATCACATCCGACGTAGTCACGCCATCGAGCGGCACAACGACGATATGATCCAGGTGTACACTCGGGCTGCGAATTCCTAAATTGTCGTTTTTTGAATAAATGCTTTTTTAAACTTAATAAACTCAACAAAGAATTGAAAGCATCGTGTGTCGTCGCGGGTTCATTCAGGCTTCGCTTTATCTCACTCGATCGGTACGGCCCACGTAGATTGACCCCGTGTTGTATTTTTAGAGCAGAATAATTTGGAACCCCAGGATCTCAGCAGGACCTCATCCGCGCGGAAGATAGTCATATCGGAGAACCGATTGCTGACACCGAAAGCGGTACCGATGGCGGCGGAGCAAATCGCCCCGCCCGCGCCCGAGCAAAAGGTATTCGAGTGCAACTTTTGCAAAAAGAAGTACCAGAATTACGTGTCGCTGACGCGCCACAAGAAATACGAGTGTCAGAAACCGCCGCAGTTTGCGTGTCACATGTGCTCGTTCAAAACGAGGTACCAGTTCACACTCAGGGCTCACCTGTTCAGGCTGCACCAGGTCGTTGTGGAGAATTGCGTCAACTACTTGTGAAATCGTATCGTTCATTTGTTAAGTTTTTGTTTTTCGTAGTTCTAAGGATGTTGGCTATCAATAAATTTGGATAAAATTTGTGGGCTGCCATCTTTTTCGTTCTTGTTACAGTCCCGGCGCTTGCTACATCTCATTCATATTTTAGCCCCGTTCGTATGCCCGAAGTGCCTAAATTCGTTCCTGTATAAGATGTCGCTGAAAAGGCACCTGAAGTTCCAGTGCGGCATCCAGGGCCAGTTCAAATGCAAGCTCTGCTCTCACACTTGCAACTACAAGAGCAACTTGAAGAGCCACCTCACCAACAAGCACAAGATACTGCTGCGCAACGGCGAGGTCGACCAGTACCTCGCCTGACGCGCTGTATTGAGTTGTTATTAATAAATCATTTCAGCAAATCTAGCTTTAATTTTATTGCTTCGCTGCTTCGCTAGCTGGTTGATGCGTTTACGCAGTTTGTCTGAGGACATTCTCACAGCGGACGGTTTTAGGTCACCTCATCTACCCTTGCCTAATCTGCGGGAGGGTCTACAAAGCGAAACGGTCGTTGTGGAGGCACCAAAAGTACGAATGTCAGCAGCTGCCCAGGTTCCAATGCCCGATCTGCCCCTACAGGGCAAAACAGAAATGTACGGTCGTCGCTCATGTGATCAGTCGTCACCAGGATCTCAAACTTAAGAAACACGAGATGTATCAGGAAGTCACCATCCTCGAGGACTGCTAGACTTCGACGCCGCGTTCGTAACTAACCCCGTTATGTTTGTGCTTCTTGTAGACAAGTCAGCAGTGCGATCGGTAGCACTTCTGACGTTAAATGTGTTACTAGAATTTAGGACGATTTCACAACGTGTATAGCCCGCTCGAAAATGTACTCGCCAAGAAACGACTGAAAGTTCCGCGTGTTTTATTTACCGCCTGAGGGAGTGTTCGGGAGTTTTGTGCGGTTTGCTAACTCGCCTCACTTGCAGAATTCTCGTTCGAGTGCCATCTGTGCAGGAACCGCTACAAGCATAAAATGTCTTTGATCAGGCACCTGAAATTTCAGTGTCAGAAGAATCCTCAGTTTCAGTGTCCATATTGCGATCGTCGGGTGACACTAAAATCCAACTTGACGAAGCACATCGCCAAGAAACACTGACTCTCTTTTTGTATGCATGAGTTCCGAGATTCGGAGCGAGGAGGAGATACTGAGAGTGATTTTGGTTTCAGGTTCGCACTCGTGCAATGACTGTGGTAAAATGTATAGGCACCAGGGGTCATTGTACAAACATCAAAAGTACGAGTGCGGAGACAAGACGAAAGGTTTCCACTGTCCCTATTGCGCTTATAGGTCGTACAGGAAAGACAACATGAAGAGCCACATCTTCAATCGCCATAAAAAACTTTATCTAAATCAGTCGCCAGTAAATTATTAATTTAGAATTAAAAATTTTTTTCATAAACCTCTGATGATCTCACCTACCTGACTCATTCGCACGGGTTCAATAAAAGTGCAGTATCCTTATTTTTGACTTTCTATTTCGTTCTTCTAAAGCACCAAATCGCGACCGTTTCAGGTGACCACTACATTTGCTTCACGTGCAGCAAGGCATACAAGGTTAAGAAATCGTTGTCGAGACACCTGAAATACGAGTGTAAAAGGGTGCCGTCGTTTTTCTGCTCTCATTGCGACCACAGTACCTTCAGGAAAGATAATTTGAAGTCTCACATGCTGTTAAAACACCCGCTCGACATCTAGCGCTTAGTGTAGTTTCGATTGAAAATAAACGCTTTCCTCGGGAATGTTGTGGTACTTCCAAGTACCCGGCCGGATCATAGTACCGTCACTGACTTACTGATTTGGTTTTTTTTTCAGAGTCGCCGCCCCCACTGATCCAGAAAAAGCGCAAAGGGGAGTATAGGTGTCCGAATTGTCCGAAGACGTACAAGTACAAAACGTCGGTGTACACCCACTTGCGGAATGACTGCGGTCAGGTGCCGCAGTATTATTGCGAACCGTGCAAATTCGTCTGCAGGTTCGAACACGTACTGCTTAGGCACAAACGCACCCTTACCCACAAGAAGACCGAGCTGTACTTGCGCATGCAGAATGTAGACGAGCAACACTGAATAAAAAAAAGAATTACACGAGACTCGGCGTCATTTACCCCCTCTCGCGCTTGCTTCTACGTGTTTTTTCGTCCTCGGCCATTCGGGACGTTTTTTATTGTCGGTTTTCTAGGCGACTTCCTGGGTTGCCCAAGATGCGGCAAGCTGTACATTGAGGTGAAGTCGCTGATACTCCACCTGAAGGTCTGCGGCTCCGTTAAATTCCACTGTCCGTATTGCAACCTGGAGTTCAAGTCGAAGACGTGGTGTAAAAAGCACATAACCGAAAAGCACTAATAAACCCGCCTCCTCCCATTCGAGCACTACGTTTCAATGGCCGTCCCCACCGCCCTCGCCAAACTGCAGCCGCAAACATCAATGGATGTTTTTTAGGTTACGACTGCGACAGCTGCGGCAAGAGTTACAAGCAGATGAGATCGCTGAAGCGGCACCAGAGGTACGAGTGCGGCCGGCAGCCCGAGTTCCGGTGCCACCTTTGCTCGAAACGGTTCTTCCAAAAGGCCAACCGTAATACCCACCTGAAGCGCAAGCATCGATTGACTATCAAAGTGTGAAACCCGGTCGCATATCCTTTTAGTTAGCGCCTTTACGCACCCAATCCGGTCCGAACTATAGTCCAACCTCCGATGTTTCAGCGAGAAAGTACGTCTGCCCTAGCTGCTGGAGGAGCTACTCCCGTCAAGGCGGTTTGAAACAGCACCAGAAGCATTTTTGCGGCAAAGACGCGCATATAGCCTGCCCGTACCCTCCGTGCCCTTATAAATCCAAAGTAAACTTCAGCATGAACAAACACATCCTCAGTATGCACTCGGGCCGTTGAAGCCGGTGTCGCCACGTCGCGGGACTAACGGCCGTTTTTTTTAGGCGTAGATTGGTATCGCGTCACCGAGAACGGGAGGTACGGATGCAACAAGTGCATCTCGTCCTACAAGAACATCAATAACCTGCGCCGCCATCTTAGGTTCGAGTGCAACCGGGCGCCGGCATTCGTCTGCGACGTGTGCTTCAAGAGGTTTACCTACAAGTACATACTGTGCCGGCACATGGCCACCCACGGGATTAGCGTCGAGTAAAATGTCGGCGGTTGCCGCTAGGGTCGTTGTAGAGGCTTGAAATAAATATATTGGACTGACTGGCACCGAGTTTCATCCGTACCCGTAGGTCTGGTCGTAACCGTCTAGTGACCGCGGCTTCTTTCAGCCAATCGCCTCAAGTGCGACAGGTGCCTGAAGACTTACACCAAGTCGAGCTTCTCTTTTCACCGAAAGTACGACTGCGGCGACAAGGTCGCTTACATACCGTGCGACCATTGCAAGTACCACACCAAACGCCGGGGCGATCTGAAGAAGCACTGCAAGAGGATGCACCCGGCCGAAAGTTTGGCAAAAAAAACGAAATAAAATAGTCCACATCTCGCGACGACCGACCGATCCTAACCGGTTCTTTTGTAGTGTCGTGGGCGTGTCCCGACTGCCCGAAAAGGTACAAACGGAAACACGCGCTCACGAGTCACCGGCGGTACCGGTGCGGCAAAGCGCCGATGTTCCGGTGCAGCGAGTGCTCTCGATGGTTCCACTACAAGTACCACCTGAACCTGCACGTTAAACGAAACCACCAGTAAATAAACTTGTCGTTTTCGTATTCTTGACATTTCATTCCGCCTGCACAAATCGACCGACGGGATTGTGACAAACGGAAGTACCACATGGAAGCCGTTTCAGGTTACCGGTACATTTGCAACAAGTGCGGCAAGGCGTACAAGGCGAAGCGGTCGTTGTCGAGACACCTGAAGTACGAGTGCTCGAAAGTGCCGTCCTTTCAGTGTCCCGTCTGTTTCACCAAGTCGTACCAGAAGTGTCACATCAAGATGCACATGTACATTAAACACCCGGATCAGTGCAACATGGACATAATCGATTTGCAGCACTACCTAGGCGACTGAGGACGCTTCACGGTATTACTTGCTAGGAGTTGGTGTAGGATTCCTTTTAGCAGTAGGCGTGTCCACGTTACAACGCCGTTTTCGTTGTTTTAGATGGTTATCGTTGCCTGGTCTGCAGCAGAATCTACCGGCAGTCCTGCTCGCTAAGCAGACACGTAAAGTACGAGTGTCAGAAGGAGCGCTCGTTCCGGTGCCCTTTCTGTCCATACGCGTCCCACCAGAAGGCACCGCTCATCAAGCACCAGCAGAAAAAGCACGCCCAACTTTCGTCTTAGATTAAAATCGTGATAGTATCGCGGTAGTCTTATCTTTTCTCACCTACCACGCAAGCAAACGACTTTAGCGAAAGTATATACGCTACTCACTACTCTTTTTTTTTATGTTCTCTGTTCTCCGTAGCTGACTTGTGCATTTTTTTTGACGCCAGATGACTTTCGGACGGCTTGCAAAATATTGAGAAGATTAGACGTCGGCCGCCATTTTATCGGTTATTTTTGTTTTTTCCTCCGCAAGTCGATACGGGACAAAGTATCGAATTGAATTTCAATAGGGAGTCGGAGTTTCGTCTCCAGATGGCGTCTATTAAAACTGTCGCGTGTATTTTTTAGAAAATTCTAAAAAAACTAGATTGTCTCAAAAACTGTATATCCGATAGAGAAAATTCTCGAACGACGAGATGCACTAGAATCGGGGTAATAATGGAAATATACCGTTTAGTCGAAAATATGCGGGGTGCGCTGGTTACTAAATAGCATTTTCCTGAGTAAAGTTTTTTTAGGCCGCCTCGAGAACTACAATTTTTGTATTTTTCGTTTTCGTCTTATCATGCAGGGTGCGTTAGATACGGGATCGAAAGTAGTTGGTAACGAGACCCGTTTGGTTTTCGCGTATTGTATTGTTAATTTAATGTTGTTTAAATGATACATGGGTGAATCAAATATCCTTGCGCATATTCCACTTACAATTGGGAAAACTAGCCCCTAGGAGGTCAATACTTTCTGGAATCAACTTGTTTGGTTTGTAGCCGAGTACATGTTGGCGTGCGGTAACAATTGCGGCCGCCGATACAAGTACAAGGGAAATCTGATGAAGCACATGAAGTACGAGTGCAAGGTGGAGCCGAAATTCAAATGCCACCTGTGCAACTATACCGGCAAGCAAAAGAGCCACCTGTTCTCTCACCTCGACCGTATTCACAACGTTAAAAATAAATAGCTTAAGAAGTTGCGGTAATCTTGCCCGCGATGTGTCCTCCTCCTTTTCGCGCTGGTGGCACCTAGTTTAATGCGTAACGTTTCAGCTGTCGTGTTGTGCTTCAAGTGTGGGCGGGGCTTCAGGCACAAGAGGTCGATCTACACGCACCTGCGCAACGATTGCGGCGTCGAACCCCGGTTTCCGTGTCCCTTGTGTCAGAAGAAATACCGCCGCAAAAAGAACCTCAACTACCATCTCGCTCAAGTCCACCGAAACTGAAACCGATTGTTTTTAGTGTTTCCGGTGGAGTGCCCTAAGTGCGGGCACCGGTACAAACACAAGAGCTCCCTCTACAACCACCTGACGTGGGAGTGCGGTCGCGAGGCGATGTTCACGTGTCAGCTGTGCCCGTACGCTTGCAAACGCAAGATGCACCTCATCTACCACTTAATGCGGCGTCACAAAATCACTAGGAACCAAATCGCGTTCGTCGGCCGTACCGATTACCACATCGTGCGCTAGTACTACTAGCTCGCTAACGGGCAGTTTTTAATTCTAGTTGGCGTACGGTGTCCCAAGTGCCTGAAGGTCTACAAGAACGCGCAATCCATGAAAGCCCACTTCGCGCTGGACTGCAGCAGTACCAAAGTGTTTGCCTGCACATCGTGCGAGTACGCGTCCAAGAGGAAGTCCAACCTCAACAGGCATTTGCTGCTGAAACACTCGAATTATATATAAGCCTAAATTAGGATAAGGCGGTACCGGTTTTGACGTTATTTTCACGCGGGCGTGTTTTTAGCTGCGTGGTCTGCGCCAAACGTGTGTGAGAAGTGCGATTTCAAGTTCAAGCACAAGCATCACCTCGTCGTCCACCTTAGAGAGTGCGGGCAGGAGCCCCGAGAGCCCTGCGCCCATTGTTCCTATAGGACCCACCGGAAATCGAATCTCAAACGGCACATCCTCCGCAAACACGGGGTCTCAAAATTGAAAGAGTACCTGAGGGCACTCCGGGTCGACGAGATGTTTAAATCGAGCCACCTCGATTAGGTTTACGTTAAATTGTTCTCTCAGTATAAGATTGCGAAACGTGAGTTATTTTTTGTCACCTCCCCGCCGACCGAGGATGCTGAAGACTATGCTAAATTTAGGTTAGGTTATCTCCGGTAATTCTAACGCAGTGACGTTATAGGGCCCAAGGGAGCAGCCCGGATCTACTCTTGCTGTGTGTGTGGCAAAGCGTACTACCATCAGACGAATCTCAGTCGGCACAAGAAGTTCGAGTGTCAGAAAGTCAAGTCATTCCTGTGTCCCTACTGCCCGTACGCGAGCTACCACAAGTACCATCTTAAAAGTCACGTGATATGCCAGCACAAGGAGTACTTTCGCGAGTTTTCTAAACTCCACTAAGCCTCGCTTTGTTTGACGGTATCGACCTACTTTAAGGTTACTCTATAGCTGTCAGCGTATAGCTCTAGCGCTCCCAGTATACCGTATACTTGTACAGTTTGTCATTTAAATATATTAGTGATGGCATTGGAATTTTGATGACGCTTTACGTTTTGCCGAAGAGCGGCTTCGCTTTGAAATAACCGCCCGTACGTTTTAGGTCCGTATTATTGTCTGACGTGTAGCAAAATGTACTCGCACAAGAGCAGCCTCGGACGGCACATCCGATACGAGTGCAACAAGGAGGGGAAGGAAGTGTGCGCGTTCTGTCGCAAACGGTTTAAGCATAAACACAACCTCAACACCCACGTGGCCTACGTGCACAAAATGAACTGTTAACGCTTCGAAATACACTACGTCGCAACATTTGGTATTGGTTTTCGATCCCTTCCTTACGACCTTCGGTGACCTTTTTCAATTTAACGTCGTATGGCGGGAAAAAATAAAGTATGGTGTACCGTGTACACTGTGCCCTTAACGGACTTCATTTTAGGTAAATCTGTATTGCGATGTCCGAAATGCCACAAACCGTACAGAACGAAGAACAGCCTCAGCACGCACCTCTCGCTCGACTGCGGCAAGGGGGCGGAGTTTAATTGCCTGTATTGCTCGTTAAAGTTTAAGCGCAAATATAACCTGAAGTCGCACGTTTATACGCGTCACGCTAAGCCGTTCGAGTAAAAGTCGACGCCGACGTCAGCTTACGGGGTTTCGTTTCAGAGAATAAATTTCACTGCGTTCGATGCGGCAGATTGTACAAGCGGAAGCGCCACCTCAACAGTCACCTGACGTACGAGTGCGGCAAAGAACCGCAGTTTCAATGCCGCAACTGTCCCCGGCGCTTCCACCAAAAGTCCAACCTCAAGTCTCACGAAACCTTGCATTTCAAAAACTCTTTCTAGTACACCCCCACGTGCTCCGGCAGATTCCCGACCTAACTTAGCTCCGTTGTTATAGAATTCTTTCCGAGGTTCTTCTGCGACCAGTGCGGCAGGTCGTACAAGCACAAGTCGAACCTATGCAACCACAAGAGGGAGGAGTGCAACAAACCGCCGTCCTATTTCTGTCCCGTGCAGGAGTGCAACAAGGGGTTTAAAAAGAAACAGCACTTGCAGAGACACCTGCAGGTCCACGGAGACGACTGTCGCGTGCTCGAGTATCTCAGGCGGGAAAGTCAACGCGCCGAACAGAGGCGCTGGCTCAACCCTTGGCCGATCAACGCCCCTCCCCACCTACTCGAGTTTTACAAACACCAATAAAAAGACGTTCAGTATTGGGAGGTTTCATTTTGCGGACGCCCTTCCGACGAGCCTTCTGCGGGTGTCGCAACTAACCGGGTCGTTTTTCAGCCGGGATGAAATTCTACGAGTGCAAAAACTGCCACAAGAGATATGGCCATCAGGCCTCATGGTACAACCATACGAAGTACACGTGCGGAAAGGCGCCGTCGTGGTTCTGCCAGTTCTGCGACTACTCGACCAAGTACAGCCAGAACTTGCAGGCCCACCTGAAGATCAAGCACAACGTTTTCTTGGCGAGATCTCAACTGGTCAAGGCGAGGGACCTGGACAGCTGAACGCCCTGGTGTAGTATTAGGATGTAATCTCACAGTGCATTGTAAATTCTCTAATAAATAGATTTATATGGAAGTGTCACTCCCCAAGTTCTAAATATACACCAATAAACACCCTCGCGATTCAATGCTAAGGATCGCCATTTAAGTTGCTCGCAGTTGCAAGATTTGTTTTGTAGTAGTAGTCGTTGCGGTTCGATCGGGGGGCTGATAAAGTACTGCCAAACTGTATATTTCAGACAAAATCAAGTGCGAGAAGTGCCTCAAATTCTACAAGAACAAGGAGTCGTTGAGAGTGCACCGGAAGCTCGACTGCGCGAACAAGTCGGCATTCCCCTGCCCTGTCGAGGGGTGCCAGAAGACGTTCTCGAGAAATTTCGGTGTTAAATTGCATGTACAAAAATGTCACCACTAACCTGGGAGCCTGGGCGGAAACCGCGTCGACTCACGAAACCGATTTTTCTAGAGCAATGCCCGAGATGTTCCAAGTTTTACAAGAACGTCGAGTCCCTCAAGTCCCATCTCAGACAGGTGTGCCAAAAGGAAACAAGCGAGCGATGCCACCTGTGCCCGAGAGCGTTCAAAAGACGAAGCAAGCTCAACCAGCACCTGGTGACTGTCCACAAAGTACTACCGACAACTTAAATATATTTTCCTACCACGTGTACGTGTTGCAAATAAAATATCGGTTCTGGTACGACCCGACTCATTTCATTTAGGTTGCCACGGCGTGGGCGTTCCGGCATAGCGATCGATGCAGGTGCGGTAATTCCAATGTGCGACAGTACGCTTGATTCCACTATTAACCGGGGTGTTTGTAGTTGGCTCGATGCGGTTTTTCTGTGACGCTTGTGGCAAGTCGTACACCATAAAAAATAATCTGAGGAGGCACCAGAGGGTCGAGTGCGGTAAGGAGAAGAGTATGGTGTGTCACATCTGCGAGCACAGGTTCTACTACAAGCAGGAACTCGACACCCACTTTAGAATCAAGCACAACATCCTGTTCAATCCTAACAGATACCGATAAATCCAATTCTTGTTAAGACTGACGTTGCTTGTTAGCGCTTAGACGCCAAAGATTGTTCGCTCTCTCCCTCTCTGGTAACCGACTAACCAAACCTAACAATAAAACCGTAGAGAATCGAGCAATTTCACTTAACTCCACCCTTCGCATCTTGTTTTATCGGCAACCGGCGGTACTCTTAACGGTTAATTTCAGAGTACTTCGAGTGTCCGGACTGCGGGAAATGGTACCGGCATAAGAAGAACATGGCTCGCCACCGGAAGTATGCGTGCCAAACCAGAATCATCTTTTGTCCCACTTGTCTTAAGAGCTTCACCAGGAAGTCGACGCTGGACTACCACAAGTGCCCGAGAAAATGACCGCCCTTCCCATTCCCACACAATGTGCCTGACTATGATAAAAATAAAATATTTTTGCTAGCGTTTTGGTCTTAGTACTTCTAGGGCGTTCCGTCGCTTCAAATGTGCTTATGTCCTTTTTTTTAGGGGAATTTCTGCCAAACTTTTGCGCTAACTGCGGCAAGGTGCGTGACATCGGGCACCCAAAGCGCTCGCTTCAAAGGACCAAATTTTTTTGTAGGTGTATACGACCAAAGGGAATCTCAGGCGCCACCTGACGTGGGAGTGCGGCAAAAATCCCACCAGACGGTGCGCTCTGTGCACCTTCGAAGCCAAGCATCTGTCCAGCCTCAAACGCCACCTAAAAAGGAAACACCATGTCGATGCGAAATAAAAGATTCACGGTATATGCGTTTTTTAGTAGCGCGGTACTCCACTTCACTAGTGAAAGAACCAAACGATGCCATGCACGACACTATAGTGACCTCTTTCAGGACGGTTCCCGTGCCAACGATGCGACAAAATATATAAGTCGAGGACAGCTTTGGGCAGGCACGTACGGTACGATTGCGGCAAAGAAAAAAGATTCGCTTGTACCGTACCGGCCTGCGCTTACAAAGCATTCCAGAAGGTCCACCTCGTAAGTCACATGATTAGCGTACACAAGGTGCTGCCCGGTGCACCCAAGTAGCGTGTTGGTACCCCGCAGGGAAATGGCGCTCGTTTTTGCACCCCTTTTTATCTAGGAAATTTTAGTAGTACCCAGTAGTTAGTGTGTGATCCGTTGTACCGTAGATTCAGGTAGTCGTCGTGTCTCATTCGCATTGGGTACCGATTAGCAATAACTGGTCGGTTGTTTTAGTACCGGTGCCTGAGTACGACCTTTGGAATAAGACGAGCGACGTCAAACCCAACCTCATCATGTCGAAGGAGGACAAGTTCAAGTGCAAGCACAAGCACTGCCGCTTTGTAACTGACAGGCGGGAGGTGCTGATCATGCACATCCTCAACCATGACGACGACGAGTGACGTCGTCGTGTTTTCTGTCTGTAGTACATTGTACCGTGTGTGTTCGATGTGTGTGTGCGTGTGTCAATCGCAACAATCAAACTGTGCATGTTTTTTGCTAAAGCGAATATATCTGTGTAGTCTGGTGGAACGGTTGTTTTATTGCATTTATCGGGAGAAAGCGCACCAAACCGTCATCTATCTACGTCGGTAGTGCTAATGATACACTCCCTCCATCCTCTGGGGGAGATCCTGGGATATCACCATTACAGATTCCAGGGATTTAGTCTTGCTACTTTATGAATGGCAGTACAGCATACAGATGACAGATGGTAGCACAAATGAAATCACAGATTCCTAACTAACCAGCACAACATACAGATTCCTAACCAAACTGACTCGCGGTCTTTATTTTAGGCAAACCTTTCGTATGTAATAGGTGCTACAAGTCCTATCGCCACGCCCCTTCGCTATACACCCACCAGAAGTACGAGTGCGGCAAGAAACCATTGTTCAAGTGCGAGTTTATGGGTTGCCAGTATGCCACCAAGCTCAAGGGAAACCTGAAAAAACACGTCGCGAGGACTAGGCACTGGTGATGCCGCGACCGCTGTGCGTCTCTATTTATAACACTAAACTTTAACCCATTTGTGGCTAACAACCCGCATGCTTCTGTATCTGCTAGGAGGCGGGTAGGGCGGTGCTAACCCGACCCCACCCATTACCGCCACCTTTGCTCAATTTCTTTAGGTGTTGAGGTCGGAGTAAAACTTATTGGCGAGATACGCAAACCTTTCCCTTCCCGTAGAAACATTGAAGACGGTTTTGGTTTCAGAGCCGAAACCTTACGTGTGCGCAAACTGCGGCAAAGGGTACCTCCGTCACCACACAATGACACGTCACCTCAAATTCGAGTGCGGCAAAGAGAAAAGCTTCGCATGCGGGCACTGCGACTACTCGACGCACCACAAATACCACCTGAAAAACCACATTTTCGCCAGACACGGCGTGATCCGCTAAGACTACAGCGCCGTTTGTTTCAGAGGGATTGTTTCCGTGCCCGAACTGCGCGAGGATGTACAAACTCAAGTCGAATTTGGGAAGACACCTGAGATTGGAGTGCCAGAAGCCGAAATCATTCGCCTGCGACTACTGCGCATACGCGGCCTACCAGAAGTCTAACCTACTGATTCACATCAAGCGGAAGCATTTCGCCAATCGTTTTCAATAAATTACGTTTGAGACTTTGAGTGTTTGTTTTTACCGTCACCTGCGAGAAGAGAGCTGTGACCACACTCTAACGGCGGGCGTTTGTCGTAGCCATACACCAATGCCCGAAATGCACCAACGTGTACAAGAGGGAGGACAGTCTCAAGCGCCACCTACGCATCGAGTGCCAAAAGGACGGAAGGTACGCTTGCGTGGGTTGCCGGAAGACCTTCAAGCACCGATTCGTGTTCACCAGACACGAGAAAATGTGTTTTTCCGGGACGAATAAAGTGTAACTTTTAAAATCCGCAGTTTGACTCGTTTCCGAACTCTTCCTCACGCACTGTCTCGCGTTTTCCTGAAACCGAAGGTCTGTTTCAGATATCATGCGGTACTTCTGTCGGTGCGGCAAAAACTACAAGAATCGGGAGAGCCTGTCCCGCCACAAGAGGGAGTGCGGGTCGGAGAAGAGTCTCGCGTGCCCCAACTGCGACTACAAGACACACCGCAGCGACACGCTCAGGCGTCACATGGTCGTCCATTTGTAATAAATTTCTTAACAGTACCTGAAACCCACGGAGAGGCATACGACTTTGTACATAGTTTTCCTTCGATATACCGGATCGGCGCACCTGGCATTGGGTTCTGTTTCAGGGCTGCGGCGGTACTTTTGTCAGTGCGGCAAAAACTACAAGAACCCTGAGAGCCTGTGTCGGCACAAGAAGGAGTGCGGCTCGGAAAAACGATATACGTGTCCCCACTGCAACTACAAGAGCCACCGAAATGATAATCTCAAACGACACATGATCCTCCACTTCGTGCCTAAACAGTACCCGTTCTAACGACCCGGTACCGCCGTTCAGCTGTGATGCTTAAGAAATTGTTACCATATTCTTAATAAATTTTATCGACCAGCTCGTCGTTTCTTCTGCTTTATATCAGCTACTCATCCTCTGCCGACTACAGCGCACCACGTCTTTCAGGTGACGACGTGGAAGACGTGTGGTTCGCTTGTTTTACCTGCGGCAAGAGGTACAGACACAGGGCATCGCTGACGCGGCACAGTCGTTACGAGTGCAACAAGATGCCCCAGTTCGTGTGCCCCGTGTGCGGCAGGAGGCTCACGCAGAAAACCACACTCAAAACACACCTGCAGAACATCCACGGCATCTAACGCATGCGCGGAATGTTTCGCACGCGGTACCTGCGTCGGCGTCATGAACTTCACGAATGAAATTTCAGGTCTAAAGCAATACGTGTGCCGGCGCTGCTGTAAAGCGTACAAGAACCAAACCACACTGAGCAGGCACGTGCACCACGAGTGCGGCGTGTCGCCCAAGTACCGGTGCTCGGTCTGTGGTAAGAAGTTCCAGAGGCGGGACAGCCTGAAACACCACATCGACAGGCTCCACCTAGACCGTCTACCGAAATAAAGTACCTTTTGCGTCTGAGGTCGTTTTTCTTTCATCCCAACCTCCCACCCGACCTGGACGCAAGTGACAGCGGTTCACGTGATTTGCTTGCAGGAGGAAGCACGGTCCAGCACACGTGTAGCGTATGCGGGCGCGTCTACAAGGCCAAAAGGTCGCTATGGAGGCACCAAAAGTACGAATGCCAGCACCGTCTAAGGTTCCGGTGCCCGTACTGCCCGCACAGTACCCACCGCAACAACAACCTCAAGAGGCACATAGTTTGTCTTCACCAAACCCTTGTAAAACTTCCCGATTAAATCGCGGCATGTTAGTTCTTAACGAGGGGGCGGTACTCGCTCCAGTCGTTCAGGCGATTTTCGTCTTTCCAGGCCGATGGGCGTGCCCGAACTGCGTCAGGTCCTACAAGCGCAAAGGGCACTTGTACCGACATCTGCGCCAAGAGTGCAACGTGGAACCGCAGTTCCAGTGCGCCGTCTGCTTCAAGTCGTACCGGCACAAGCACGTGCTCGACAAGCACTCGTGTTTCGGACGCGTCCGCCATAAATAAAACATCGAATACGCATGCGCAATTTTTATTTACACCCCCTACGTGTTGCACTTGTAGCCGTTGGGCTGGAAATTGCAGTCGTCCTTGACCTTGGCGCCGCTGATGCTGACGCCGTCCCAGTTCCAATTGGAGCACCCGCCGGACGCACATACTATGCTCACTTGCTTGGCTTTGGATCCGCTCACGGTACCGGTGTACTGCTTCAGTATCAAGTTGGTGATGGGGATGTTAGCTTTGGGATTACCCACGTCACCGTAGTCCTCCTGGATCTCGATACCGTAGTTGGTGATGTCTGTAGTCAACGGTAAAATCTGATTGGTGAAAAGGTTTGGTCGCCATGCTCACCCGATATGACTATGTTGTTGTAAGTGACGTCCTTGACGGCGCCGGTACCACCTGTCGGATGGGTTTTGATGTGCAACCCGTTGGCCGATTTCCTGACCTTGGAATCGGTGAAGGTTATGTTGGAGACGGTGTTCGGGCTACCGTTGCTCGAGCTGAGCCCCACGGAGATGCTCAGGCCGTGTCCCCCGGAGCAGTCGAGGTTGGAGAACACCATGTTGGTACCCTGGTTCACGGCGACGCAGTCGTCTTGGTTCTGGACGGTCGCGTGGTCTATGTGCAGGTTGTTCGTGTTGGACACGTCAAATCCGTCGGTGTTGTGACCCCCTTGCTGTTAAATAAGATCAAGCGCATTTAATTCTTTCCTGCCTATTTCTAGTACTGCACACAACCGATGTTTTTTCTTCTTTTATTTTCACTGAATGAGGAAGTTTTTGCCCAACAAAAATCTTCTTCTTATTTTCAACTTTACTGGTACTATCAATAAAGGGGATAAAAACGCAAAGTGCAAAATTTTCCTAGCCATGCTTTTTTTTAAGGAAAATTGTTGCAAAGGACACCTCTGCAGCTGTTAAATAAGATTAAGCACTTTTAATTCTTCATAATAACAATTTTTTACATTTGACGGGAATGATTTAGTGCCTTTCCTGTATATTTCTGATACCGCACATAACCAATGTTTTTTCTTCATTTATTTTCGCTGAATGAGGAAGTTTTTGCCCAAAAAAAAGTCTGTCTTTTTGTTTTGTACTATCAATAAAAGGGATAAAAAACGCAAGTACAAAATTTTCCTAGCCATGCTTTTTTTTACGAATGGTAAGAAAAATTGTTGCAAGGGACACCTCTTCATCTGTTTCCAATTTCTAAGTGCCGCAAATTCTCGACAATGGCGTTGTGTCTCCAGAAAATGTTTCTTCTATTAAGTGGTCCTCTGGACGATAAAGACCGACAACAATTTTGGATGCTCTCTTACCGTGTCTCCTGCGGAAACGTCGATATTCCAACCGTTGAGATTCGTATCATCAGCGTTGATAGACACACAACGTTCCGGGCAGTTCAGAAGGTTTACGTTGTTGAGCACCGAATTGGCCTTCGTCTTGATCTTGACGAAGACCGGTTTGGTGGTACCGGAACCCCCTTTGCCGTCCCAGTACTTCTCCCCTTGACCGTTGAGCGTCGCGCCCGAACCTTCGACCGTCACACTACTACCGCTGATGACCAGCAGAGGTCCTTCCCAGTTGAGGAAATCGAATTTGATTGTGCCTTTGAAGGTGAGCTTGGTGCCGGATTTCAGGTCGAGTTGGAGGGCTTTGCCGGCAGGTACCGTCAAGTCTTGGATGACTAGGTCGGTGCAGCTGGACACCGCGTTGGCTACGTCGTCGAAATTGGTTACGGTGCAGGTGGCATCGGCGGACGGTCCTGTGGGGGTAGCCGCCGCGACGATCGCCGAAAGCGCCAGAACGAACCCGTGGTACTTCATTTTTTCTTCCCGTTCGCGATCGGATATCTCCTTCTTATACGAGCAAAATTTAACGCGCTCACGTCATCTTAGAATAACAAACCACTCGAGATTATGACTTCGGTGCACGTGGAGGATAACAAGGCCAAACTGCCGATATTATTTCGTTCCCGGCAGTGATTCGCAACGCAAACTTGCTACTTACTAAATATCACTAGAATTGTGATATGAGCCAAAACAAGTTTTCCATTTAAGTAAGTACATTACGGCCATTATTTACGGGGATTTGATATAATTTTTTTTTTAAGTTTCGATAGCGACATTATGCCCACCTAAGTAGTAAGAATAGTTAAGTTCTGTATTCGTAGACCCCCTGGGGTTATCGTGAGATACCAAAATTGCACCTAACTAGCTAGCCGATTTTTTTTAACTTCCCTTTCGGAAATAAACACGCTTTAAATAATAAACAAGATTTACTGATTTAATTATAACTTATTAAGATATACCATATATCAATAAAAAAAATATATTTTCTAGCCCACTTGCCAAAAAAATACTGCTAACGATTTTTTTTTCATTTCAGTTTGCGTTTGGGTATTAGGCATAAAAATTCTGATAAATGACGTTGTTAGGAATACGAATAAATAAAAAACTCAAAAGTCCAGAGCTTTTTATTATTAAACCAATTGAAAATACTGTTGTGTGTACGTGATACAATGTAAAGTGGTATCTTGATCCAATTTTATACGTGAGCTGGACTTTTGTTCGTAATGTACTTCACTGTAATTATAGGCAATTGTCAAGCAATTGTCGATGTCATTTTTTTAAAACTAATTCGATTAATTAGTAACGTCACGGATCGTTCAGAACAGTCGACAATTTTGCCTAAAAACACGGATAGCTGGTGCAATCTATTCTCGCAACCCGCTCTAATCGTCTAAAACATCTCATCTACTACAACGAAAGCGGGCACTTTGGCATCTACGGCCGTCCGACGCACGTACGACGACCCGCACCTCCGCCCTAGGTTCCCGGAACCTGTGGAAGACCCGGAACCGAGCCGACATCTGGCGCCGAAAGCTAGCAACTCCATTCTCTCGATATTCCTCTGGATTCTGGCCGCTGCTTCGGGGTCGCTACTGCCGCGCGACGCGCTGCAATCCAATAAACACACCTTAAATGCCGAACCTCGTGCTAGGTAGCCTAAACATCCCCCATCGTATACCTAGGTTCAGATAAATCAGATGTATCGTCACTAACTTGCAATGGGTCCCGTTGGAAGAGCGGCGTTTTGTTCTCCAGCCTTTCCCTCGTCAGGTAATTGATGTAGGCCCTCCTGTATTCCGGCTGACATTCGAACCGACCCTCGAACCTCTCCGGATCGGGAGCCGCAATCTCAACCTTCGGAGATGACTTCCACTTGACAGCGGGCAACTTCTACGACGCAAAATTCGATCAGTTAACTGTATTTCACCACGCAAACGCTTACCAATTCCTGCGGACGACATAGGGGCGGAGGCGGCAGCCCGTGCGCCATGTTGGGTTCCAATTTCTTCGTGTACTTGATGCGTTGGTTCCTTCTTACTACCCTAGCTTCCTCGTCGTTTATTTTAATCGTTGGGGTTTCATTTGGTCGCGGTTTGGGCCTCATCGGTGATCGCGGTACGCTCGCGACACGTGGCTCTGCTTCCGTCGAGTTTCGCCTACACCTGGAGGAAGGTCTGCTTGGTGTTCGGCTCTCCTGTAGTCTGGGCGATGCAGATCTCAAAAACGGGATGACTGGATGCAGTTTCGTCCCGGTGACGTCCCGTTCCTCCGGGCTCAAGTCTGCCGGGCTCTTGAGATGGTCCGTCGGGGCCGCCGGCCTGGATTTCTCGTAGTTTTTGTACTCTATGAACGCGCTCTTGTACTCTGCAAGATAATACGAGTTTACTTAAGTCGAAACACGCGTCTACCGACCTGGCTCTAAGAATATGGTGCCTTCCATGCGAAGATTGGTGGGCGTCTTTGTCAGGGCACCACGCCTTTCTATTTTGAATGGCAGGAATTGGTCTCGGTTTTCAGTGTCGAGGAGCAGAGAACCTATAAAAGAGTTCGATAAACCTGTAGGAGGCCGCTAGGTGAGATTGCCTACCTGACAAGTGCAAATTGGTGACTTTTTTACACAAGGGAGGTCGGTAGACGTTGGTGTAAGGGACGAAGTTCCTCCTGGACTCAGTCCCGTGTTCCATGTCTCCAAAAAGCTTCAACGTCGTGGCTCTCCTCTGGAGCTCGGCTCGTTCTTTGATCAGGTACCTGATGAAGTCTTCCGCGTAGCTGGTGAGGAAGTAGCGTTCGCCGGTTAATTTCAAGTTGGTGCTCCTCCGCGATAGTTTGGGCCGGTACAATCTGCAAAGGGCCGTAAAATTATAAAACATGTTCCCCGAAGGGTTGGGACAGACTGAATGCGTCTAAGGAGGAGGTTTCCTCGGAATCGGGGGTAATAGTACCTTAAATAATAATCGATACGGGGGTGGGTTTCCGACACGAAACTTTTAATACGCATTAGGGTGATTGCGGATAAATAGGGGCGCGCCTCGGTCATTTTATCTACGGGGCCGCGAGTCGATCCGCGACTGGTGCGGAAAATAGTTAAAATCGGGTGACTTCTGGGCAAGTGCACCAACTTGGAGCAGTAAAAACAAATCACGATGTGGAAATCGTGCCACCATAACAACATCTCATAAAGTGGCCATAACAAAAATGAAATGGAAATTTTATCGGCTCCAGAAGTACAGCAAACCGAAAATGATGTTTTGAAATTATTTAAAAACGCAAATTGAATCTGCGAGATGAATAATGAATGATTGAATTTTTTCAATGGAATTTATCTCCAGTCGGGATCGAATTAGACAACAACAAAACCTTTGATATCGACTGAGTGCTCGTTACAATCTTGTGATATAAAAAATATTATTAAGTTATTAACTACCCTTTTATTCGGTTGAAATCAATATTCTCGTTAAACACAACTTGCAAGTCTACGATTTTTGTAGTTTTTCGTCGTTCACGTTTGCTTTTAATGTTTTTATATATATTATCAAGACGTAAAAGACGGTTTTAGTCATAGGAACTCCCGTAGGGAGGCGCCTGTGTAAACTGTTGTTTCAGTGGCGCCATCTAGGTTCTTTTTTACCGGTAAAAAGTCGGGCAATGGCACAAAGTGAAAAAAAAATGGTAAAAATGTTTCACAATGGTATTGCATGTTAGTTGTAGAGGGCCTCACTAGCCCAATTAAGTTTTTAGTTGATTCTGGAGCTGACGTCATATGTTTACCTGAAAATGTACGAACCAACAACATGTTGGAAAGATATCGGGTCCGGATGGTCGAAATTTAAATCTAACCGGCCAAATACGCTTAGGAATATCATATAGGGGAACCATCCCTGTTGAAATGTATATTTTTAAAAAATTACAAATGCCTATATCAGGTAGATCGGGTATTCACACTTAGAAATCTTGAAATTTATGGGCAATCTAAGTCAACGAGGTTTTCAGCAAGTCACAACAGTAAAAGTTTGTTCTGAATTTCCAAAGTTTTTTAACCATATACTAGGGATAACAGTACCAATCAACTACATGTGTGACTCCCATAGTGGTAGCTCAAAAGGGTAATGGAATTAGGTTATGTTGCGACTACAAAAAATTAAATAAAAGCGTGTTGAGATCACATTTCCCGATACCGAAAGTAGAAACTACCTCAGTTGAACTAAACGGGTCTAAATATTTTTCAAAGTTGGATGCTAACTCGGGGTTTTATCAGATAAAAGTAAAAGAAGAATGTCAACATTTGACCACCTTGATAACTCAAATCTAAAAAGAGTATTTACGCACAGGGGCGATCTCTTAATACATACAGGAAGTATTGAGGAGCAGAAGTTTTTAAATCGATTAGAGAAGGAAGAAGTAACTAAATAAAGAAAAATATTATTTCGGGGTAACGTAAGTAAATTTTCTTGATCATATAATATCGGGCGACGATATTGAAATAGAACAAGATTGGATGAAAGCGATTTCGGAGTTTCCGGAACCTACAAATAAAAAAGAATTAATGCAGTGTTGGGGTGTGCTTAATTTCCCGCTATTTATCCCAAATAAATCCGAAATTTTGGGACCCTTGAACGAGCTGTTAAAACATACCGTATTGTTTACTTGGGGGCGACTGGAACAAGAATCGTTTCACGAAATTAAAAATTTGTGAAAAATAGCTCCATGTCTGTCACATTATGACGCAAATAAAATGATAATAATTAATGCGTATGCGTCTTCTTATGGGTTACGTGCAGTTCTATTGCAAGAAAACAAAAACGGAATCCGTCAAATTGTTGCGTACGCATCGAGATCTTTATCTACAGCAGAAATCAGGTACGCACAAATAGAAAAAGAAACATTGGCGTTAACATGGGCTTGCGATAAATTCATTTCATTAAACATTAGATTACAAAAGATGACTTTTTAAGAAAAATTGAGTTAGAGCAAAGCGAACACGAGATACGTGTAAAGCTCAAAGAATTGTTAACTTCTAATTGGCCAAGTAAGAAAGACTTATATCCAACATTAGTTCCTATTAAGAATTTCCACACGAAATTTCATTCAGTGAAAATTTGTTGTTAAAAGGCAGTAGGATTATTATACCAACTGTTTTACAAAAATCAAGTTCTAGGTTATATTCATCAAGCACATCAAAGTATAAGTAAATGTAGCAGCTCGACAATTTGGTTAGAAGTTGTCCAAGTTGCATCGAGGAACGAATCAACATCAAAGAAACCTTTTACATAGATGAACATGTCACAAGTAAGAACTGATAATGGGCCACAGTTCCAATCAGCATTTAAAAAAATAGCGTAGAGTTGAATTTTAGATATTTAATGTCAAGCCCTTACTTAAAGCTGCCATTAAAATTACAAAAAGTTTGATTAAAAAAAATGTTGATACTTATTTCAGTGGCATCATTGGCTTATAGGTCAATTAGCAAACGGTTTCAGTCCCTCTGAATTATTAATGGCGAGAAAATTAAGAACACCTGTTCAAGGTGGTCCAAATTCGAGGGGCCTCTATGGCTTTAAGCATTTGCAGCAGAGTTAGTCCAAAACTAATATACATGTTATGGGTTCGATTTTCGAGAGAAGTCAAAAACTGAAAACCGCGTCGTGATATGTCAAGGCGTTTTTGAGCTACAGGGTGATTCTTAAAAATGTGCGATTTTAAAGGCCCTCTGTAAATTTTTTAATTGTAAGAATAGAGTTTTAGTAAAAAACATTTTTTTAAGTTTTTTTAAGCGGGAATCTCTCTATTTTGCCCGCTTTAGCTCTAAATGGGATACCCCAAATTTTTCTAAAACATTAGTTTTCTAATAAAATTTTCTGTCGAACGATGTGTCATACACCTGTTGTTATTAAATAGTTATTTGCAATTTTTGATATTTACCATAGTAGGTGCCGTGCGCGCCCTAAATGTGCAGATAAAATTTTAGTGTTTTTTTTTTCATACAAAATCAAGTTGGCTATGACACGAGGGGACATAGCAACCTCGCAATTTAACTTCTAGTTGACAATAATTACCAACCCGAAAATAATAAACGGAAATACAATTATGAAAAGCAATTTTTTTTTAAATTTTTATTAATTAAACTATGGAACACTTAAAATCTACATCTAGCAAGTTTCTATGTCCTACATCTTCTCTTGACGCTATTTTCTGCATTAAGAAGTTCTACCGCACGAAGCTGCCTGAATGCAGTACGAAGTGCCTCTTCTAGTAGTTGGGAGATTTCGAAATACAAGGTCTTCCAACTCTCTGTCTCTGGCTTGGCTTCTATACGTCCTAGGCCGTAGTTTTGTAAAGGACCCGTATTTTTGTAGATGACGTTTTAACTTCAAAAATATTTTTAAGCTAGGTTGCCTTCTTTCCGGATATCTCTTGAAATACAGATTTAACGCCGCATGTCGATTTTCGTTAATTTCAATATAACATTTTATCTTGTCGTATTTTTCAAACATTTTTATAGCTTGACGAAGACGCCATCATTGACACTTGGGTTTGTGTATCATGGCAATTGTTTTTATCTGATAATAGCTACCTAAATAGACACCGTAAAACTAAGCCTAAGCCTACTATGGTAATTATTAAAAATTGCAAATATATTTTTAATTACTTAATAAAAATAGGTGTATGGCACATCGTTTGACAGGAAATTTTATTAGAAAATATTTTTTTTCAAAAATTTGGGATCTTCCATTTAAAAAATGTAACTTTGTGTTTTATCTCGTGAAATAAAGGCTTTAAGACAAAATTGAAAATCTTTTTTTAATAAAAATCTCTATCTTTACAAATAAAAAAAGTTATAGAGGGTTTTTAGAAACATTTTAAAGAGTCACCCTGTAGCTCAGAAATGCTTTGACATATCATGATGCGGTTTTTAATTTTCGACTTCTCTCGAAAATCGAGCCCTTAACATGCGTATTAGTTTTGGGCTAACTATGCTGCAAATGATTAAAGCCATATAGGCCCCTCGAATTTGGGCCACCCTGTACCTATCTCACCTAGTAAATTAAAGATTTGTGTGATTTATCAGTTTGTGATGGCGTTTGGGTGACAGACGTACGTCGTTACTGCAAAATCATTAAGAGGCTATGTGCAATTTAATACATTCACCGAAACCCAGATTCCGTTATCTTCAAATAAGGAAACTATTCCTGCCACAGTTGTTAATGGTGATCCGGTTAACAACGGAATGCAGAAATTAGAGAGGAACAGTGCAGCGTGCGGGAAGGCGTTGACACAAATAAAAATGATGCGCCCAGCGCGGACGAGAAAAAACCTACATGGTTGTCAGATTTTGTTACTCATTAGGAATAGATTTCTTTATACTTTTTCCTTTGAAAAAAAGGAGGGAGATGTTGTATCAGTGGCGCCATCTAGGGTCATTTTTTAAGGGTTATATTACTGGTAGAAAGGTTCAGTTAATGTGGCACACATTTTAATGTACGTAAAAGCGGGGAAGAAATGAAGCTCCTTCAGTATATGCGTTAATTTATTTGGTTACAATCTATAAGTATATATCGGGACGATTATACAGCATAAACCACACTTCTCAAGGCACCGCCCTTACCCCAGCCCCTTGGGTGTGATACTAGCTTTAACAACAACCCATAGGGCGTGATCATTCATCTTGTAGTTTCTTGTAGTTTTAGCTCGTTGATAAATAAAGAAACTTTACGTCGGGAAGATAAATTTTTAATACAGTTTCGCTTTCATTATTGTTTGAAAGCTCGTAAACAACGAACGGCGAAAAAAATAAGCGTGTTAAAATTAATCAGGGCGACGGCGGCGTAAAAAATCTGCATAACGCCCCTATTTATTTAACACGGTCGTTGCGTGAGGGTGAAATGTGTCGGAAGAGGCTATTTTTAGACGCAAAAACAAACGAAACCCTTGTCGTTAATCTTGTTCCGTTACGGTGGGGCCCTATCGCAAGCCTCCGCGCCGATTGCGAGGGTGTCACGGTCAGAATAAGCACGCCAGGTTCGAATCAATTAAGTTGTGCTTATTTTTTTATATCGAGGGCGCCTTATTCTCGGTCTGTCGTCCTTAATTCGTCCCCTTAATCCGACAAATCCAAATGTACAAAATTAAATTTCTGGTATTCTCCTAGTGATTCCATTTTAAAAGGAATTGCTTTAGCACCGACCTTAGGGAGAAGCTATCTTTAATTTTGTTGATTAATTCGAAAGAATTTTTTATTGCAAATTTTGGTTGAAAATCTGTGTGGCACTATGAAATATTTACTAATTTTGTTGGGAATTTAACTGCTGGAGCCGTTACATAAAACACGACTGGTCTAATGGGCATATTTTGTTTATGTAATTTAACTAAAGAATATAATTTCGGCGATTGTGGATTCATAATTGTTAATAAATACTTGTCTTTGTCACTAAACAGTGTGGAGTTAGTAATTACTTCCTTGACTTGTCTTTGATATAACTCGGTAAGGTCGTGTTTGACACATTGGAAAAGTTCTGGTTTAAGAAAATTGTTGGTTTTTGAAATATATTCTGGGAGATCGATAGCTATGACTCTCTTCCCTTTATCTGCACGTGTAAATATTATGTTCTATTCAGAAGCTTTGTTTTTGATAGATTTTACTAGTGACATTTGAGAAATTTCTTGGTTTTAGTTGTTATCTAGTGATTGAGAGTTTTTTATATTCGCTAATAAATGTTTGTTTAAATTAGAATCGTTAATGTCCTTAATTGCTAATTTACAGTCGATATCTAATCCCGAATGCTGTAAGTTAAAGTTGAAACCTTTTTCCAGAAATTCAAATTCATTTTTAGAAAATGTTGTGTCTGTTAAGTTTATGAACCTATTGTAAAATTGGTGGTCGGTATACTTTGTAATAACTGGCTCGCTGTTAGATGTTTTTGTATTAGAAATTAATTTGTCTAACTTGAGTGTCAAATTTTATTTTTGCATTGCAACATTTCATTATCACTGTACTAACATTATTAAATGGCGTTTACGAGATATCGATAGCACTAAACGCAACGGCGCATCAAAGACGTCCGTTAAAATCGTGTGATGCCGCAGGTCCGTACTCATTTTTTGTTCCGGATAGGATCGGACACGCGTCGGAAGCAAATACTTTAAACGCTCTTACCTGATGGCCGACGTGACATTTGGCGGCACGTCCGACTGAATAATTTGTGGCGAATCGGACGGGGCTGACCTTTCGACCGTTTCTTTCGACGGATCGTCGAGTTCCGGTCCTCGTGACCTTTGGCCGACCTGCAAACACACAAAATACATCAATCCCACCGGTCGGTGGCCCCGTCCGCCATATCGCTGACCTCCGGCAGCTCGAGCCTCTTGAACCTCCTCGTATATTCCGATTTGAGGTGGCGGAACGAGCCGCTCAACACGCGCAGATTGTCCAAAGCGGCGGCGCCATCTTTCAAAAAAAAATTCTTTAAAACTACTTTTAATTTACAGTAGCAGTAAAAAGTTAATTAATTAATACAATTTTTGCTATACAGGGTGATTAAAAAAACATGCGGTCACTCACAATCTTACTCTAGTTGAAGTAAAATTAACCCTTAATTAACATAAGACCCTAAACTAAATTGGTGTCGCCACACAGACCAAGTGGCTAAACAAATCTCAAAAATCATCTTTCTAATATGCAGTCTAATGCGCACTGTAGATGGGAATATATTATTGGCAGGTAATTGGCTCCCGGTTGCTTTATAAGCTGATAGACCGGGGCCAGGCTACCGGTGCAGCAAAACTCTATGGCCTTACAACGTAGGGTAATTAGAATAATCACAAATGTCAAACACAGAGAGGATGTTAGATTTAAATTTTCGATCCTCCAAATTCTTACACTGCCCAGCTATACTTAGGTGTCGACAAACAGATTTGAGTGAATAAAGTTCACCCTTACAAAACACGGAATAGGAAATAAACTTAAGTCCGAGACAAAACAACTCCCAATAAACAGGTTCAAAAACTTAATCAATCATTTGACAGCTTGGAGGAGTATATCTTTTTCCATATTTAATCCGATCAGCTGTAATGTATGTCCAAATCCCCACAGAATGCTTTACGTTTTGTGTATTATGCTTATACTAAACCAGTCAAGCTCTGAAGAAGCCAACAGGATGATTGGCGAAACGTCAGCATTTTCTATATTTGTAACATGCTAATAAATGAAATTTAAAAAAAAAAAAACATTAATGACGTTGCCAAATTTGAACAACATCGACGAGAAACTTATCGTGAAAAAGTAGTTTATTCGTTAAATATTGAACACCCCGTATCTTGGAAAATAAGCATTTCCTGAACTACGTCTATAAGAATTTTTTTCTATTTTTTGGACGACGAATCTCCGGCCGGTCGTCGACCCGTGTTTTTTAATCACTCTGTATATAAATCCGGCTTATGTTATAGGTGATAATGATATATGACATCTTTCTATTAGCTTTGCGTATTCAAAATTGTCGTATAAGATAATTGGTTAGGTACTCTGTCAGGGCCGAAAATAGATAGGTATTCTATGACTTGCGAAACGTCAAAAATTACAAAAATATTAATGATATGATTTACCAGTTAGACGTCAATTGGTTGAGAGGCTGGTTTACTATTGCAAAGTTTATCTGAGATACGTTAAAGGTGCGGCATTTGATTACATATGAACAAAACAAACCCGATATCTTTCATCTTCATATTTCTTTAATTATTTTATTTTGTTGTTTACGTTTTTGGTTGTACTCGGCGGTATACAATTTTAATTTTGAATTTCTTCCTGTACTTAGTTTTTACTGTAGTTAATAATCACACACAGACACGCCATATTACTGAAATTATTTTTGCATGATCTTTGCTTTACCTCACATTACATAAAAAATGAGTGATAAAAGCACAACCTTTTCGAAAAGTTACTTAAATATAATCACTGTGTTCAAAAATTGTTTGATTCTGGAATATTTATACCAAATTTCTGGGTTTGTTTATCAATAAGGGATTATAAATGTATAGTTAATAATGCAATATATAAGTATAAATAAATGTAATATGATCACAATTAGACATTAGTAGATATAATAACAATTAAACTTAAAGTTTATAATCGTATTTATAAAATAAAGTAACAGACAGTCCTAGAAATTTGAAAAAAAAAGTTGATTGGCTACGAAAAATTCTAGAATTTATTATCGAGTTTCTGAAATGGCCACCACGGGGCGTTTTTTTGTTTAATACTGTTTGCTCTATCCTTGCAAGAAAAGTGGTTAGGGGGTGTTAAAAAGCCCTTCTCCTAGGTTATCAATCATGTTTGCCAGGTGTCGTTTTATAATATAATCGCAAAAAAATGATTGTCTGCAAACAAGAATAAATGCAAAGATATGACTAAAAAATTACACTAATTTGTTATTTAAGATTGCAAATAATATTTAAAATCAAATAAAATTTTGTTTTCATCTATTGCTATTTTTACAATACCTCTGGTCCTCACAAAATTACCTTGTAGGTGACATTGCTACGTTTTGATATTCTTGCACGATTTCAATTATAATATTGTTAGTTAACTGACCACACCTAATAAATATTTGAAGACTAACCAGTTTAATTAATTATAGAATTATTTAATTAGCAAAATGTGTATTGAGATAATCATTATAATTCTTCGTTTTTTATGCAATCGACAATTAACAAATGTTGTGTAATTAAAACGGTAGGCATCAAATAACGACAAGGTCTGATAAAAACTAAATAAATTATTTCTATCAGAAGAGATATTCTATTTATTTTTCAAATAATTCTCCACATTTTACTACTTAAACAAGTCAATAGTTAATAATAAAATATTTGGTCGCTAACACTGATTAATAAGAAAATAGGGGGTAATTTCGTGCCTTTCAAAAAGTAAAAAAAATTTGTTTTGATCATCTGGCATAAATTAGGGTTTTATTTGATTAATTTGGGATAATGAGCGTGAGGAACAACCAGTACAGTCAAGTGGATTCGAATTTGGCTCAGCTTTAAATCCGTGCTCGCGTCAATTATGATTAACATTAGAAATTTTTATGGAAACCGATGTTTAAAATTCAAGGTAACAATTAGGCCTCCTGATAGTCATTTAGTTTACACAAGATACTGGCTATACTGAGTCTCGCATTGTAATTCTGGGGCTTTTGTACTCCACATCTTTTTCAGTCTGTGTTAGTTGTTTAAAGAGGGCCGTCAGGAATTTATCCACACAGTTTTTTAACTTTCCGTCCTTGTTACTTACGAAAAATCGATGAAATTTTTTTATTTCGATTTTCGACTGTTGAACTTTGCTATGAAACACGATAAGTGTCCGAAATTTGAATCTATCGATTTGCAATTTTGTAAAAGTATAGAGCGTGGGTCAGTGAGGGAACCTATTGAAATTGAGGGGGTCGGTTAATGAGAAGCATTTTTTAAAATTCCAAAACTGTTTTTTTTTTAAACTAAAAAGTGAAAATTGTTCATCGGATCGCAAAAATTCTTGAACGAGAAGACGCGGAATATTGACGCCCATAAACTTTTATTCTTGAAAATGTACTGGGTGTGCCGGTATTACCAAAAATTAGAAAATTCAGTTACCAGCAAGTCCCCGGAATTTGCAGCTATTGACTTAAAACTTGGCACTTTGGTGGAAGTAAACCGCCGCATGCAAATTGTAAAAGCTAGGTGCAGTCGAGCATCACCAAATATTTTTAAAAAAATTTCGAAATTTTTTTTGTCATTTTGAGCTGTATAAAAAAAATCATATCTCGAAAACTATTAAACCGATCGGCAAAATTCTTGAACCGTAAAACGCGAAAGGTACGGGGTTTGACAATTGTGAACAAAAATCTAAAAGACCAAAAAAAATGTTTCTTTTTTCTGTAGTAAATCATTAACCGTAAATCAAAATTCGTGAAAAATATGGACAATTGGTTTAAACGCTTTTATAGGGCACATCGAGAGCTACAATTTTTGTATTTGCGGTTTTCGTCTATCACATACGTCGTTCGAGATATTTGAAAAAATCCAAATGAAAATCACCAATCCCTCAATCGAGACGCGATGACGTCATTGATTATAACGGCGTACTACATGGTTTCAGAAAACTGTTTATCTTAACGTGGGGGATCTAGGGCTGTAACTCTTACTTTGGGAATTTTTTGGATTATGTACAGGGTGTGTCGATTATGGGTAAAAAAAACAAAAAGATCCTGAAAATTGCCGTTAATTATTTGCCATTAATGAAAATCTATGGAACATGGGATAAGTTGGTTTAAACAGTCTCGAACATTTTGTCGAGAGAGAATTTCAGGTTTCGTCTATTATACAGGGTGGGCGAGATATTTGTTGTTATTTGTGCAAATTATTACATTTATCAAAGCTTGCTGTCACTTTAAGGTTCAGCAAGGCGTGAAAGTCACTTTATACATGGTGCATGCACAATAAAGTTATATCCATTTTGCGAAAGTTCCATAGTGGTCCAGTGGTCCGCAGGAGCACGATAGAAAACCAATGTCTCCCTCTATAACCAGAAACTGCGAAGCTCCTTCTTTTTCAAATAATAAGCTGCTTCGCACTATGGTGACGCAAACTTGTTTATCCTAGAAACTGCATATTTAATCCACAAAAACAGCACTACTTTCCTAAACACTAGCCCGTTGAGGGTCCGCAGAATAAACACCATGCCATGACCAATTCCTGGCATTCAAATTAGTAATTTTGTGGAGGAATGTTACTTATCTACAACTTTTCTTGTTATTTTTGATAACAGACTTTTTGTAATTGTGCTACGGTTTGTGATACTTTATTTACATAATAGAAAAAAACTTATTTATGGGCTTAACAGGATCAATAAGGAAAATAAAAATATATATATATATATATATATATATATATATATATATATATATATATATATATATATATATATATATATATATATATATGATGACACTATATTCCGGGATATCATCCGTTCGCTCGTTGAACTCCGACTGGAATCCTGCATCCGACTGGAATCCTGCAAATCTTGCATCCGACTGGAATCCTGCAGACGTTTCGCCAAAATCTCACTTGGCATCTTCAATGCTCGCGCTCCGAAAACACTTCGAACACTGTTCGAGTGTGGATGATATCCCGGAATATAGTGTCATCACATTTTTCCATCCGTGAATCAATACGTGAGAATTTATATATATATATATATATATATATATATATATATATATATATATATATATATATATATATATATATATATATATATATATATATATATATATATATATATATATATATATATATATATATATATATATATATATATATATATATATATATATATATATATATATATATATATATATATATATATATATATATATATATATATATATATATATATATATATATATATATATATTATATATATATATATATATATATATATATATATATATATATATATATATATATATATATATATATATTATTTTCCTTATTATTTATTGTCATCTTATAATTCGTACCTGACTTCTTCTTCCTATGACTCGACAGCTGATCGACCGTGATCACCGGGAGGTGGACCACCTCCCTCCCCCTCGCGAGCCTATCCTCGTCGTCTCGCTTCGTCCTTGAAAAAAATGCGACCGCAATAACGTCTCATCCCACCCCCCACCCCGTCCCGCAATTACGTCCCACGCCCCGGAGGAAATTGCAACCAGAACTAACTCAATTAACCCTCGCAGCTTAATGGCTTTCCTACACGCTCCGATCCCGATATTCTCCTCTGCGGAGACTGACTCGGGAGTGGTGCCGCCACCGCGGCCCCGTGACCTACATTGCCGCCCCCGCAGAGGGTTCAACGGAACGGAACGAGGCGGCAGCGTCTCGCCAGACCGTGTCGTGTGACGTATTGCGGGCCGAGCGGAATAGTTTACTCCGATGGGCGTGGCCTACGTTTCAAGAGGGGGCGTGTCAGTGGTAGGCTGGTAGTATTACTGAATCTGTCTTACAAATTAGGTCGGAAAAGACTGGTATAGTCAAATCCAGTCTCAACATGCGAGTCCAAAAATCACTAATTAGAAATGTACCCTAAACACTTTTATTGTTTTACGTAGTGTTATCATCATCAACACTTTTATTGTTTTACGTAGTGTTATCATCATCCCATAACGTTACTTTTAGTTAACTGATATTAAACTGGATGTTGTCTTATCAGGAATAATTTAATAAAAATAAAATGAAAATTTGCCAGCCAGTCTTCAGGAAGCAATGGGAGGAGGAGATTGTGTCCCATGCACTTTTGCGGGGAACTTTTGTAGTCAGAAAGATGCGGTTTACTATTTTTACATAAAACTAGGTAGTTTTTAAGATACAGAACTAAAATTTTCAATTTCAAGCACCCGTCGTATATCAACTATCGTATAGAATATAAAATTCGCCTTTTTCTAATTTTTTAAAAATATATAATAGTATGCACATTTTCCCAGAAGCAACCAAAATAAATTTTCCAATTTTAAATGCATAATTTAATAGTAGGCTATAGCTACTGTTTATGACAACAAACAAAAATAAATGTCAAATATTCTCAGCGATTTTTGGGTAGACTTAAAGCATTTTTTGTTGTTTTAGTTTGATTGCCACTTAACAATTTATTAGCTTCGGAATTATACTTCCAAAGATGAGTTAGCTATTAAATTTAGTTGAGTTTCTAAAACATACAACAAAGAGAACAAAGAAATAAAGAATATTTTAATTAAGCATTCATTTTGAAAAATTGTCATTTATTTGTTTTTTTCTGAGAAAAAGTGCATGCCGTTATATTTTTTGGAAAGTTTAGTCTATAAATCTACAGGATGTTCCATTCCTAAAGGAAAAATTGAGTTCTACGGGAAAAGATATATAAGAGACAGTTTTCACATTTTCTATAAGTTATCAGATAGTTGAGATACGGGAGGTGCTTGAGAATGCAATATTTTCCATTTAGCTATCTAAAAAACTAAAGGGCTATGTAAGTTTTGTTAACAGCTTCTTTAGTTTCACGTTTATATCTATAGAAATAACAGGAAATTATGTATAAAAAAAGTCACAATATAGATAAGAATACTAAACAATTAAAAAAACTCTTATCATCACTTATAAAAAGTCCTCGTCTTCTAAGTTGTCCCCGAATGGATCCCACCAGTCCTATATTATTTTTTCGGTATATTCCACGGATTTGTTTCAGTAGTCATGCTTAATATAATCTTGCGCAACTATTTGAACTTGCTTGGATTTACGCCAATCACTTGCATTTTTTTCGTAACAAGATTTCGTCCCAACCGATATTAATTCTATTGCGTGAAACTGACAATGATTTGGCGGCAGCCGTTGAACCTCAAGGCCATGTTCGCGCGATATTTTATCTACGACAATAATTTTGGTTTTTTATATAAATTTTACCGTTGAAAGAATAGTAATCTTGTTTTTCAAGTATTATTTTTCGAAGCAGGTTACTTATTTAAAAATCTTCAATGAAATTGAGGTATCTAATACAAATAATGACGGAATATCCCGATTTGGTATCATTTTTCGAACATTTTACAGTTCGTATCAACACGAGAGTCCAAAGTTTTTGATGTGGAAGAAACAATTGAACTTGCACCTGTCCTGCAAGTTTCGGTTTTGCTAATCGTGGTGAATAACCAGCATGCTAACCAATCAACTCCTTTTTCTCTTGACACTTTTACGCCAAGATTTTGAACCAGTTCCATTGGAAAATATCTACGTTTCGTGTAATAATACCACTTTTCCAAATTTTTATATATTTATATATTTCTTTAAAAATTGAATAAGGTGGACTCGGTTACAGTTCTTTTTATAGCGAAAAAACTTTTCAATTTTGATAATTATAAGTCCGGTATCGAAGACCAAAACTAGAATTTACATTGATTTTTGCTCTATATAAATCACATTCCGAACTTATATTTTTACATCTTCCCTGAGATCTTCTGTCTTTGCCTGTCTTTTTTTTTTTTCACGTACAGGGTGAGTCAACGATAAAGTTCGATTTTTTTTGCAAATGTGAAAAATGTTAATTTTTAGAAAAATTAAAATACTGGAAAAACTATTAAGTTTAGGTAAGTATTATTATTAATAAAAAGGTTAAAGAATTTCAAAACAAATTTAAAGCAAAATTTAAAAATAGGGTGATCCATAAAAAAATGTATGTTTTATGGGTCAGGTTTTTTTGCCATCACTTTTGAAACCAATGGATAATTAACCTTACTATATCGTTGATTCACCCTGTACAATTTTCTGTGCAATCTTGCCAGTTTTTTCGCTAATATTTCGTGAGAGTTCGATGGCGATTTTCCACCTTTTCTTTTTCTTTTTCAAAATAGTTCGTCAAATTTAAAACCATATTGGCACTTGAAATTGCTAAAGTCTCAAAACCGACATTTGGAAATCAAACTTTTTAAAACCGCTCATCCTTTTTTTCAAGATAATATGCGTTATAAAAAAAACAGCAAATGTGAAAGTCGTTCAAAATCGTAACCAACTATGCTATCTGAAGATCTACCAGAGATGGAGAAACAAGTTTTACAAAAAAGCGTCATCAATTTAAGATTTTTTAATAAGGACCCTATATTTTTGTCCAGTTTTCAATTCCTTGTTTTTACGTGGGCGTTAAATCTAAACACATAAATTGTTATTATTATTATTATTACGGGTAAATGTCCTATGTCCTACATCTAGCAGTTTCAGTGAAATTTGTAATTGTATATAATAATTGATTGATTGATAATCGATTAAAAGACTTCACAGTACCCGTTAAACATTGAGAAATAATATAAACAATCTCTTATACCACAAATGAAGCAATCCCCATTACCCTAAAAAATAAATTGCAAATTGGCTTTCATTGGTTGAAAGTTCTTTGAAGCAACAAAAATGTTATTATTTCCATAAAACTTTTATAATAACTGTACAACATACGGGGTGTCCCAAATATACACAACCTCAATTATGGATTTTTATTTAAATGCATTATTTAGCAGATATTACTTTGAATATCCTTGTGAAATGAAGTTTTAGAATTTTAAAATAAGACGCCCAGCGTATTACTATCGCTGGGCACAAGTCAAGCGAAAACAAATGTGGACCAATCAGCGAAGCACAATGCTTAAAGGCACGCCCGCTGAGGGCGTGTAATATGATGCGCGCTGGCCACGCCCATCGCGGTCGGGAGCTAACTGCACAAAGAGCGAGCGGTGTCGGAGACGAGAATAAAAAAAAAACTCCTAACATTTACCTTGGGTCGTCGACCGCCATGAGCGCGCCGCCGGTATAAAACGGGGTGCGTTGAGCGAACACTGACAAAGACTAGAACGGCAGTGATTTTCAACGAGCCTGTCCCCACCTCCGGGCGGCGGCGGCGGCGGGAGACGCGCACCGGTGGTGATGGGGGCGGCATTTGTTGATCCACTTGTTACCCGGCCCGGATAATCCGTCCAAAGGTTTTAAACTCGATTACCGAAGATGATAACAATTTTCGAATGGTAAGAGTACGAAGTGGGTCACTGCCTTTCCAGTGAATATTTTACCTCTACTATCCGAAAACTGTTAGAATGCATAATAACGCAACATTTTAGGAATTGTGCATAATTACCGTTGGTGATTTTGCATAATAACTGCATAAATACTGAAATCATCATCATGATATCTGAGATATTCCGTTCAGATAGATAGTAGCCAAAATTTTTATGACACTTAACTACTAATTCCCTTACACTCGTTTCAACAAGTAGTGTCTGAGTCTTTAGTAAACTTGCATAATACCAGAAGCAACTGCCCTCCCTTTCTCAGAGAGGTTGTTACAGCTAAAAATGTGTCATATTCGTCTTCGACCAAAACATTTAGTCAAGCCCACTTAACTAACCAAACAAATTTGAGAATATTAATTTAAAATCATTTACATCCACATGCATGCGAAGGCATCTTTCGTAAAGATTCGGGAGCCAATTTGTCACTAAGGAATGTGGCCAAGTGTTATACGTATTGCTCAGAATTGCTGTAAAATTTTTATTAAAAAATGTAGTTATTTATGAAATATCCCAGATGTTTTGCATAATATCTGAGGATTTTAGAATTTATACTTAATTTCTCAGTTGCTAAGCAAAATCACTAAAAGTTTCAGCAATTACGCATAATTCCTAAAATGCTCAATAAAATTCCGAAAGAGTTGTTTTTTGGTATATTCCCTGGGCACAGTATTAAAAAGTCCATCCCTAACAACCATTTCCCATAACTTGTACCTGTACAAATTAAGTTGACTAAAAAAGTTATTATAGGTCATAAGTCAAAACTTTCAGTTTTTTGTATGTTTCTCGGAAACAGTAACGTTCATCAAAAAAATATTTCGTAAGAATCACCGGAATTGTTATTATTGGACTAATAATTTCACTTAACGGTATTAATTATAGTCGATTTCACGGTGAAAAAAGACTTCCTTCCTCCTTTTCAATTTTAGAAATTCTCAAAAACGGCTCGTCTTGATAAGGAAAACATAATTCATCCCCGTTTAACCTTCTGAGATTTTGTTTTTGGAAATTAAAAAAAAAATGTTAAAAATTTGCGTGGGTTTTTAGGGATAGAGGGTTGACTTTGATAGAGTACTTTATCAACGTCTTGTATATTTGTAATATGTGAAATATGATATTAAAATGGAATACATCAGTTGTGCGGAAGACAGTGAAGCTAATGAAGATCGTTTCCTGCTGATTTCCTACTGGATACAGCAGGAAACCAGCCTCCTCCCCTTGATGGACCAAACTAATTAAAGCTGTGCGGTCATCTACCGTTATCGACGGACGTCGCGACGCCCTCGGATGGATCTAGTTATGCGAATTGCGATGAAATAAAAGTACTGCGTCACATTTCTTATGCGAGGCAAGTCATCACCGCAATCTCTTCTATGGAATCTGGTCGACGCACAATCTCGAGTGTACGCACAACAACAACAAAGATATGCCTGTTGATGCATCAAACGCTTTACGCACGACTAAAAAAACACCGATCTATCAGTGCCGGGGGTGAGGGTAATTAGCTGGTGCGATATACCCGGGGGTGAGGGTAATTAGCTGGTGCGATATACCCCGATGCAATGTTGGTCAGCAGTTGGTCCGTCCGGCAAGGGATATTTCCTATTTTCCATCAACGAGAATATATGAAGCGTCCGTCTCCAGCTTTCTGATAATATCTGTGAGTACTCTAGAAGAAGACTCTTTGGAGTTAAAAGTGCTTCTATGGATTTCTGGAAGTTATTGGGGCAACAATCGAATCTAAGATGGAACAAAAAAACGAATGAACAACTTTGCATGTTCTAGTCAAACGAAGTAATACGAAGATCACGATTTGAGTATGCAGGAAGCAAATACGTGATGGTAGATTTAAGAAAGAAATTGCTGACATATATTCATCAAAACTGTCATCTGAAAAGACAACAAACAACAAAATGCAGAAATATGCAAGAGAAAGCTCAAAGATGGAGACTTCTTTCACGAACGCAAGGAGATTTTTAGCAAAACATCGGTTTGTGCAAACCGACTATGGAAACCATTGCTTTACACAACAGCTATCAACGGTCACACCTGATGCATATAAGCTAGTACATTTTAGAATTTGTAATTATTCGCTTGATAATTTGATACACACTAACCAAATTTAAATAAAGGCAATGGCAAGAAATTCTAAAAAGTAGATTAAACAACCGATTTAAACAATTTTAAAACAAACATCTTAAAATGCGAGTAACCGAAACAATCGCAAAGGCAAAATAGTGAAACCTGTTGCTGCGACTGGAATGAATTTTTTCTTATACTGGGTGTTCCAAAAAGCGATCCGCTAATTTCTAGGGTAAATAACAGAACATTAAAAGCAACTGTAGATCCAAAAATACCATTGATTAGATCATAAAAACTACTGCGAGAAAATTTTCATATTTCATTCAAAGGCAAGTGGTCCTTTATTTATTTTGTAAGCAAACTTTTTTTATGGCCATAGCACTGGTACTCTGTCGGCTGTTTTCTTCTTCAGAGCACTGCTTAACACTGAGAGTCGAAACCTTCTACTTGTCCAAAAATCTTCAAACATCAAAAACCAACCTCTAGGCAGCATGTGTCTATAGAATATAGTGTAGCTAGGGTATGAGAGAACAGTCTGACATGAAATGAACAAATAACAGCAAAATGCGAGAATCTATTGAAATTCAAACTATTGCCAGTCATAGATCTCCATTCAGTCTCCTCTCCATTTCCATTGACCCTAAAAGCCGCGTACCCTCAATTATCTGCACTATCCAAATCGCTAGCTTTTCAGCGACGTTTTTTTATTATCGGTGCCGCCTATGGATCAAAACCTTCACATCATTATAAACGAGCAAAACACTCGAGCGTTTATAAATTGACCTTCCGGGTCGTAATTTTTTCAAAATCGACGCAATGTCAGCTCTGAGACTCGTCATACTATTTTTTTCTGTCGCGGCATACGCCTCGGCTCTGCCGACCAACGCCACTCTCGACGACAGCTGCACCATCAACACCTTCAACGATGTTTCGAGCGTCACCTCTAGCTGCACCTCCATCACCCTCAAGGGGATCACCATCCCTGCTGGCGAAACCCTGGACCTGAGCCTCAAGTCGGGAACGACCGTCAAGATCACCGGTACCATCAAATTCGACTACAAGACTTGGGACGGTCCCCTGATGAGGATCAAGGGAAGCAAAGTCACCGTGAAGGCCGACTCTGGTACCTAACCAAGATTTGGTAGTGCGGCCTCGCTCTAACAACTTCTCACATTCCAGGTGTTCAGCTCAACGGCCAGGGTGAAAAATACTGGGACGGACAGGGCGACAAAGGCAAAACCAAGCCGAAGTTCTTGAAGATTCAAACGACCGGTGGTTCGGTAATTCAAGACCTCTACCTGCTCAACTGTCCGCGTCAGTGCGTATCTATTAACGACGTGGATAGTACCACCATCAAAGGGTTCACCATCGACGTATCAGCGGGCGACACCGTAAGCCATGACCTCTGGGAGTAGCGGGATGTAATTTAAAGTACTTGGTATTTTAGGACGATCTCGGACACAATACAGACGGCTTCGACATCTCGAAAGCGACCAACCTGGTGATCCAAGACTCCACCATTAAGAACCAAGACGATTGTGTCGCGATCAATTACGGTTCGAACATTAAGATCAGCGGACTCAAGTGCTCGGGAGGTCACGGCCTCAGTCTCTCGGTGGGCCAGAGCAAGGACGACTCTTCCACTAATCAGGTGAAGAACGTCACTTTCTCAGACTGCGAGGTCAAAAAGTCCAGGAACGGGATCCACATCAAGACTCACACCGACGCCGCGGCGGGCTACATCAAGGACGTCACCTACAAGAACATCAAACTGTCGGGTAAGGGTAGGGCGTTCTCAAATTTATTGGAAGGTTATCCAAAATGGTAAATAAGATGAGCTGCTACGGGGTACTAAATTTAAGTTTTACTTTGCAACATTTTTGCTGGCATTGACGCAGGCCTTGAGCAAAATCGTAAACATCACTTCAGCAACGATAAGCCGACTTTAAATTAGAAACGTTATCCAAATATTGCAATTGATGTCATTGGCGATAGTTTTCAACGATACTTGAGATATTCAATTATGCTTAATTTAGTTTCCACCTTTTTGTGCCTTGTAGACGAATAGGTCTGCGAAAAAAACCTTCTCGCCTTTTATTCTCCCTTAATGCAATCGATAACGTTGCTTTCAGATATCACACACTACGGTATCAATGTCCAAGAGGACTACAAAGACGGCAGCTCGACCGGTAGCGCAAAGGGTAACATCCCCATCACCAAGTTGAACATGAACTCGATTACGGGTTCCATGACAGGATCCAGCGGCATGGATGTCTATATCCTTTGCGGATCAGGAGGATGCAGCGACTGGACTTGGTCGGGAGTCTCTATCAGCGGTAACAAGAAGAGCGATTCGTGCAACTTCAGTCCCTCGGGATACACTTGTAAATGATTGACTAAGGCAATAAATGGCGGCTTGTCGAACCGGGCTTCTTATTTTAAAAAAATAACGAAAATAGAATAGAACGAAAAGAATAGAAAATAATCAAGGAAGTATTAGTATTATTTGACACACTTTCTGTGTGTTTTTTAATTTTTATTTAAGGACAAACTTATGAAATGACATTTTTTTCATTTTATGTTTTATTTGGAAACTTTTTCCTAGTGCAATATTTTCATGATACCGTTTTCAAATAAAAAAATAAATCTAAAGCAATGCATAATGAGATAAAAAATAAATTAAATTAAAAAAATGTAGTGGACAGCTGTCACTGGTTAATGCGTTTCTTATTATTGCTTTATTTGACATTCTATATATTCTATATATTCTACTATACGTCCTAGCACATTTCAGCCTAAACGTGAGCTGTATAGGGAGAGGTGGGCTTCATTACTGGCCACCTCGATCCCCAGATTTAGATCGTTTGAATTATTGTATCTGGAGTTATCTGAAAAAATTAGAATATAACTTTCACAAGACAGTTAAAAGGATTACCAAACCTTATTTAACCCTATTTAACTCTTCCAGGAAGAAGTCAGATCTGGTACGGTCAAAAAATATACTAGGGCTAAAATATACATGGTACCATAACTACAGGAGTTGCCGCACCTCCCCCTCCCCCACGCTCCGTGCCAATGCATTCGACAATGCATTTACTTGCCGATATCGTCACAAACAACACACTCGAAAATGCGAGGAAAAAATAGTACACTTGAAAGTAGTACAACTATAAATACTGGGCTTATAGTCTCGTAGATAGCATACTGACTAAAGTTGTACAATATGTTACCGCTCAACGTGCTAGTTACCTTCGCCGCGATCGCGACCTCCATCTTGGGGTCGCCGACCAACTCATCCGTAGACGACAGCTGTACAGTGACGTCTTATGACAAAGTGGCGTCAGCGGTGTCCAGTTGCAGCAAGCTTACCATCAACGGTATCACGGTACCCGCAGGCGAGACCCTGACCCTCAATCTGAAGTCAGGCGCCAGCTTGACCTTGGAAGGTACCATCAAGTTCGGGTACCAGGAGTGGAAAGGACCTCTGATACTTGTCAAAGGAAGCAAGGTTACCGTAACCGGTGCATCCGGTAAGTACCGACCCTGCTGAAGAAGCTAAACTAAACTGATGGGTGTCATCCGACAGGCTTCAAGTTCGACGGTGATGGTGCCAAGTATTGGGACGGCAAAGGTGACAAAGGCAAGGTCAAGCCCAAATTCATCCGTATCCAGACCACCGGAGGTTCGGTCTTCAAGAACATCAACTTGCTGAACTGCCCGCACCAGTGCGTGTCGATCAACAGCGCGGACAGTACTACCCTGCAAAATTGGGACGTCGACGTGTCCGCAGGTGACAAGGTGAGTGGTAAGGGTCGATTCCAAAAGGCGGGGACATGCGCGGACTATTGCAGGACGAGCTGGGCCACAACACCGACGGTTTCGACATTTCCTCGTCCAAGAACATCAACATCGAGACGGCCACCGTCAAGAATCAAGACGATTGCGTCGCCATCAACCAGGGTTCTAACATCTACATCTCCGGCTTGACATGTTCGGGCGGTCACGGTCTGAGCTTGTCCGTCGGTCAGAACTCAGGATCCGACAATACCGTCAGCAACGTCACTTTCACCGACTGCACGGTCAAGGATTCCCGTAACGGTATCCACGTCAAGACCCACACCGACGGCGGTACCGGCTACATCAAGAACGTCGTCTACAAGAATATTAAGATGTCCGGTGGGTATAACTAACGTCTACTCGAAATGAAAAAAATTCCAAACAACTTGAACTCTCCTTCTACAGGATTTTTAAATTTGACACTACCCCATATGATAGGTAGAGGGTGGGAAGGTTTCGATGGGAATTGGTTCTAGCGTATATGGAAAAATGAGTAGAGGCATTCCGAGAAAAGTTCCAATATGAAATCCTCATCTTCGTTTCTGTTAAAATATCTGCGATGCAGTATAATATATACCTAAGTATAAATTATAAGTATACCCAAAACATTCTAAAAGATAAATAAATTGAATTGGTAGTAATGTGGCAAAACCATATAGCTCCTAGATAGATAGGTAGAGAAGCCGTTAAGTTACTTGCTTATTTTTACACAATTAAAATTCAAAACGCCCATTAACGACGGTACAAGCAATCTCAAGTTAATGACATTTATTTCCGAAACTAGTTTGTACACCCCTACCACTTTTCCTTAAGCTTCAAAAGGTTCATATTAGTTTTCTATAAAACAAGTTTATTTCTCAAAGAACAGGATATAAAATCGCAGAACTATAAAAATTTATAAATATTTTCCAGCACTTTAGCTTGTCCGCTTAAATTTGGTCACTCCAATTACTTTTTAACATAGATTAGAGAAAATTTTCACTGCCATCGCTAATAAGAATGTTGAATGTTGAGAATGAAAGTGAGAATCCCCATTGCTTTTCTCAGCATGGAAATATGTCACTCTATAGCCTAGAGTTAGTGTTAAAAGCGTATCTTTAATAACACCCGACAGTTCTAATGGAGTCAGAAAAATCCAACATTCTAATGGTGTTGGAAGAAGACAAAGGAAAATGGTCGAATACCTTTTGTCCTTGTCCGTTTTAGGCATCAGCCGTTACGTCATCAACGTCCAGGAAGACTACGCAGGAGGCAGCTCGACGGGCAAACCCAAGAACAACATCCCCATCACCGGCTTGGACATTTCCGACGTAACTGCCTCGACAACGGGCTCTAGCTGCGTCCCCGTGTACATTTTGTGCGCGAGCGGCGGCTGTAGCAGCTGGACCTGGAGCAAAATTTCGTACAGCGGAAAATACAAGAGCAACGACTGCACCGGGTACACGCCCTCAGGGTTCAGTTGTTAATACCCTCCCCTCAAATCAAATAAATACTTTCTGAGCAAATCTTACTAGTGTTTTTCTCTGCTCTACACCCGTCTCAGAAATTTCTAGAGTTTCGAAGCTTCGAAGATCCCCCTGAGGATTTTTTGCAATTTGGCAGAGTTATTAATTATGATAAAATGATAAGTTGCCCGTCTTCTTCTCAGAGTTCCATCTTTTATTGAAGATTGGAATACAGACCTCTAACTAGCTCAGTGGTACTGCAGCCGAACCAGTCTCTCAAATTTCTCAACCAGGATAATTTTCGCTTTCCGATACTTCGTCTACCTCGGATCTTCCGTTGTACAACAAGTTGCAACAAGCTATGTCTTCGTCCCCTCATCCTAGGTATTCAAGTTTCCTCTTTTTGATTGTTACAAGAATTTCCGGCTCGCATCCCATCCCAGTATGCAAATTGCTGCTAGTCCAATAAAAGCACCCTCGACGTCTTACAATATTTTCTTAGAAAATCAGTGTTGGACCAGCCTCTGTTTGTTACTTTGAGAAATGTTTTATTTTTTTATTTTCACGAATGCTTTCTACATCACAGAGCCATGAAACTCTAAGGTATGAGTCATCAAATTGGGGAAGCGATATATCTCGTTGCATGGCGTTGATAATATCAAATATAAGTAAAAGGGGATAAAAAGTGTTTTCATATGAAGAATAGGTGGAAATGGTCTACAAATTCATACAAAGTTCAAAAAATATTTTAAAAAAATGCTTAATGAATCATGACAAGAATTTATTTGAAATAATATTAATATAAATAATATGGCCACTGTCTTATTGGCATTAAGCTATAACGGATGTCAAATATCATCTAATCATCAATGAAAGCGATTGATACAGACTTTAAAACTGAAGCGAAAAATCTGACGTTATGGATGAATACTAACCTGCGATGATAGAGAATATAACAGCTTCAGTCACGTCATTAGCAGACAGAAACGTCTGAAGCTTAAATCTTTGAGATACCTCCACCTCTTCAATCTTACTTACAAAATGTTAAAAACCTTAATTATCTCAAAAGCTTTTATCTTTTAGGAAGCTAAATGGTATTTGTACAAGAAAAAACAGTTGTTACTTTACCTCGACATTACAGCCATTGTTTTATTTAAAACTCCTAAATTAATTACAAAAAAAGGTTAAAAATATTTATTTTTGATAATGAGAACGGATTTTTATTATAATGGCTCGTACAAAAACCGCGAATGTTTCCTGATTTTTTAGATTGATGTCCGTGAGTGTTTTTGGGATTTTTTGTAAAGAAAGGTTAAGGTCAAATGTGCCCTTTGGGTGAAACTTGGCCTTTTATTTACGTTTTTTAATTTGTAATGATTAAATTGTAAAATTTTGGATTATAATAATAATATTCAAATAATAACAATGTTTATTGGGATGTTTTAAATTTTTAAATTGTACGAAATTATACAATATATAACAATATACTTACATAGTGACATCTCAATAGGTCATGTCTAGGTTAAAATCTTGATCTCATCTACTCAACGTTAACCATTTTAGTGAATATAAAAATAAGTATTAATCAACAACCTATAGAGTCTAAATTTCGTTATTGGTAGAATAATAGTGAGTTTAATACCGATACTTTTGTGATTTCAACAAGTTTTGTCATAAATTCTGGAACTGAACTAGAACAGTCTGGAATCTTTATCGTCCTTACAGGCGCAGAAAAAATTTCATGCCAAAACACTGATAACAGATACTAACGCACAAAATCAGATGTAAAAACACTTATTAATAAACGACATAGCGCTTGTCTCTTTTTCAGTTATCTAGTATGTTTTGAGCCAGAAAAATAACTGTTTATTTGTCTTCGACGCAAATGAGATAACGGCCGCATTGTTCGTCGAGTATCGCTCTCGAACAGATCGGTATCTGGGGCACTACCTAATTGTCGGTTAAATAATTAAAGCTTATCGGACCCATTCACCGACTGTTTTGCAGCGGCCGTCTATATCAGAAATGCTAAAAATGGACGGCCTGATGCTTCAAACAAACAAATAGTAAAGTGTTTATCGAACATGGAAATAAGCGCAAATCTTGTGACGTAATTATGACGTAAACGAAGTCGGCTGGTAGAAAACACACGGATAGCATAATATTAATTTGAAATTTCTATAAAAATAACAGAAAATCAAATCGAGCCTTCGCTCTTACTTCTTCTGATGCCCGTGCACTAGAATTCCACTCCACTACTCTCAAATACTTAAGACGTCAGCTTAGTTTTTCCACTTATGAACCGAACTTTGTGAAGCTCACTATATAAAAGTTGACATCGCCCTTGATCAGTTGACTGCCGCAAAATTGTATAATATGTTTTCTTCTGTTATAGTTCCCTTGACAACAACTTTATTATGTCTTTTATTTCTCTTGGAATGCTGTTGATACGCCCATTGCAAGAAACTCTTTCAATTATTTATTTTCAACATTTAGATCGTTATTATTTCAACGCTAAACGCAGATTAATGATAGCAGGCCTTACAGAGCTTTCTACTCTATTGAAAGTTTCTTGATTCAATTTCTATCACATTGCTCATCTCACTTGATCCATTTTTCACAATCCACCGTATTTATTTCCTCTTTGCAGAGGGTTTCAACTTGTTTCATTTTAAAAGTGGTGTTATGCGATACCAGAAACCCTTTTAAGTGTCCCACAGTCATGTGGCGGAAGGTGAAGTGAAGGTAAAGACGTTTATTCAAATAAACAATCCCCTCTTCAGCATATCTTCCTAGAATTGCTTCTTATTTAACGCAAGCTCTAAAGACGTGGTCAGTTTTTTTTTTTGGATTTTCTGAGAGGCGGCTTTCGTTATTCAGGACTATAACAGACCCATTTGGTGGAAGTAATCTTCAACTAGTCTTCAAATCAGATTCATGTATTCATAATAGTGTTCTATCCGTTTTGATTTAAATGCTGGTAAGCTACCACAGACAAATTAATTATTACCACCAACGTATTAATTTTTTCGTATTGAAATCTCATTTCCTTCAAAGCAGTCTACAATTTTTTCTTATCCCTGGGTGTTTTTTGTTGTTGTTTTAATTTTAAGTTACGCGGGTGTATTATCCCTTTGATGCCAATCTTTTCATCCTCACTTATTACACTTTCTTTTCGTCCTCTGCTTCTTTTTGACAACCTGATGGGACTGCGTGTATCCTCTGGCAGAAGTCCAAGTCCAGTCATATTCGAACACATTTCAACTATTTTTGCATTCACGTGTGGACTTTTGGTAGCGAAGGGCTTCGAACACATTGAGAGTAATCATTTAACACACCTGATCGTTCGTCTAAGTGTCACTATATTACGCCTACGCTAACTCTCTTGCTTTAACAAACACGAAATTATTGTCAAATTTTGACAAACTAAACTAGTGAATAAAATACCTACATTAAAGAAAATAAGAGTCAAAATAACTAAATATCTAACGTTTCTGTTATTTGTCTTTACCAGGCTGACCTTCTTGATTTTCCGATCTGACTGTTGCGGATCTTCGAACGACGCAATAAGAAATGCCCTGTAACAATGCTCCGAAAATCTGAGACGATTACTGAAAGCCCCCTGTTTATCAGAAAATTCCACGCGAGTACACTCGTAATTTGAGAGTGCGACACGTCAGAATCGCGTGCGTTCGACATTAAATTAAGCTAGTTTCGAAATGAGGGAGATAATTTATATAATATTAAATTTGTTATAGCTTTATAAAAATCTCTAATAAGTGGCTAAGTTAATTATTATATAGCTTTGTCGCATAACAGCTATTTATACCGTACTAGCTTTATAATAAGCTATAATACGATATGAACTCCCAAGTTCTTTTATTAAGGTGAATATTTCATTATTTGAATAATTTCGCACCCGAACAATAACAATAACAAAGCTACGTTGATTATTGCTTAATAACTTATGACATAACTGCTCAACAGCGTAGTTGAGCCACAATATAGCGCATTAATACATATTATCAAGCTAGATGTGAAGCTATAATACGATACGAGCTCCCAGCTAGTTACAGCTTTGGGTATTATATGATTAATATCAAGCTAACTGTATGCTGCAGTATACACTACTGAGCGTCTGCAATATACCAACATTTAGTGATAATGTTATCAATTTATGAATTAAATTACTAAATATATTAAAATGTTGCGTCATATATTACTATGATGCCTATTTTAATGAACTATGCCTAATGAACTATTAAGCCCATATGAATTACATTACTAAATATATTTAAATGTTGCGTCATATATTAGTTTCATGCTTGCTTTACTGAACTATGCATATTAAGCCCGCATTTCATTGAACTTAAATGCAAAGAAAAAAAAATGCCGAAGCCAGTGTCGCATATTTGGGCCGACGACCTTGGATAACCTTCACAGAAAGAGGATTCCCACTCGCTATGTATAGGTTAAAACAGTGTGTTTCTAACCGATTCGCACTTTAAACCACGCACTTATTCGAACCCGGATCTAAAAAACCAAGGACACACGCACAGTGATCAATTTCGTTATAAATATGGACCATCAAATGGTCACAGCCAGAGTTTTCGAGATGAATCCGATCGTAGCATTAGTAGCCTTCTCCGCCTTGGCGAGCGCCGTCTTGGCACTGCCGACCAACGCATCACTCGATGCCACTTGTACAGTGACGTCATACAACGATGTGGCCAGCGCAGTGTCGAGCTGTACCACCCTCACCATCAGCGGAATAACCGTCCCGGCCGGTGAAACCCTCAACCTCAATTTGAAAAGCGGTACCAAACTGACCCTCTCGGGAACCATCAAGTTTGGGTATTCGGAATGGAAAGGACCTTTGGTAACTATTAAGGGTAGCAAGGTCACCGTCACCGGCGCCTCCGGTAAGTGTACGAGTATGGTAATACCTGAATCAGCGCCTAAACTACTAAAATTCTCCAGGTTTCAAATTTGACGGGGACGGTGCCAAATACTGGGACGGTCAAGGCGACAAGGGCAAAGTTAAACCTAAATTCGTCCGAGTTCAGACCACCGGAGGTTCGGTACTTAAAGGCATCAACCTGTTGAACTGCCCACATCAGTGCGTGTCGATCAACAGCGCAGACAGTACCACTCTGGAAAACTGGAATCTCGACGTGTCGGCAGGAGACAAGGTAAGTGCTCAGAATTGATTGGAAGTGGCGCGGCTTCAACGAGCTTTTGCAGAATGATTTGGGCCACAACACCGACGGTTTCGACATCTCCTCCTCCACCAACATCAACATCCAGACGGCAACCGTAAAGAACCAGGACGATTGCGTGGCCATCAATCAGGGTTCCAACATCTATATCTCTGGATTGACCTGTTCTGGTGGACACGGTCTTAGCTTGTCCGTCGGCCAGAACTCAGGATCTGACAACACCGTCAACAACGTCACCTTCATCGACTCATCGGTCTCGAACTCCCGCAACGGTATCCACGTCAAAACCCACACGGATGGTGGTACCGGCTACATCAAGAATGTCGTCTACAAGAACATCCAGATGTCCGGTGAGTACCTTTAATTGAATGCTTGAGGGGGGTGAGGTTCGACCATCCATAATCAAAAAATGTGGTCTCTTTCCAGGAATCACCCGTTACATTATCAACGTCCAGGAAGATTACGCAGGCGGCAGTTCAACTGGTAACCCGAAGGCCAACATCCCCATCACCGGTCTGGACATTTCCGGAATAACCGCCACCACCAGCGGATCCGACTGCATTCCCGTATACATCTTGTGCGCCAGTGGAGGCTGCAGCAGCTGGACATGGGGCTCCATCTCATACAGCGGCTCCGCCAAGGCCAACAGCTGCACGAACTACACCCCCTCCGGATTCAGCTGCAAATAAACTTATAACGGAACCTTGCTATCGTAATAAATATTTATGAAAAACGTTGGAGTTTCATTCAATGCGAGCACATATATAAATACTTCTTATGTATATTATATATATAAAAATCCATAAGCTTTAAAACCGACACAAAAGGCCTTAGTAAAATTTACCATACAATTCTAATTTAAATATAAAATATAATCTAAAAACTCAATAAATAAGGGTAGCTGTCACAAAATTAAATCTAAAGTAAAAAATGAAGTAAATAAATAACATCGGCGGAAAAAAACGTACTTTCGTGGTTCTGCTTCGCATGCCAATTGATATCTCAGTCAGCACGATAGATTCGCAGACAAGATTTCGTACAGCGGCTCCGCCAAGGCCAACAGCTGCACAAATTACACCCCGTCAGGTTTCAGTTGCAAGTAAATGCTTATAACTGTGGAATCGTAATAAATGTTTTATCTAATGTCGGAGTATTAATCCCCAATCGACAACAACGTGACCTCAAGGTTACGTTTATGACTTAACAAGTCACACATGGTCTGAGAGTGGACAAAGCGCACGTTAAACAAATGCAAAACCAGAGCTCAACACTCTGATAGCAAAGCTGGGTACGTTCTTTAAACCTGCACAGTTTTAAATTGCCAACGATTCGAAAATTTAAAAAAACGCTTTGTAGTAAAAAGTACATACACCTATTAACTTTGCAAGTAGAAGGCCTACATCAAATATACAGGATCATATAAAGGTTTACCATTTTTTGGTGGGCGGTTGCAGGATAATCGACATAGAAATTTTCTTGGAAAATGTATCTAGTTGGAACAGGAGCTGGTATATAAAGTTGTTTTGCCGACGATTTCGACATCTCCTCCTCCACCAACATCAACATCCAGACGGCAACCGTAAAGAACCAGGACGATTGCGTGGCCATCAATCAGGGTTCCAACATCTACATCTCTGGATTGGCCTGTTCTGGCGGGCACGGTCTTAGCTTGTCCGTCGGCCAGAAGTCAGGATCTGACAACACCGTCAACAACGTCACCTTCATTGACTCATCGGTCTCGAACTCCCGCATCGGTATCCACGTTAAGACACATGCCGATGGCGGTACCGGCTACATCAAGAACGTCGTTTATAAGAACATACAGATGTCTGGTGAGTACGATTATCCAAGGCAATAGGTTTGAAGGGCCAATTTGGTCTTGTTCCAGGCATCACCCGTTATATCATCAACGTCCAGGAGGACTACGCAGGAGGCAGTTCAACCGGTAAACCCAAGAACAACATCCCCATCACCGGCTTAGACATTTCCGGGATAACCGCCACCACCAGTGAATCCGACTGCATCCCTGTGTACATATTGTGCGCGAGCGGTGGCTGTAGCAGCTGGACCTGGGGCAAGATTTCGTACAGCGGCTCCGCCAAGGCCAACAGCTGCACAAATTACACCCCGTCAGGTTTCAGTTGCAAGTAAATACTTATAACTGTGGAATCGTAATAAATGTTTTATCTAATGTCCGAGTATTAATCCCCAATCGACGACAACGTGACCTCAAGGTTACGTTTATGACTTAACAAGTCACACATGGTCTGAGAGTGGACAAAGCGCACGTTAAACAAATGCAAAACCAGAGGTCAACACTCTGATAGCAAAGCTGGGTACGTTCTTTAAACCTGCACAGTTTTAAATGGCTAACGATTCGAAAATTTAAAAAAACGCTTGTAGTAAAAAGTACATACACCTATTAACTTTGCAAGTAGAAGGCCTACATCAAATATACAGGATCATATAAAGGTTTACCATTTTTCGAATGAGCTCTACTTGGTGGGCGGTTGAAATTTCCTTGGAAAATGAAGTCTAGTTCGTTTGGATGGCCTGCCATAGAACAGGAGCAGACATTTATGCGAGAGAAGGACCAGCATATCTATATTTGTAGTGACGGCCGAGCGGCTATCCAGGCTCTTACCTCTCTGAGGAAGAGCTACTTTACTGTCGAGAAACATTAATAAGATCAGTGGAAGAATAGAATTCTGTCAATCTCGCCTGGATGCCCGCTTATGGGTATTCAAGGCAACGAGATAGTTGACAGACTTGTAATGGCTCTGGAGGCAGTTTTCTCTGCGTTGGGAGAATTTAGCGGTACTAAGACGGTCTCTCTACTCTTTACTCCTCAGGACCAAAAGTAGGAACTCAATCTCGAGACTATAAACGCTGGTAGGAATCGCAGCAGGACACTGGCATCTAAAAAGGCACCTTCATATCATGGTGGTGGTCGACGACAGCACATGTAAGCTATGTTTATAGGAGGAGGACCCCAAACAACTACAACAAACTCCCTGCGAAAGAGATACTTCCGGGAGGGATCTTCTGAATGCAGCAACTGGTTGTTAGGACGGATATTTCGCTCAGATAGAATAGGAATAGGAATAGCCAAAGCACTTCTAGGAGTGACGACTGGCATAAAGGGAGTTCAGTAATTTCTCCTGCATCCGAATTATTTTTGTCGTGTTTTTTTTTAGTTTATCGATTTTCCATCTATAAAGTCTTAATCTAACTAACTAAAACTAACAAAAACATTCTGGCAGGCAATAGAAATAATCTACTTTCATTTATTTACTTTAATTCCATTTACATTTATTTACATTCAGTTTACTCCATTCATTTTACACGCGTCGAACAAGTGATGTGTGTACGTGTGCGATAAGGCTATATCGACGTAATAGTAGGAGTACCTTTCATTGCTGCACCTTTGGAAAAATATTGTTTATTAATTAACTAAGAACGATAAAAATATTCGAGTTGGACGATTTGCGAGATTATGATCTAATTGATATTTATAGTGAAAATCATGGTAATAACTTTTTAGATCAACCATTTTCCCTAGGATTGAGAAATTGATCCTAAAGGCGGATCAACTATGGAATAGTCAACGGCATGGAGATGCGTTCTACAGGCAAATAGTATTAAAGGACTTCAAAAACTTCAAAAACTCCTAGATCAAGTAATAGTAGTAGACTAAACTTATGGCTGTAATTAAAGAACCGAATATACATGCAAAATTGTGGATCGGCCTAAGTAAACTTGAAAGGATTGAGAGGATTTAATTTAATTAATTTAATCTGGGACAATTATTAAGGGAGGACTGGGACCATTCACTGGAAATAAACTCCAGAATTGAACAAGCAAAAGCAAGATTCATACGTACTTAAAACTGAGTTCTGAATGAGAATGATTCGATGTTGCGTGTTCTCAATCCTGTTGTATGGAGTAGAATCTTGTACTCTTACAGAAAATACCTTAAAAAAGCTGGAAGCATTTGAAATGTGGACGTACAGGTACAAGTTGAGGATAAGTTGGATAGATCGGGTCACTAACATAGAAGAAGAAGAAGAATAAAAAAAAAAGAAGTCATTAACTAACTCTCATATTTCGGCCACTTATGAGACATCCTGAAACATGCAAGTTGCAGCATTTGATCATTCAGGGCAAGATTGAGGGAAGAGGAAGAAGAAGAACATCTTGGCTAAAAAACCTACGACAGCGTTGATAGCGAACACGATTGCGAACGTTCGGTAAAAAACGGATATGGCACATCAAGAAAAAATGACAATCATTTTCCTTTACATACAGAGTGTTCCACGTTTGATGGGTCTACTGGACACCTCCCTTTAACCTCACACCTACTTATTAATAAAGCTAACGTGTTGCGACTTTCGAGACCCAAGGCAGCTTTTTCATTAAATGAAAGGCGACATAAACAGAAATGTCATTGCTATTTCGGATTTTTAGACACCTTCAAAACTTGTCTGGAATCTCTCAAATTTTGATATTTAAACTAAATTTGCCTTTTTTTAACAATTTTTTATTGTTATTTCAAGTTTTTGGTGTTTGGGTCTGCCCGCGATAGGGGTAGAACATTCGCTCCGTTCACTTGGGAGTTTTTGATTCTTGGCAACTGTCGCAAGTCGCATTATTTGATTCCATTTATAATACTTTCCCATTTGCAAAACAACTTTTCTTTTAACAATTGCGAATGTGACACATAAAGAGTTCTCTTTTGTCCTTCCTTACTGAAGTTGTTTTTGTTATTTGTTTCTTCATTTCTTGAGTTTTGATTTTTTTATAACTATTAGTTATCTGTTATTATTTGAATTATTTAATGTCAAATCATATACAGTGTGGCCTCGAATAGGCGTCAAATAAAAAAAGCACATTTAGTTGAGACAACTCCTAATATGAAAACCTCAGAACGTTGTTAATAAATAAGTAAATAAATAAATAAATAATATTTGAATGCTAATTTTGAAGTTTTCGAATTTACGAAATTACTAAACATTAATTAGTATTTTAATGTTTATATAATTTATTATTAATAATTAACAAAGTTACTTAAATCAGGTATATAATATCGATAATTCGACATGTCGTCCATTCTAGAAATCGGGCTTGCCTTTCTTCAGGTCAGTTTCAGACGGTGGTTGAGATCCAGTGGCCGCGACACTCGTCCAAACTCTCTGCTTGCTTCCTTCTTCGGTTCTACCATTTTCTGAGAACAATGCGGGTTCAATCAGAGGCTTTGATAGTTGTTATCACGCGAAACGGAAATTATCTACTGCTACGCACCTACTTCGTCGAAAAACAGGGAAATTACGCTGAACGCTATCGAAACGCATCGGGCCACTTCACCAAATGACAAACAAATTGCGTTTTTCGATCTAGACGTTTGTGAAGCCGCACTCACCGCCAGCTATAAATATGAACCGCAATTCCATCATAGCCAAAGTCTTCGAGATGAATCCGATCGTTGCATTAGTAACCTTCTCCGCCTTGGCGAGCGCCATCTTGGCTCTGCCTACCAATTCTTCCGTCGACGCGACCTGTACTGTGACGTCATACGACGATGTAGCCAGCGCAGTGTCCAGCTGCACCACTCTCACCATCAGCGGTATCACCGTTCCGGCCGGCGAGACCCTCAACCTTAATCTGAAGAGCGGCACCAGTCTGACCCTCTCGGGAACCATTAAGTTCGGGTATTCGGAATGGAAAGGACCTTTGGTAACTATTAAGGGTAGCAAGGTCACCGTCACCGGCGCCTCTGGTAAGTGTACGAGTAAGGTAATACCTGAATCAGCGCCTAAACCACCAAAATTCCACAGGTTTCAAATTCGACGGGGACGGTGCCAAATACTGGGACGGTCAAGGAGATAAGGGCAAAGTTAAACCCAAATTCGTCAGGGTTCAGACCACCGGAGGTTCGGTACTCAAAGGCATCAACCTGTTGAACTGTCCGCATCAGTGTGTGTCGATCAACAGCGCAGACAGCACGACTCTGCAAAACTGGAACCTCGACGTGTCCGCAGGAGACAAAGTAAGTGCCCAGAAGTGATTTCAAAGTTTGTCCCTAAAATCAGCTGCTGCAGGACGATTTGGGCCACAACACCGATGGTTTCGACATCTCCTCCTCCACCAACATCAACATTCAGACGGCCACCGTGAAGAACCAGGACGACTGCGTCGCCATCAACCAGGGCTCCAACATCTACATCTCTGGCTTGACCTGCTCTGGCGGTCACGGTCTGAGCTTGTCCGTCGGTCAGAACTCCGGATCTGACAACACCGTCAACAACGTCACCTTCATCGACTCTTCGGTTTCGAACTCCCGCAACGGTATCCACGTCAAAACCCACACGGATGGTGGTACCGGCTACATCAAGAATGTCGTCTACAAGAACATCCAGATGTCCGGTGAGTACCTTTAATTGAATGCTTGAGGGGGGTGAGGTTCGACCATCCATAATCAAAAAATGTGGTCTCTTTCCAGGAATCACCCGTTACATTATCAACGTCCAGGAAGATTACGCAGGCGGCAGTTCAACTGGTAACCCGAAGGCCAACATCCCCATCACCGGTCTGGACATTTCCGGAATAACCGCCACCACCAGCGGATCCGACTGCATTCCCGTATACATCTTGTGCGCCAGTGGAGGCTGCAGCAGCTGGACATGGGGCTCCATCTCATACAGCGGCTCCGCCAAGGCCAACAGCTGCACGAACTACACCCCCTCCGGATTCAGCTGCAAATAAACTTATAACGGAACCTTGCTATCGTAATAAATATTTATGAAAAACGTTGGAGTTTCATTCAATGCGAGCACATATATAAATACTTCTTATGTATATTATATATATAAAAATCCATAAGCTTTAAAACCGACACAAAAGGCCTTAGTAAAATTTACCATACAATTCTAATTTAAATATAAAATATAATCTAAAAACTCAATAAATAAGGGTAGCTGTCACAAAATTAAATCTAAAGTAAAAAATGAAGTAAATAAATAACATCGGCGGAAAAAAACGTACTTTCGTGGTTCTGCTTCGCATGCCAATTGATATCTCAGTCAGCACGATAGATTCGCAGACACGTGCATACATATTATCAATTTTATATCTACAGTTTTATTTCAACAATTTTAAATCGTGCCGTCGTGTGTTGTATCTAAAAGTTTTTATTTCTACATCTATTTCAAAATTAGGGTAAGTTTTATTGTTCTCGTTCTCGTTGTATTGTATAAAAGCCTGTCAATTTTTTAGGTATTTTTGAAAAAGACCGAACACACCGGTCGGAACTTTAAATAAATTTATTATGAATTAGAAACCTTCTTCTTTTGTTTTACGTAACGGACCATAATATATACCAAAAGTCTTGGACAACAAATGCAAACATTAAACAATTACAGTTATTTTAATCTTTCTGAATTTAATAGGTGACTGTGCCGAAAGTTTTAGGTTATTTTTCCATGCCAGCGAGGATTTCGTTAAAAAGCAAAAATACATTTTTCGCCAGGTTCCAGATACACAGAAATCTTAAACTGTGACACACGCGCAGAAAAACCTAAGCAGCACTTGTGATACCAACCGATAACAGAAATTAGGCAATCGTGCCGTTACAATTATAAATATGCACTGCCAAACTCTCGCAGCAAGAGTCTTCGAGATGCATCCGATCGTAGCACTTTCAACCATCTGGGTCGTGATCAACTCCGTTTTGGCGCAGAACAGTTGCACGGTGTCCTCTTATGACCAGGTTGCCAACGCCTTGTCCGAGTGTACCACTCTCAGCATCGACGACATCACCGTGCCTGCCAACGAGACCCTCAACCTCAATCTGGCCGCCGGTTCCAGTTTAACTCTCACGGGGACCATCAAATTCGGATTTCTGGAGTAGCAGGGGCCCTTGGTGGTTATAAGGGGTAGCAACGTCACTGTTACCCAAGCGCCCGGTGAGTATTCCCCTCTTAGGACACACCAACTGACCATAAGCGCCGCAGGTTCCGTATTCGACGGCGAAGGTGCTAAATACTGGGACGGGCTAGGCGATAAAGGCAAAGTCAAACCAAAATTCCTCAGGGTTCGGACAAGAGGCGGCTCGATCCTTACTGGCATCAACCTGTTGAACTGCCCGCACCAGTGCGTGTCGATCAGCAACGCGCAGAGTACCACCCTGCAAAACTGGACCCTAGACGTGTCGGCAGGAGACAAGGTACCGGAGCAATTTCCAAATGACACTCCTTGAACGAGGCTTTGCAGGACGAGTTGGGCCACAACACCGACGGCTTCGACATTTCTAACTCTACCGACATAATCATCGATACGGCTACCGTCAAGAACCAAGACGATTGCGTCGCGGTGAACCAGGGTTCCAATATTCATCTCTCGGGATTGACCTGCTCCGGTGGTCACGGTTTGAGCTTATCCGTCGGTCTAAGCGCAGGATCCGACAACACAGTTAGCAACGTCACCTTCGTCGACTCTTCGGTCTCAAACTCCCGCAACGGTATCCACGTCAAGACCCATGCCGACGGCGGTACCGGTTTCATCAAAAACGTCACCTACAGGAACATCCACATGACCGGTGGGTACCGTTGCTTGCATGCAACAAACAAACAAACAAAAATACAATTCTGAAAAATATTATTCTGACATAAAGTGAAATTTCAACTATTTTATTTAGTTCTTTTATCGATCAATGGGTTTCCCACAGTCGGGAACAAAGTCGTTGGTCTACTGGGCGGGGGGTGGGGGGAGCCTGGAAGGGAATTAAAGACAAGGAAGTATCTAAGTAAAACTAAATAGAAGATATAAAATTAACTCTGTGTGGCCTCAACAAAGCCTTCGACTGTGCACTATTGCAGCAGAATGTTTGTTTATGGCTTAATTTTGATGAATCTGTTTTGTTGAAATTAGGTATGGTTGTCCCGCATGAATCAATAGACTTTTCAGCGCTGTATTTTTTTAATTAAAAAACATTTATAATTCCGATTTATTAATGAAAATAACAGTAATATCAAAATTGATCGACGTCGGCAAACTGTTTCACTTGTATATTTTTGTTTATCGCGACCGCAAACAAAAAAAATCTTTGCAATCGAATTAGAGAAGCTTGTCGTAGCGTCAATAGACAAAACCTAAGAAAAGAAAATTTGAAATAACTAATATTTAATTTCCTTTTTCTTTTAAACAATTTTCCCAACTATAGGTTACTTATTTTCATTACACTATCCTATGTACAGGGCGACCCGTTTAAGGGGGTCTACACTTTACCTCGAAATCTACGGGAGTTACAAAAAAAAAATAAATACGAAAGTTGTTTCTATTAAAATGACCTTTATTTTTGTTTTATTTTCCTAATCGTCGATATAGATGAGTATCGGTCTATGATGCACCGTTTCGAACTTATTAGCGATCATCTTCAGAATTCGGGTTATGTTAAAACCATCATTTTTGGGTTGCTTGTTAACTTATTAAACTTTTTTCAATCTATTGTCATATATATAATCAATACGCGGTGTTGCCACGTTTCGCAAAATGATACTTTTCTAAATTTTAATAGCAATTTCAATTATATACCATAGCCTGACTTACCGTTTTAAATTTTTTAGATTTAAATTGTCATTTCTATGAAAATGATTACAAAAAATTAACACTAGCTACTAATGCATATTCCTTACAAGTAAAATTAATTAAATTAAATTAATATGCTATTTCTAACAGAACTCTTGAAGGTTTATCTTTGTAAACCATGTCTTTCAATGTTTTCAAAATTCTAAATATCCAGATTGCGCTTCTATAATGCGTATTTTTTCTATTAAATAACACCGCAGACGTAATTTTATGTTACCTCTCTTCTATGAAATCAATATACGTAGTCCCCCTTCTAGTCGCTAGGTGGCAAAACAGATTTAAAGCAGAGCCAAAAAACTATGGAATAAGTTACCATACATGGTATACTCTCCATCTATGGTCTTAACCTCATTCCTCTTGTTGCGCATTGGAGGCACATGCACATGGCTCGGCTTTTTTCAGCGTTTTTGTTATTTAAATGGGGAACTATAAGCAAGATTTACCTCCTCCGACATCGAATGAAGAAAATGTAGCTATTTAAAAATGTTACCTTTCATTTGCAACTATGAAAAACTCCGATCACACGAATTCTCGAACAGTTCGAGCGAGACACCAGCAATATTTCGAGCTTCATGGAAATTAGTATAGTTAGCCAAACAACAACAAAAAATTTGCATAGTGGAGTTCTCTCTCTTTTGTTAAATAGTCCCAGCTGGCCATGACTTTTGGTTCAAACCATAAGCAAAACGAAGATTTGTATCAGAGGGAGGCGTGCAATCGTGGGAAAGAAAAGTCGGACTTTGGATTCATTAACAGTGAAGGGCTATGTACTCGGTAGTCGTATTTTAGTAAAAAAAATGAGAACATTGTTTTTCCCAAAGCCATCTGAAAGAAATAATACTGTTCTAAGTGTTTACTATTATCTTGTTCATATACACACCTTATGGTGAAGGTATTCGTGTGGTAAATGGCGCTACAATTTTTTACATAATTAAAAATCTTCCCTATCTATTTTATCTTTTTTTTTAAGTCATAAGAATAAGGATAATTGTTTACAACATTCCGATGTTCACAACTATGGTACAAGGTCGGCTAATCTGATAAGGGCTACTAAATATAGATTGGATACATCTAGAAATAACTCCTTGAACCTAGAACTGTTTAATATTCTCGGAAATTATATTAAAGATCTTAATCGAAAAAAGATTAAAACTTGGTTTTGTGTTGGTTTACACTGTTCATGAAGATCTCCATGTTATTCCTATTGTGATTTTGTTTACCTTTTATATTTGACCCGTTATGTCTCGCTGAAATGAAGTCAATAAAAATATCTATAATAAAATAAATAGCAATCCTCAAAGAGACTAGGTTTCACGCAATTGTATCGACTTCGGAGTTTTAATTTATTCTTTATCAAAATATCTGTCTGTCATTCTAGGTATCACCCATTTTATCATCAACGTCCAGGAGGATTACGCGGGAGGCAGTTCAACTGGTACTCCCAGGAATAATATCCCCATCAGCGGGCTGGACATATCCGAGATAACCGCCACCACCAGCGGTTCAGACTGCGTCCCCGTCTTCATCCTGTGCGCTACCGACGGCGGATGTAGCGACTGGACCTGGGACCAGCTGTCGTTCAGCGGTGCCTCCAAGCCCGACAACTGCACGAACTTCACCCCAGCCGGTTTCGACTGTTCATAAATTTAAAATAGACTGTATTAATAAAATAGCAATAAATTAATATTTTCGTAGAGGTTTGACTGAAACTGGCTCGCATTTTACTCCGTACCTGCTTTTACATTGGTTGAGACCTAACATTGGGTCATTGTGTTTACAGAAAACCTACACCTTACCTCTGCTCTTCTCTCTAATAATTTCCACATTAAAGATATTAAGAGTTCCATCACAAAATACACTTCACCACAACTTTCCAATAAAAATGAAACCGAAAGCAATCCCACACTTGCCACTGTTGTCCATCCTTATATTCAAAACATCACTGACCACATAAAGAAATATAACGTCAAAACCAGATTTACCAATTGTCCAAAAATCTCTCAACGTCTTCGATTCGTCAAAGACAAAATTCCATTGGAGATGCCAGGAGTTTACAGCATTCCATGCATATGCAGCAAAGAATACATTAGAGAGACCGGACGAAAAATATCAACTAGGCTCAAAAAACATGAAAGAGCCTTAAGACTAAGACAAATAGACTCATCAGCTGTTGCCGAACACGTTCACGAAACCGGCCATAAAATTTTATTCGATAAAACTAAAATTTTTGTATGTAATGAATTCTTCTACAAACGACAAATCCGCATGTTTTCTTAAAATCTACAATGAAGACTTTTCCCATATTTTTAATGTGAGTACCCTGTCTGGGATATTGTTTGGTATTGGTGAATCTGCGATTATTTTTTTTGTTTCAGTACACGCGGGCGTTTTGATCTTCATAGACGTACTGGGAGTATCACCCATCAGAAGTGTTGTCATGCCTGTTGAGATACAGCCGCCGGTCCAAATATTCTGGCTTGAACATGGCAGACTTTACAATAATCCAGGAATATTAGGCCGTCGCTTGACTTTTATCAGCGACTCTAATTCTGTCATTTGCTACATTTAATAATGCAGTCGCACAACCAAACCCGCCTGATTTAAAGAAAGTTCATTAAACTTTTGCAAGCGCCCTCTAATCTGATAATTCATTATTTCTTCAATGCCTTGTTTATATGGTAATATACGAATCGGTCGCGGATCACCAGAATTTGAGACTTTTTAGGGAATCGAATTACTATCGACTTTATCGGAATTACTTTATCTAATAGAAAGGAATTGATAATACTAGCCAGAAAGCGGAGAATTCAAGGACAGCTCAAAACGACCATATTTAATTCATGCTCTGCCGATGGAAGTGTCTTTATTACTAACAAAAACTTTCTTTTCAACAACTGCATTTTACAATGGGGTTAATATCATTAAAAAAAGACAAGACAATTCATGAGTTATCTATTCTATTATTCATTCCTACGGAAGTGAGTTGCCATTCGTTTTCGCAGCTCAGTTTTTGCTATCCGTGACGCACGTGGCAACATTTTAACTATAGTGTATAGAAGAAATCGTCTCTTATTGCAGTTGTATTAAATCAGTTACATCTATTATTAATTTATGAGCAGTCGAAACCGGATGGGGTAAAGTTGGTGCAGTTGTTGGGGTTGGAGGCGCCGCTGTAGGAAATCTGGCCCCAGGTCCAATCGCTACATCCACCGTCCGTAGCGCACAAGATGAACACTGGGACGCAATCCGATCCGCTGGTGGTGGCGGTTATTTCTGATATGTCCAGCCCGGTGATGGGGATGTTGTTCTTAGGAATGCCAGTCGAACCACCTCCCGCGTAGTCCTCCTGAATGTTGATGATGAAACGAGTGATCCCTAGAATGATGTTTGCTAAATATGTCCCAGTTTCATGCGTTTAATCAACGCTACTGACCGGTCATCTGGATGTTCCTGTAGGTGACGTTCTTGATGAAGCCGGTACCGCCGTCGGTGTGGGTCTTGACGTGGATACCGTTGCGCGAGTTCGATACCGAAGAATCGACGAATGTGACGTTGCTAACGGTGTTATCGGATCCTGAATTTTGACCTACCGACAAGCTCAGTCCGTGACCGCCCGAGCAGGTCAACCCGGTGAGGTGAATATTGGAACCCTGGTTCACCGCGACGCAGTCGTCTTGGTTCTTGACTGTGGCCGTGTCGATGATAATATTGGTCGAAGAGGAGATGTCGAAACCGTCGGTGTTGTGGCCCAAATCGCCCTGCAAAAATCCAATCAAGGATCGACTTTCGGGATTACCTATCAGTACTCACCTCGTCTCCTGCAGATACGTCGAGGGTCCAGTTCTGCAGGGTAGTACTGTCCGCGCCGTTGATCGACACGCACTGATGCGGGCAATTCAACAGGTTGATGCCATTGAGTACCGACCCTCCGGTGGTCTGCACCCTGACAAATTTAGGTTTAACCTTGCCCTTGTCGCCTTGACCGTCCCAATATTGGGCGCCTTCGCCGTCGAATACGGAATCTGCAAGATTTTTGGTAGCTCGAATAACCCCACCACCACCGAAGAGAATGTATTTACTGGCGGATTGAGTCACGGTGACCTTGTTACCCTTAATAATCACCAAAGGTCCCTTCCACTCTGCAAACCCAAACTTGATGGTTCCAGTAAGGCTCAAACTGGCGCCGCTCTTCAAATTGAGGTCGAGGGTCTCGTTGGCAGGCACGGTGATGTCGCCGATGCTAAGAGTAGTGCAGATGGACAACGCGTTGGCAACCTGGTCGTATGAGGTCACCGTACAACTGTCCTGAGCCAACACCGCGTTGGCCAAGGCGCAGACGGTTAGAAGTGCAGCGATAGGAGACATTTTGAGGACTCTTGCTGTTACAATTTGGTGACTTATATTTATAATTGAGACCGCGTGACCTTGGTTTATCCTAAATGGGAAGGTACGTGCCGTTCAGGTTGCATGTACTTTTTTATTCAGATTTTTGCGACACCTTTGAGTGGCATGATATTAAAAAAATCGGTTTATTCAAGAGTCGACGCGTCGTCATTTGGTTTATCTTGAGTGTAATTGTTTTGAAAATAAATTGCGCCACCACTAAGGAAATCGTTTTCTTTGTTGCCATTTAATAAAAAAAATTACAGGGGAAAGTTTTCCTTTGTAGATGGAATGGCTGCATTACTTTTTAGAGTTTTAATTGTGAGCTTATTAAAATATCATTGTTGATTTTTCTCAAATTTGTGTAGACATGGAATCTAGTCAAAACAGACGTTTCAAATAACAAAAATTTTGACATGGCCAGATTTTGGTGGACACCTTGGATCCACCAATCGAAATAAAAAATTATGCTAAGTCATAAGGTAAAAAATTTCAGTTTTTTGGATTTTTTAGAAAACCATGAGTTTTATGAAAAAAATGTGTTAAACATGATCCTTATACTTTTTTTGCTAGGATTCACGATTTCTAGGATATCGCGATTTTTTTTTTAATGGAATGCCCTATATATTATTAGCTTTAATAGTAGATATTTTTTTATTTAGCCGTTGTTTAGTTTAAAATAGGTGAGGGGCATAGATGGCGCACGTATAGCAGCATTTTTCTTGCAAAGTCCAATAATTAAATCCTTAATAAGGTCGAATTTGTGTTGAAAATGTTCGCTTAGTTGACTAGGGCGAGGTCTCTATTGTCTCAGTTATTGTTGATTTTTAACTCCAATTCCGCCGTCGCCATTTGCAATATAGATCTGTCATCTGCTGATTAGCGGGAAATTAAGACAACGATTATCAGCATGTTCAATGACAAAATTCCTTCAAGATAAGAAGAACAATTTAAAGCTCAAAAAGAAGAAAGTACAGCCCGTAGAGATAGAACCGAAAAGATCCAAAAGGAAAACATGAAGCAACGCAAGTCTTTAGGCTCGCAGGAGCAGGCAGTGCTCAACATGAATATATGCATCCAAGGGGTCAAATTTAAAGATGGTGAAAATATCCGATCAAAGGTTCTACATTCATTTAGAAGCGAATTAAAGGTAAACATTCAAGACGGTAATATAAAGAAGTGCAATCGGGTGTCTGATAAAAGCCCAAGTGATAAACCGGCCGCAGTGAGATTTTCATCGGACGCGACACGAGTCCCAGTGTTGAAAAACAAAAAATGTTTTAAAAGATATTCATCAAGAAGATCTAACTAAAATGCGCCTGTCACACGTGAGTTATGCCTTAAAAGGTCGTGTATGCTAAATGGTAGCGTCTATGTTAAATACAATTGAAAAAATCGAAGATTGGTTACGCAAACTGTAGGTATTCACCTACATTTATGATTTATCTTTCTCATTGTTAATTGGATGTTGTGCAAAATTTTTTAAATTTAAATGGACAACGGACAGGTGTCTTAAAGCTATTCATTATGTTTTAATTATTTTTGTTTATTGTTAGTCTTAGTCTTTACTTTGATATTATCTATTTCCAGTACTTGGTTTTGTATACAAAACACGTATTATTATTATGCTAATATTAAACAATACGGCCTTTAAAATCGGACATTTAAATGTACGTTCAATATTTATTTTATTTTAGAAAATAATTTTGATAATTCGCTTTTGTGCAGGACCTGGCTTAACCCTGGTGATGGTGCAGAAATATTTAACATTCCCGGGTACCAATTCATAAGAAAGGATAGAGTTGGCAGAGGGGGTGGTGTTGCTGCGTATGTAAAGTCGCAAAATAAAGTAGAATTGTAAAATATTTAATATTCAAACTTAAAATCTCCAACAGAAGCTATGCTAAATTTTAATAGTGTGGTCTCTCATTATGGTCGATAAGATCTTTTACCTAGGAGATTTTAATATTAATTTAATGAATGTCCAGAATCCTTTAGTGCCCTTATTTGAAAATTATATATTTGTTCAGATCATTGACTAGGCTACAGGCATTTCTGACCCTTCAAGTACTTTAATTGATGCTATTCTTGTTACTAACACATCTTTAGTTTTGAGGTCAGCTCTTTACCTTCGGATGAAATATTGTACGAAAATAACACTATGAGACAAAGGGGGGCGGTCTTGCAGGAATTTAAAAAATCTAAACTGCAGTCCTACTGGATACGCTATAAACATCTAAGAAATATAATAAATAAGAAAAGAAAAGAAGCAATATCTTGATTCCTTTAAAAACAATGCCAAAAAAACTTAGTAAAAAATAAGTTACTTTTTTCTACATACCTACAAAATAAGTCAAACTGTCCAGCAAAAACAAACTTTTGTAATAACAATTTCTATAAAAATAATTCAAATTTCTCGTTTAAACAACGTTTAAAAAACGGTAAACAAAATTTATAATAACATTAAAACTAACTCCACCGGAGTGGATGAAATATCCCCACTTATGTTGAAATACTGTAGCCCTTTTATTGACAAATTCATTATGCATATTATAATTGCTATTTTCCAGTCCGATGGAAAATTTCTGTTAGTAAACCGCTACCTAAAACATCAAATCAAGTATTCTCGCTGTTTTGTCGAATATATTTGAAAAAATTGTTTATGAACAACTTTACGATTTTTGTACAAAATGTAATATCATTCCCAATGCTCAATGTGGTTTTCGTAAAGGGTTTGGTACGTCGATAGCGTTGACTAATGTATTGGATGACATTTTTCTTGTGAGAAAAAATTAGTTCCGCTTTAGTGCTTTTAGACTATTCGAAGGCATTCGATACAATTAGCCAATGCAGAATCTTCTAATCTTCTCAAATCATACTTAACTTTTTGATTTTAATCAATTTTTTTAAATGATAAATATTCGGAAAAGGTAGAAAATCTATCCGGTGTCCCACGGGTATCGATTTAGGCCTTTAGCGTTTCCTTATTTATACTTCTGATATCTTGAGGTCTTTAAAATCCTGTAAAATTCAAGCGTTTGTGGATGATACACAAATTTATTGTACCTGCAGTCCCAACAGTTGTAAAAGAATTGATCCATACATTAATGATGACGTTGAATCTTTAAATCAAGTCTCAACTTAAAGCTAAATCCAAGTAAATCATGTGCTGTGGTGTTTGGGAATGATAAGAATGTTAACTAAAGAAAAAATTAAATGTGGTGATCGGTAAGTCAAAATTAAATCTTAAGAATTGTGCCAAGGATCTGGGAGTTATCTTATACACAAAACTTAGATTCAAAGAACACCTAAAACAAATATTTCAAAAATCCTTTGCCGCCATGAAAGTTTTATATAATAATAGGCATATTTTAAGTAAACAACTGAAACGAAGTGTGTGTGAATCCCTGGTCTTCTCTAACTTCAATTATTGTGACTTTGTGGTTTTTGTTTGTATATATGGTGCATGGTGGTTTGTCTATGGTATGAGGAAATTTGATCATGTATCACACTTATACAACGATATGAAATGGCTCAAAATGAATGAGCGAAGAATCCTACATATCTCGACATTTTTGTTTAAAGTAATAAATAACCCTAATTCGTTAGTTTCTGTAAAAAAAATCGCTTAATATTTCGTAACACGTCCATAATATTAATATTAGAAATAACGCCAAACTAGCGATGTCACATCATAACACTATAATCTATTAGCACTCATTTTTAACGAAGCAAGTTTCTTGATATGTCATTACTACAATACTACGAAGTGTTTTCGGAGCGCGAGCGTTGAAGATGCCAAGTGAGATTTTGGCGAAACGTGTGCAGGATTGCAGTCGGAGTTCAACAAGCGAACGGATGATATCCCAGAAAATAGTGTCATCATATATATATATATATATATATATATATATATATATATATATATATATATATATATATATATATATATATATATATATATATATATATATATATATATATATATATATATATATATATATATATATTACTACAAATATCTACTAACTCTCTATTAACGGGTTTAAACTAAAGTTAGTACCTACATATCACGCAATTCCAAAATGTTATAAAACCAATTAATTCTCCTACAATGATATAACCTAAAAGTTAAGTACTTAAATGTATATAATTTTTATAGGATTAACATAGTATTGTTTAAATTTGTTTTGTGTTCGTTTGGTTCAGTATAGTAGCTAAGGGCCAAGCGCCAAACTTGGACAGGTAAATTAATTATTTATTTGTTATAACTTTATCATATATTGTTCAAAAAAAGTCATTATTATTATTACTAAACACCGTCTCGGATGACTGATATCCATATTGGTGGCATGTAGAGACCTGAGTCGCTGTTAAGATTGTAGGGTTGTTTATAGATTTCTCTAGACTCTCGCATTTTTCGTTGGTAGAAGAATTGATTACATGCAAGAATTTTAGTTTTATCTATTACGATGTAGAACAGTTCTAGAGTTTAAGACATGTCTCCAATCGCGATACTTCCAACCATCTTGGACGTTGCTAACGGGTATCTGGGGTAGCACAGAGCAGTGCACGGAATTTCGGGGTATTTTGAACAATTGTTGGGGAAATTTCAGGCCGTTTCCGGAAATTTTGATGGTATTTCAGGGGACGTAATTTTTTTTTCGAGGAGGTTTAGAATATTTTGGAGCTATTTCTGAAAAATTCAAGGGATTTGAGGCAATTCGGGGATTTTTTTTTTAAAGAGAAACTACCAACAATTTTCACAATCATCATTTTTTCGGTACGCACGTGTGCACGTGTGGAGGATGAACGTAAATTTTAAATTATCATTGAGAAGCACTTAGCACACTTTTATATATTGAATAATTCAGATTTGGAATATTTGGGGGCTGTTGCTGCAAAATTCAAGGAATTTGAGGAACTCTGGTGATTTTTTTAAAGAGGAACTAACACGAATTTTCACAATCACAATCACATTTTTTCGGTACGAACGTGTCTAGGATAAACGTAAATCTTAAATTATCATTGAGAAGCACTTAACAAACTTTTAAATATCGCATAATTAAGGGACGTGTAGTCTCAAATATGAATATTAATCGCCGATCCATGGCAGCAAGAATATTTGAGATGTCTCCATTTATAGTGATTCTAACCATCTCTGTAACCAACGCCTTGTTGGCTGAGAACAGTTGCACGGTGACCTTATACGACCAGGTTGCCAACGCTTTGTCCACCTGTACTACCCTCAGCATCGGCAGCATTACCGTGCCTGCCGGCCAGACCCAATGCTGGGGGGGGGGGTATTTAAACTATCGAAAATCCCGCAGATTCCGTATTCGATGGCGAAGGTGCCCAAACACTGGGGGCGGTCAAGGTGACAATGGCAGAGTTAAACCCAAATTCGTTAAGACTGAGACTACCGGTAATTCGGTACTCAAGCGTATCAAAGTATTAAACTGCCCGCATCAGTGCGTGTCGATCGACGGCGCGGACAGTACCACCTTGCAAAAGTGAAACCTCGACAAGTCAGCAGCAGCAGTCAAGAATCAAGACGATTGCGTCGCCGTGAACCAGGACTCCAACATTCACCTGACCGGTTTGACCTGCTCGTCAACGTCACCTTTGTCGATTCTTCAGTCTCAAACTCTGTTTAGCAAATTCATTCTAGAGATCACTCGTTTCATCATCAACGTCCAGGAGGATTACGCGAGAGGCGGTTCGACTGGCATCCACAAGAACAACATCCCCATGACCGGGTTGGATATATCCGAAATAACCGCCACCATCTGGAGCAAGATCTCGTACGGCGGTACCGTCAAGGCCAACGGCTGCAAGAACTACACCCCAGCGGGTTTAAATTGTAAATAAAACTGGAATGCAAAATCTCAATTAAACTATTTTTAATAACGTATTGGCTGCTTTTTTCAAAACTCCTGGATTCCTCCTGCGCCGGTTTTTGCTTAGTCGACAATAGAGAACAAACAATTTCGCAAGCAAGCAATTTCGACTAAGCAAAAACCGACCCAGGAGGAATCCAGAAGTTTTGTAAAAAGCATTACAGAAAGAAGCCTGTGGAAGTTTCTTTGAAAAATTAAGGTATTGACTTTTGACGAAGCACTGAGGATGGCTCGGTTGGCAAGGGATTAGAGCTGCCAACTCGATTTGGCGGAGGTTGTGGGTTCGATTCCCGCCGGGAATCGAACCCACGGGTGTTGTGTTGTAAAAAAAGTCTTCGAACCCGTGTCGTCATAGTGGAAGATTCAGCTTCCCTAGGGAAGATGCAACAAGGCTGAGAAAAAAAAAATGAATTTTGATCGGACTACATCTACATCTGTAGGGTAGGTATCCGTGTCAAATAAGGTGGCATCTGCAATAAATAATGTCAAAGAAATATATGTTTCCATAAAATAAAATATTTCAGTTTTTGTTTCGGATTCTTTAGGCATCAGACAAAAGTTTTTTTTTATTTACCCGACACGGCAGTTTCTGGTTTTTCAAACACGCGTGGCAGTTTTAAATGAAAACGTTATCGTTTATTGTCGCCAGACTGTCACAAAATAATACAATATTAAAATCTCGAGAGCAATCAGTAAAATACTCAAATTTTGAGATCTTAAGTGCGTTCAAACCTGCGCACATACCGATAAGGGGAGTGTGTTTCAATAGTTTAGAATCTTTCCGTTACCTAACAACTATTCACGTTCTTTTGCGCAGTTTGTTAGCGTCTCGTTTAACTCGGGCTAACAACAAAACCACCCAAGAGGAAAACAAAAACAATAAAGATAATGAGGATATTTTGCCCTGGCCACCCAGTCGGAAAGGGGGCGGGTAAAACTTAGAACAGGTTACGAATTATTTTGGCACCAGCCGTTTTCACTGAACGGAACCTCCGCGACTGATAAAACGGGAAACGAAAAGTAAAGCTACAACAAGTTGGGCCTTAGATTAAAAGCAAACGTCTATTTAAAGTTACAAAAAAACTGGTTAACGAACTAAACTGATTGAAAGAAAAAGGAGAACCAAATATATGCAGACGTCCATATTCATACCATATACATTTTTGAATACTTCCGTCTCCTATTTCACCCCAAGCGATTTATTATGCTCGCAGTTATATATTGCAAATCCACCCAACGTTTCATCTTTAGTGGCCCCAATGGACTAGACCTGAAACCATATAGTGCCTCGGAGCTGATAGAGAAGCTAAAACTTAAATATATTTTCTATCTGTATGTAGCCCAACTATTTGTGTCTATTAAAAATCCTGTCTGTGACACATTGACATAGGTAGGTACTAGGTCTGTGTCTGTCTGTGTTTATTTTCTATTGTCCATATTGCCCGGGACAAGCCAGAAAAACACAAATAACTTTCGAACGGTTTGAGCTAGGGGGCTCAAATGTATCTCTTTTTTAACATACCAGGTGGCGCATCTTTTTTTTATTGGCGAGTTTCAGAACAGCGCAAGCGTCCGAAATTCGTAGCTGTCATACAGAAAATTTAACAGACATGAAATTTTATTGAAGCCTGGTACTGGCGAGTCGGAAAACATTTTTCATGAAATTTAAAAACCGCATTTGTTGGGCAACAAGAAAAAAATATGTCTTGAATAAGGGACTGTTATTAATCGTTATGTCGTGGAAATTTCCGAAAAGGCCATAATGGGTGCAAAATAAAGTTTTGATTAATTCGTTTATTTTTCACGAACATGTAGAAAGTTAAATAAAACGTATTTTGATGTAAAACCAATGAGAAAATAACGTCAGGTTTACATGATAGATATTTTTATTTTGAAAACTGATTTTATATAATTTTGGTAGGCTGATTTCTAAAAATTTTGAGTGAAATCTTTGTCTTTTTGCCAGAAAGCTACATTGTTCGGACATTCGGCTGTGTTTCTTTCTCCCTCCCTATTCTTCGCTAACTGCTCCAAGATTGCACTTTCAAACTCATATTACAACTTAGACGATGAAAGTGTTGTAACATATTTTGAACAATACTTTAGTAGTTTTCGTCTTTAAATGAAATCATAATGCATAATGTACCTGCATAAATTCCTTCTTTTATCTTGGCATCGGATATGGCTGGAAATTTCCAGCAACAATGTTTTTAAACACTGGCCATTTTTTCTAGAGCTTTAACAAACTGCTTTATCAAGCCAAGTATGATATGAAGAGAAGGCAGAAGAGGTCAACTAAGCTATCCCTTAATACATTTTTGCTACCAGGTGTAAGGCTTGTTCTAGACGGCCATACTATTTCATTATATATAACAAAACTTATTTGGATTGTTCACACAATGTCTTCTTTCCATGTTTATACATTCTAGAACACTGGAAATACGCAACAAAGAAGACAGACAACTGGTATGAACACAGTAGCACGACGAGCAACACAACCAAACTGCGCATAAGCGGGTTCCAACGCTGTATTGACGTTTCTCTGTATTGCAGAGAAATCTAATATTATCCAGTGTTGCCAAATCACATTTAATTTCATAAAAATCAGTTATAATATTATCCAGTGTTGCCAAATCACATTTAATTTCATAAAAATCATAAAATAGCATTTTTAAGATATAGAGCGCTATAAAAAAAATACGCGATGGAGCAAAAATGTGGCGTTTTTTGGAAAAAGGCCCCCCCAAAAATATACAAACAATCAAACAGCTTTCAAATATCAAAATCACTGTAAACCTTTGTTATAAATCAAAAATAAATTGTGTTTTGTTGGTAGGTTCTATCCAGCAAAATAGCAGATATTGGGTCTTCATCATTCTCAAGAGGGGTCGTTCTCTTTTATGCTTTTTAAGCAGTTCTGGTGGCGCTGTTGCTGCTTTTCTTTTTGAACGATGTTATATTCTTACATAATTGGTAATATTTATCTGGCGTCTTGGTACATTGTAGTTAGTTATTGAGCTATATATTCCTGTCCAATCTTCTCTATTGATTTCTCTTCAGCTTCTGTCCTTGTGGATTTGAATTTAGTTTGTTCCTGTCTGTGTGGTATTTTGTTATTTGTTTGTTATAGATGTCGTTTAGGGCTCGCAGAGCTGCGAACGAAATAAACGATACGTGAAGAAGGAAAACAACACCATCTTTATCGATAATTTAAGGACGTCCCCTGATTTTTCTCTGCCGACCCCTAAACTCTTACCTGTTTTCCGCGTTACAGTTCTCGAGTATTTTCCTCAAAAAAAAACATCACGGGGCCGCGAGTTACGAAACCGCCACACACGAAAAACACTTAAAGTTTTACGCAACCATTAACGCGCGTAAACACTTCAACCTCCATATGTCGACATAATAATAGAAAGTATAAAAAACGCGACCCCCCGAAGGCTCAAATCAAACTCACCAGCACTATCAACCACTATGTTACACGAAGTCGTCGCCGTAGCGTTTCTCGTCGCCACAGGGTCGGTCTCGGCATCACCGACCCTTAAGGCCGGCTGCACAGTAAGCAACTACGATGACGTGGCAGGCGCCGTATCCAGCTGCACCGAAATCGTCATCAAAGACATGACGGTTCCTGCGGGAAAAGCCCTCGACATGAGCCTCAAATCCGGCACCAAGCTGACGTTCCAGGGAAAAATCTCGTTCGCCAAGTCCAACTGGGAAGGGCCCCTGATCCAGATAAAGGGCAGCAAGCTGACGGTTCAGGGCGCGTCCGGACACGTTCTGGACGGCCAGGGTCAGCTTTACTGGGACGGTAAGGGCAGCTCGGGAACGAAGAAGCCCAAATTTTTCCGCATCAAGGCGACCGGAGGGTCCGTGTTCAAAGACATCAACCTCCTCAACTGCCCGGTCCAGTGCGTGTCGATCAATTCGGCAAGCGACCTCACGGTGTCCGGGTTTAACATCGACGTGTCCGCCGGAGACTCGGTAAGTCGTTAATACCCCAGCTCTAGCACTGATCCCTGCTACAGACCGAAATGTATAGACGTCTATATTGTAACCATCTAATCTCCGCATGAAATAGAAACAGAAAGAACTTCTGAACCCTGGTAGCGGTTTTTGGAAGTGGTGTCAAAACCAGCAGAGATATTTAAATGAAATTTCGTAAATTTGCCGTTTGAACGTTCTATATAACGACTTGAAACTTCGTACTAAACTATCGTTATGGGTGGTAATGCTAGTAGATGATTGCTATAATCGCAGGGCCATATGGACGCTCTACAACAGAGCGCTAAAACAACATTAACGACTAATTAAAGTAGTTTTCTAACTTAGAAAAACCTTATCTGTGTTAACAACTTCGAATTTTCAAATTTTATAGTCAAAGTTACTAAAAAATTCCCTATGATCTCTACCCGCCAGTACTAAGTACAGAGTACTAACCCAAACTGAAAACTAACCGAATATCTCTAACAGCCAGTACTAAGTTTCGGGTCATTCAACAGACCCTAAGAAATTCGGCAAATGTAGGAAACTATATTGACATTTCTTTACGGGTTTCGAAAATATTTACAAAAAACCATCATCGCCTTAAAAAGGAAGAGGTTAAGGACTCTAGTTTATAAAAACTTTTATAATTACTATATAATTATAATTATAAACTATTATAATTATAAATCGATAAATCGCTGTGGTCACGAAAGCAATAAAAATAAATACAACAGTTATCATCATATTTAACAACGGCAATTAATATCATAATCATATAAAGGATCAACAATTAGTAACTATTTAACTATAACTAGTAACAGGGTAAATAGCTCTGCATATTTTTATATGTCGGGAAGTCTTTGATGCGTTTGCAATGTGATCATGTCAAAAGGTCTTGAAAAGCAATTCGACCTTCACAACTGCTGTCACTAGGTAAACCCGGAAGTCGATAATTTATGCAAAATACAAAATATAGTATGTAGGTGATTCATTAAACAAAATGCTTTAAAAGAAAAACACCATATGCTATTAAAAAACAATACGTAGGCGATAGTTTAACTGAACAGATTAAGCATATAATATTTGTATAAAATGTAATTAATAATATACCTGTCGACTGGTGGAAAATACAGCACAGCACATTTTAAAAATTTTAAGTTCTTACATTTGCCCACAAAATAAGATAGACGTATCTTATATAGAAAATTAACTTTATAAGTGATTGCAGGGAGATTTGGGTCACAATACCGACGGTTTCGACATTTCTTCTTCGAACAACATCGTTGTCAAGGATTCGGTCGTGAAAAATCAGGACGACTGCGTAGCCGTCAACCAGGGTTCCAACATGGTGTTCCAGAACTTGGATTGTTCCGGGGGCCACGGCTTGAGCCTGTCCGTAGGGTTCGACGACAACGACGCGTCGAAAAACACAGTGAAAAACGTAACCTTCACGGATTCGTCAGTCAAAAACTCCCGCAACGGCATACACGTTAAAACCCATTCCGATTCCGGACCCGGATTGATCCAGGACGTCACTTACAAGAACATCAAGCTGTCGAGTAAGTACAGGCGTTGACGTCACGGGCCACAGCACGCGAAATCTATGTTCTGTGCTTTCGGCAGATATCGAGCGGTATGGCATCAACGTGCAGGAAGATTACGAAGACGGATCTTCTAGCGGGAACGCCAAGGGAAACATCCCGATCAAAAATCTGAGAATGAATTCGGTGACAGGCACGATGACGGGATCGAACAGTATCGCAGTTTATATACTGTGCGGTAGCGGAGGATGCTCGAGCTGGAACTGGGACGGCGTGAACATCACCGGCAACAAAAAGTCCAATTCTTGTAATTTCTCAGTCACCGGGTTCAAATGTTAGTTAATATTAAGTTTATATATAATAGTACCATGTGACCTAAATAAATGGCATTTTATTTCCGTATGTTTTTTTTTCATGTAAATATTGGAACGTGTCTACCATCAAATAGCAAGATATTTGCCAAATAAAATTATAAGCGCGTAAATCGTCGAAAGCGGTTGTTTTCATAACCTAAAGTTTTCTCAAAATATACATTCCTCTTTACAAATTTAAAATGCTTAGATCACGTAATTAAAGAAATGTTAGATACCTATTCAAATCACTCTATTTAAGAAAACAAAAAAATCTATTTGAATCATATCGCTTTATGGGCGCAAACCTTTTCTATCAGTAGAGTTCCCGAACTGCTGTTGTGGACATAACTAAATTTTAAATCGATTTTTCGCAATATTATTGCAAATACTTTTTTTTTCAATCGCTTACGTAAAATTTGCAAAATCTGATCCTGATCCCTATTTTTTACGAAATATTTTTTTCGTATTAAAACTCCATTTTTATTTTATTCCCTGTGGTAGTGGCGCGATCTCCCATTAAGTCGTGGAACTAATTAGTTTAGGCTAGCGCCAATAGATGCCGGCCACGCGATAGTCCCTCCGCCTCTCGTTAAACAATGGAACCAATTAATTGCGGTAATTATTTGAATGAATTATCACAAGAAAAAAAGACATTTCTTAATTAGAAAGAATTCATTTCATACAATAAACGATCATCAACAATTATCAAATTTCTACAGGCTAGTACAACACCGTTTTTCTACCTTTACTCGCGAATCCATATAGCTATTTGATGATATAGTAACCTTACTACGGTAAAAACTTGCTGCGCCTTGGCTGCCTACAACATTTTTCGTAGCATACCTCTAAATTTCACCCACAGCTGCACTTTGGGTAATTTTCTTTCGAAACAGCGATAATGACACACTTAACCAAGGCCGTCATTCGATGATCGGGACATATTTTGACAAAATGGTGAATAAAAATGCAGAACCTAAATTTATTAACCATGTTGGTTATTGAATGCCCCAAGGTCATTGGGTGAAAACGAGTTTCAATCTCACCCACGCGCATGTTAAATGAACCTTTACAAGTTTCTTTTTATAGTTGCTTTATAAATACCTGTATTATCTATACCTCTATATCTTAATAGCTATATGCGCGAATTATAACCGAGACTTCTAGACGATGGATTTGCTTTTTCCGTTGTCATAGTCAACTGCTTAGATGCACATAATACTACGAATTACTTAGAAATATGTTCTTTCATTTTTTACCAACGATGGGCAAATTCCTGAGGACATTACAGACACCTATCTGTCCAAGATCTAATCCTCCAACATAGACCGCAACTGTCACAACCTACCCTAACATAAGCTTACGCGAGACACTCGGTAGAACCGGATGCGTATGGTTTAAAGTGATAAAATAAATATTACATAAAACCTCATTACAATTAACTCGGAATATCCAGTAACAATGTCATGATTAAATAAATATTTATCCCATACAGCGTTGTTTCTGTATTCTGCGGCAGATTCTGTGGTGGAGCATTGCACGCGGCGGTTTAACCTCCGCTCACTCCCAGCTGAATCTTTTTTTATTCGTCCCAAAAACCTTGATATCGGTCTTTTTTCGTGTGATTCTGTTTCGGAAGTCTTTGGTGATCGTTTTTCCGTGGTGGAAGCGGGGAGATGACGGTTTTTTTCGGTATCGGTCAAAATCGTTTTTTGCTAGCTGAGGAAATATTGGTTATATTCTTGTTTTTACGTTTTGGTCTATGACCAAAAGCGAAAATCATCCATGGAATTCGACAATGGGCGAATAATCATAGCAGTTGTGCCCAACTGAAATATGAGCTTCTGGTACTAGTATTCTGTGGCATAATTCTGTGGTCACCTTTTTTCAAAATATACCTAAGAATCGTACACCTAATTATTATTAATTAATTAAGTTTACAATTCTTGAAGTATACCAATCAAATATAATAATTTTACCAAAGCTTTATATATACATTAATATATTACAAATAAAAGATGGCGCTGGCGACACAACTTTGCAATTTTGATTGCATTGTGGATTGATTGCATTTGTGGAAAGCGATTATATATATTTTTTATTTATTCCCATTTGGTGTAAACATGGTAGAAATTATTAGTAATAATATCTGGATTTAAACTAAATCAAATAAACCGTGATGTGATGCCGAATTCAGAAATTGAACTGGCAGGAGGCATCGTTTTCCAAAAAAAAACTTAAAATTTATTCCTGTTATGGTTAGAAAGAGTTATATCGCAGTGTTAAGGAGTTTTGACAAAATAAAACATTTACAGTAGATATATCGTTTAGTTTCGTTTCCCACGAATCCTAGCCACCTCGGACATTTCCGGGATTTTACCGCGCGGGTTTGGGAGCAATCGGATGTTTTCGGAGATATTTCCCACGCTTTGAATTTTGAAGTTTACCAATTCTGACAGTCATGTCAGTGAATATATTCGAGTTTTGCGAAAACCCGAAAACCCAAAAACTGACGGTCGTAGAAAAAGTATAGTATGCAACACGTTCGGTAAACTTCTTAACTCACTCGTTTATTAAACACTCGCTCCCCTCATGTCAAATAAACTCGTGAGTCAAATGCCGTTTACCGCACTTGTTGCATAATATACTAATTTTCTACTTCCATCTGTAAAATACCTAATTACCCACCGACCTAGCGTGCGGGAAGCGTCACTTTACCAAATCAGTTTCGTTTCCCATGAATCCGAACCACTTCGGACATTTCCGGGATTTTACAGCACGGATTTGGGAGCAAATCGAATGTTTTTCAGAGATATTTCCCACGCTTTGAATTTTGACGTTTGTCAATTCTGACGATCATGTCAGACGGAATGTATTCCTGTTGTTTTGCGAAAATGGAATCAAAAACTAGCGGTCCTAGAAAATGTATAGTATGCAACACGTTCGGTAAACTTTTTAACTCACTCGTTTATTAAATACTTGCTCCGCTCGTGTCAAACTAACTCGCGAGTCAAATGCCGTTTACCGCACTTGTTGCATAATATACTATAAGTCGCTCGTTTATTAAACACTTAAATTCCATTGATAAAGAAGTAAACTGTCTATTTTACCAGCATCTTACAATAATAAATAAGACAAACACGAGATGTCACTTTTTCATTGTTTTACGGTGGTAAGTGACCGTTTCCAGTCTGTTGTAGTCCGTGATTTGTGACAATTTTGAATGGCGGTGTTCTAGGTTATGTTGGTATATTTTCGTGTTTATCGCCGCTAATATAGAAAAATGAGTGGTGCCGAGGATAAATTCAACGTTGATTCCCTCGCTCAGGCGTTGGAAAATGCGAACGTTTCCCCGGGCGGCGTAAGTTTTGCAGGAAAATCTCTTAAGCTCGATTCGGTCGGCGATGGTGAGGAATGCTTTTTGTGAACGAATCAATACGCCTAATATACCGGTCGAATTTCAGCCAAAGAGATAATCGACGAAATCAACAAATGCAAGAATTTAGAGTCCCTCAACCTTGAGGGCAACACTTTGGGAGTGGACGCCTCAAAAGGCATCGCCGACGCTTTGGCAAAGCATCCCGAGTTGAAAAGGGCCCTGTGGAAGGACATGTTCACGGGACGTATGAAAACAGAGATTCCCAAAGCTCTGGTAAAGCGACTTACGGTCAGTGGCGAGGCGCGTTGACACTTTTTTTTGTTTAGCAACATCTAGGCGATGGTTTGGTAAAAGCCGGCGCCCGACTAACCGAATTGGACCTCAGCGACAACGCGTTCGGCCCGATCGGCGTCGAGGGTCTCGCGAGTTTGCTGCGAAGCCCTACTTGTTACGCGCTACAAGAGTTGAGGCTCAACAACAATGGCCTGGGGATCACCGGAGGAAAATTGTTGGCGTCCGCTCTAACCGATTGCTACAACAGTAGCAAAAACGAGGGCAAACCGCTCGCCCTCAAGGTCTTTGTCGCTGGCCGCAACCGATTGGAAAATGAAGGGGCCAAAGCACTGGCCGAAGTATTCAAGGTAACATCAAAATAGATTTTATTGAAATTTTTTAGGCAACACGCAGTTTAGTTCAAGACACAGTTAGCATAGCACAGTATAGTTTCAGTGAGGTTGAAGTGGCACTTGGTAAGATGGTAAAGGAGGCTCCTTGTGTATGAAGTGATCCATTATAAATGTTACCCCCTCTAACTTTTATTTTACATTTTAGAAAAAAAAGTTTACTACAAAAGTTCAAAAATCAATGAATTGGCGGAAATTATACGCATTCTGAGTGAATCATTAAAGTTTTAGATAAGCTAAAAAGAAATTATTCAGCAAAACAAGACATTTAGCGCAATCTTGCTAATCAGTTAGTGTTTATTTATTTTGCATTATCTACTTTTTAAATACAAAGATATTATATCCAATTTTTTATTAATTATCAATTATCCTGTTTTCCATTTTCGAAAAATAATTAATTAAACACTTGGCTTAACGCTATGACCATGCATGACCAACTAAGTGATGATTTTATTTTGGTTAGTTAATTCTGAGCGTAAAGTAAAAGATAACTATTAGGACCTTTGTTTTTATTAAATAATATACAGGGATTCCAATTTGAAAAAATGTATAACTTTGATGTACTATACTCTTTTGGCACACCTTGTATATAAATAAGTATGTATGTACCCTACAAGTTTTTCTTTAAACTTTTTTTTCTAAAATGTATGAAGAGGGGGTAATATTTATAGTGGATCATCCATTACCACAGATGATAGGGACGCTAGAAGAGGTGTCGATGCCCCAGAATGGGATATACCACGCCGGCGTCAAGGCGCTGTCGGACGCGTTCGCCCACAACCGGAACCTGCAAGTGTTGAACCTGAACGACAACACCATCGGCAGCGTGGGGGCGGGGGCGGTGGCGCACGCACTGCCCCGTCTGCAGATGCTGCGCGAGCTCAATTTCGGCGACTGCCTGTTGAAGACGGCGGGCGCGATGTTGATCGCGGAGAGCCTCCACGCCGGCCACCGCGGCCTCGAAGTCCTCGTCCTCGGCTTCAACGAGATCAGTTCGGTGGGCGGCCTCGCACTGGCCGACGCGATGGCCAACAAAACGGTATTGAGGAGCCTGGTGCTCGACGGCAACCAATTCGGCAGGGAGGGGGCGGAAAAACTAAGGGAGAGGTTAGCGGATGTCGGTGAGTGTAAGATTTTGCTAATCTAAGGGGACAAAAAAAAGATACAAATATCAGTTACCGGGTATTACGTGATTAATTATTTATTGTGTGTTAAATAAAATGACTTACAACAAAGTTGTATGAAATTTTGATGCGCCTTGTAAAAGTATGTCAATTTAAAAGTAATACAACTTATTTAATAATTTTTCAAAGAAACTTCCACAGGTATACTTTTTACAAAACTTCTGGGTTGAACTGAGGTGGCTTTTGCTTGATGAAAATCCATTTATCAAAATAAATAAGAACTAAAAGTTCAGATTTTCACGAAATTATATATTATGACATGACAATTGTTTCGACAACACCGTGTCTTTATCAAAATAAAGATTCCTATGAAACACGATAAGTGTCCGAAATTTGAAGCTATCGACTTCAAATTTAGCAGGCAAATAGCATTTGGTCCCCTAACGGAGCCTACTGAAATTGGTTGAGTTGGGGGGTCGGGAAGTATTAAAACAAAAATCGCGTTTGCAAGGATCTAACAAAAAAATAATTTCTCTTTTATGCAAACGAAAAAATTCTTGTACACACAAGATTTGGCTCCGAAAAACAAGGTGAGCCGCATAGTCAAAAACAACTGAAAAATGGGTACCCCTAATAGTGAAAATTGGCTATAACTAACACTTTTCAGATGTTAATTTCTTCTACATGACGATATAGCCCGGATATTCCGTGCTATATAAGAAATGTATGAAGTGTTCTAAATTTGCAGATATCGACTTCAAATTTAGCAGAGAAGTAAAAGTCCATGCCCACATTTAAACACCAAATATATTGTTTTAAAATTTGATTTTTTTTTTTTTGGTTATTTTGGTTTCCAGAAAATATGCTTTATTCCCATAACCATTCACCGGATGGTCAAAATTCTTCCACCAGCAGACGCGGAAGATCCAGTGCTGTAACACTTATTTCAGGCATTTTTTCGATTCTATACACGGTTTTCCAATTATAGACCAGAATCATAAAGACCCAGAAAATTGTTCTTTTCCAGAATAAATTATTAACCGCGAATCAAAAATCATAAAAAATATGGCCAATCGGGTCAAAGGCCGCTTCAAGACCTACAATTTTTGTAATTACGGTTTTCTCTTCTATCACACACGCTGATCTAGATATATAAGACGCGGCGATGTCATTGATTATTACGGCCCACCGCATGGTTTCAGAAAAAACTTATTTTCTCGAAACCATTTATTATTTTGGAAAAATTCTTGGTCCAGGAAACGTGGGCGGTCCAGGGCTATAACCTCCATTTCCGGATTTTTGTCAATTATGTACAGGGTATGTCGATTATAGGTAAAAATATCTAAAGGATCCTGAAAATTGCCATTTTCGTTATTATTAGCCGTTAATGAAAAACGTAAAAGACGCTTTATACAGGTTATTCGCATAAAATAATTACATCGATTTTGCGAAAGTTCTATAATGGTCCGCAGGAGCACGAGAGAAAAGCAATGCGCCCCTCTAGGACAAGAAACCGCGAAACGCCTTTTTTTTTAAATAAAAAGCTGCCACGCGCTAAGCGCTACGATCTTGCCCCACCCAGCGACGATTTTTTGAAAGCAATCTTCTTATGGGTTTTTGCCGAATCAAACTCGCTGACGTTTCGCCAATCATCCTGTTGGCTTCTTCAAGTTTGACTCAGCAAAAACCACGCAGGATTCCAGAAGTTTTGTAAAAAGTATTACAGTCGCCTGTGGAAGTTCCTTTGAAGAATTAAGCGAATTAAATGTCTTGTCAATGGGTATTATGTGTTAGAGAATGATTTCAACGAGTTGATTGTTTCAATTCTATCCCCATAGATTAGCAAATTCTTGTACTTCTAGGCAGATCGAACGCGCTGGGGTCGCTCGACGACAACGAGTCGGAGGAAGAACAGGAGGATGAGGATGAGGATGACGAGAGCGACGATGAAGAGGGCGGCGTGCAGATCGTCGAACTCGAAACTTCCGCGGCGACGACGACGACGGTCGCGGACTTTCTGCGAGAGCCGACGCCTTCGAATTTCGAAGGCCTCGGCCCCGACAGGGATCGCGCCCTTCTGGACGCAATCCGAGACGCCTCGGGCGACGTCGACCTCGACGCGTTCGTTCCCGCCCTGATGAAGGTCGCGGCACTCGATGCCGGCGCCAAACTAGCCGAGACCATGTACAAGGAGCTGTTTGCGTGGGCCCAGCGCACCGGGAACCTCTCGATCGTCAACAACAGCCTCTTGGTTCACCTGGGGCTGATTAAAGTAAGACACGACGATTTTTATCAAATTTACGTTTATTTCCTAACGTCCTTTGCCCTATCCAGAGCGAGGAGAAAAAATTCAAAGTCACGTGGGACGTTCGCGCTGGCCTGCAGCGCCTCAAGCGCGTCGTGCCGATGAACTTCGTGCCGGACAGCACGAGAGACGTGTTACGGGCGTTCCTGCCCAGGCAAGTACAGGCCGAGCGGCTCACAGATAGCACTTAAACCTAACTAGGTTGACAAAGGCAACTTTACTAAATATAAGGTTTGATATCAAAATATTATAGAAGACACCCTAATACCTGTATTATATTTGTTTTCGTTTTTTAATTAGCCCAATTGTGATGGAAAAAGTATGGAACCTTTTTAGTATAATGGGCATATCTATTTCTGCAAATTATGGCACCATGCACTTGAATGTGTCCTTTTCCATATTTCGCAGTAGGAATTTGGTACTTTGCCTTGCATTGTTTCAAAGAACCATATTCTAGCTAACCAAAACTAACCCAGCAGAGAGACAAAGTTCATTCGGGCCTTTCTATTCAATTTTGGCAGAAGGGGTTCTTACCATTCACTGGTCGCTATTTCGAGACTTCGTTTTAAGTTTGTCTGAATTATTTTCGGAAGTCGAGTTTCAATATTCTTAAAATGGTTTTTACCAATCCAGATTCGTTGCAGCGCTTTTAGAAATAATTCTGAACTTTTCAGATGAAAGGCAATGGCGACTGGGCATGATAAATAACTATTTATATAAATAAATAACAAATTATAAAAAGTTTCCATACTTTTTTTCACCTATGTTAAGTAATAATCATAGAGCTTTAGGGTATTTTTTTTCTTATCAAAATTTGCTAACAGAAAAGGCTGGAAGTTATTTTAAGTGTGTAAAATTTCCGATATAGGGCGTAACAATTAACACCAAGTAGAAAAATACGTTTTTTATATAGAATTTTCTACATTAATGATATGTTTTAATTTACTACATTTTCATATACTTTTTGTCTATAGCGGTTTTTTTTCTATCTATTAAAGTAGTGTTTTTTGAGAAAGTAAGTTTTCTCCGGTTTTGCTTGACTGATTTTAACAAACAAGGTTTTCTTCATCCTTATCCTTATTTTATCTTTTTTTTTTTAAGCAACTAAAAATATAAGTCCCTTGCCTTTTGATTTTTATTCTACCTTTCTTTTCCTCTATTGGCAACAAATTTGTATGCTAGTTGCTTAAAAATATATTATTTAATTTCCATTATATTTGAAAACACCTCCAAATTGGGTTTTTAAATTTAGCTCTTTCTGTCTCTTTGTTACACCCTGTATATGTTCTCATGTGAGGTTAGATAAAAATAAAATATTATATATTAATAAATAATTTTAAAATCACTTAAGCAAGTTGCTTGTGTGTGTGTGTACACAATAGTATGTGTACCAATCTGGGGTAACACCCTGTATACTAATAATCACGTTTTTTGAGTACTAGTTAAACATAAAAATATTTACTGGTATACAAAACTTTCAAATACGAAAAAATGTCAACCTAGTTCTACCACTCAGCCCGCGGCGAGGCGGAGACCTCCATCCCACTACATGGCCCCCCTTTTTGCAGGAACACGGAGGCTACCCGCGGATGCGAAGACCTCAAGGACGAGATCCTGTTGCTCTTGCGCGCCGACCGCTTCCAATAAAATTAGTTCTTATTTACGTGTGGTTTTGTTGTCCCCGCCCACGACGCGCATACCGCACCTAAAGCGCGACCAACTTGGGGGGCGGCGCGAACCCGCGCGGGTGCCGCGCCTTCAGCATGGCGCCGAGCCAGACGGCCCGCGAGGCCGCGTCGCCCCACGCGAGCACGTTCCCGAAGTACGTCCGTGTGCGCGGCAACGGTGCCGCCACCTCGAAGAAAGTGGCGGTCCAGCGCGAGGCCGGGCTGCGTTTCGCCTCGTGGCCGAGGTACCACAGGATGTCCTCGACGCGCCACGTCGCGAGCACCGTCTCGCCTGTCTTGTCCTTAAAGCAAGTCAGGCTCCCTTGCGACAGCTGGAACGTCAACGCGCGGAACGTCTTCGTGGCGGCGTCGGCGAACCGCAACTCGCCCGACACCGGCGTCGGCTTGTCGACTATGTACTCCCAGTACTTGGACAGCGGCGACGCCACCAAGTAATTGTCCTTGCGGTCGGCCTCGTCCCAGAAGCCCCAACGTAGAACGACGTCGAGCACTTTCTCGGCGTGGTGAATGGGGCGGACGAGCCGCTCGCCCAGCACCACCTCCTCGAGCACGAGCTCGTGCACCGACGTCTTGAGGTGGTCGACGAGCTCGAGGCACACCTCGTAGGCGGTGCGGTTCGGACCGACGGCCACGTTGAACGAGCGGCCCTCCTTGCTGAACGCGAAGATCCACACGCGGAAGTCGCCGGCAGTTTTGCGATCGGCGACGGTGGCGCCGCGCGCGTGCTTCTCCAGCACCCGGAGCATCAGCTTCTCCCGCTCCAGCTCTTCAGGGTCCTCGGGAAAGACGCGGCGATAGTGGCGCAGCAGCTGCGCGACTACCTCGCTGTCCCGCAGGTGGCCGCCGCCGCCGCCGCCGGTCGCCGCCTCCTTGTCCTCGTAGTGAAGCAGGGTCGGACCCCAGATGGCGGCCAAATTGTCGACCGTCATGCGGTTCTTCGCGCTTTGGTCGGCGACGAAGCGCAGATGGCCGAGCAGCTTGCGCGCAGTGCCGTACGCCACGGGGGGCAGCTGCTCGAGCGCCGCCCTGAACATGCGCACCTTCTCGTCCGTGTCGTTGTGCTCTGCGGACAAACGAACTACCGTCAAAAAGGCGAGAAAATCAAATGATGGGTCGCGTACCACCTGTCTGGTCCTGAGCCGCGTTAAAAACGTCAAAAAGATTAAATTCGAGGCGGCGGATGGTGTAAGATTTTGCTAATGGGGGGAAATTGTTTTGTCATTTGCGCGGCATTAAGGCGCTATTTTATTCAAATCAAGTAGTCAGGCAAAGCCAAAGGCTTTCGAACAAGTGATTTTAACGGTTACATTTATAAATAATATCCCTAAAAATTACACTCTTTTGATTTCCTTAATATTTCAATTTTTAATATGTAAGTTTAAGTTTTAAGGGTTTAAAAAGATTACAAAATTGACCTACTCTACTGCTACTAAAGCAGTTTACTTCTAAATTCAATAAGAAATAAAAAATGATAATATTGACAAAACTATGGTCCTACAAAAAATTCAAGTAATCACTAATGTTTTAAATAAGTTTTATGAAATTTAGCTCGTTGCTAAGAAAATATCATAGAACTGTTTAAATTTTTGTTATATTGGTTATTAACCTGTACTACACAAGTTCATATTTAAAAAACATATGTATACTCTAAAATAATTTTTTTGTAGAAATGCCAATGAATTTCGTCAATATAATGTTTCGACAGTGATCGTTATCATTCTCAAACGTCCAACTAATTTTGGAATCATTCTTAGAACGATCCGCTATTAAGTAGATTATCAGCTAATTGACGCTAATCTAGAGGTCGTCGAGTTATGTTTTGTTTTAGAAATAGCATTTTTGTTAAAGCAGTAACAGATATTGATGGTCTGTAAAAAAATTATGTTTTAGAATTTATTACTTTTTATTATTATTTATTACTGGGTCTTTCTAGTTGCTCTTAAAAAGACCAAAATATTAAAAAAATGATAAAGGAAAGATAGACAGTTGTACGTGTGACATTGCCTTCAGTTTTATCAAAAATTAATGAAAAAGTTTGTTACACCAGACAAGTTTCTTAGTACGTTCAATAACTTATTTGAGGGTCAGTTTGGTTTCCAAAAAGATAAGTTCGCACAGGATGATATCAAAGACATAGTAAACTGGATGAAAAGTTTAAAGTTACTGGCTTGTTTTTTGATTACTCACGAGCATTTGAAATGGTTAATAATGAAATCTTAAATGTGAAGTGACTCTCAGAAAGGAACGACATGAATTCCACTCAGCGTACAAGGAAAATGCAGTCCTTCAGTGATTAGAATCACCTGGCTTTGATTATGACTAAAACAGAGTCAGTTCTTTTTTCAGACTCATTCACTACAAAAAATTATTATTGAGTAAAACACTCCTTGGAGGAGTTTTTTCAGAACTGGGAGAATGCGTGAATGCTGATTGTAGGAAATTTGGGGTTATCGGGTTTTGAAGAAACACATTGCCCTTTTTGGGTGGCAATACCACATAATACATCTTAGACAGAACACCAATAGCAAGTGTCTCAAAGTGCAGATATTTGGGCAGTTGGATCAGTGAAGACCTAAATCCCGTATCGAAATGGCAAGAACAAATTTCCTAAAGATGTGAAACCTCCTCCGCGACACCAGTCCAACCATTTACATAAGACAACTTCGGCAAATGCTACGTGCACTCCACACTTCTGAGTCATGGACATTAAAAGTAAGCACAATGAAGAAGCTGGAAGACGTTTGAGATGTGGGCGTATCGCAGAATGTTAAGGGCACCATGAACTGATCACATTTCAAATTTGGAAGTGAACAAGGAACGCGAGCGTCTCGATACAATAAAAAAAAAAAACGGCGTATCTCGGTCATCTTATGAGACATAATAAAGACAACTATTCAAATCATAATGGAGGGTAAGATCGTGGGAAAACGCGGATGTCGACGATGCTCTTGGTTTGGATTCGCACACGTTTCTAAGAAAAGCGCAAAATAGAGAATTTGCCGTAATTGTTGGTGATCTACATTCAATGGAGATGACATTTTAACAAGAAGAAGTAGATATCGCCTCTCCTCATCTTTTTGGTTACCTTGGGTAATTTCTTTAACATTAAATATAAGCGTGTCTGACAGCCATATTTTTCAAATTATTTATAAGTTAGGGTTATTCATAAAATTGGCAACAAATTCTCACGCGACGACTACTACTCACTGGCCACTTCGTGGAGGTAGTGACGGTGGTCGCAACCGAACAACGGCTCCGGCAGGTCCCGGAAGAAGCGTTTCAGCGCGGTGGCCACCTCGAATTCGTTGCACGTGTTGCGCGTGAGCTGGACCGCGAACGCGTCGCGTCGGAACTTCGCCAGCAGGTCAGCGACGAGGGAGGCCTGCCCCGACTTGCGGTAAATGCCCTCCGACATGCTGCCGTGCGCGTAAACGAAGTTGACGCACTTGTCTACGACGACGGGGATGTCGTGGCGCGTGAGCTGCTGCTGCTCGAGATGGGCGCCGTTGTCGTGGGCCTCGGCCTTGACTACATGGCACCAGACTTTGGTCTCGCGCGACGTCCACATGCGCAGATGGAGCACCACGTCGGGACAATCGACGAGCATGTTAGGACCCTTGTCGCCGGTCTTGGGGTTGTCGTCCGTTTCCCGATGCGGTTGCAACACGATGCACCGAGCCTTCCGCAGGTCGAGCGCTCGGACGGGACGCCCGTCGGCGGCGTAGTGGAGCTCGCGCTCGGCAAGCAGCAGCCACGCCCCCGTCCACTGGCCGCTCACGCCTTCGCGCACGTACGCCCAGCCGAAGCGCGCGTAGTTCGCGGTCAAACGCGACTTGAAGCGGCTCGTCATCGACTCCGCCAACGCTTGCATCCAGACGCGGCGTTCCGGAGCGTTCCGGGAACCGTAGACGTGCCCTCCGCGCGTCCTCGCCGCCGTGTTGAGTTCGAAACAGTGCAGGTCGTCGTTGTCGTAGCGGTAACGGTACTTGGGGTCGCGCAGCGCCTGCACGCTGAGCACGTTACGGGCGGCGAAGTGCTCCTTGACGTGGGCGCACGTGTTGTCCGAGTAGCAGACGAGACGCGAGTTTTCGAGAACGCACCAGCGGCCGCTGTACTCGCCGAACAGGTCCTCGACGGGACCGCTCTGCACCTTGTAGAGCATGCCGCGTTTGTGGACGTGGGCGCCGTCGCCGAGGGCGGGCCGCTCGAGCGCGCGATCGCTACGTTTCGGGCCCTTGAACGGCGCCTTCTCCACTACCTGCCGGAACCAGGTCTTCTTGGGTTCTGGCGCGTCGGCGCCGCCCTCCGTGAACCAGTTGGAGCGCGACTTGGACGACGCCGTCTCGTCGTCCTCGGGCAGAGAGTCGACGCGCAGGGGCGGCGTCGGCGGGTTAGCGACCGGATCGCCGCCCGGCAGCGACTCGTCGCTAGTGCTCCACCGGTCCGGGGCGACGGTGCCGTAGAGGTCGCCCCGTAGCAGCTCCTCGAGGAGTTTGATGTCGGGCAGGGGGTCGTTCTCTGCCGACGTGGGTAAAAGGAAGGTTTTTTTTAGGAAAACGAAACTGCCGTTGTAAATAATAATAAATGTTGTATCAATATTGGTGAGCCTACACCGATAGGACTACGCATAGATAAGGATTTATCTAAAGCTTGATAAATGTTCCAATTCCGGAGAATAAAATAGGCCGGGATTGATAAGGAACCTTACCGATTGTGATTAGTAGGGTTCCTAGTCTGACTTCCATTCTAAACAGCTTATTTTACGCGTTCGCCATATATAGAATTATTAATTGCAGTCGCGAGAAAGTTGAAGTTGCTTCTGAAATTTTACGGTATTTTTCTATTCCATGGCATTTCTTATTTTTTATATATTCATTTTTTAACGAACAGCTGCTTCGGAAGTGCAGCGAGTGTATAAGCCCTTTTGCGTAAAAATTCAACGCCGTATATCGGATGGCGCCGCTAGTATATCAAAAGATAGTTATATATTCAGACTATTGCTTTAAATACATAAAACCAATATATTAAAACACACACACAGGCTTATTTGAGTAACCATCCACATCAGAAATATATTTGTTTTTTCTATGTATAAAGCTAGAAAATTTTCAGTTAGTTTATTAGAATTTTTTATATTTATTGCCAATACTAGAGGAACTTATGAAGCAAATATGAAAAATATTTTGAGGTCAATTTCCTCAAATTATGCTTAGATCTCGTTAAATGTTCTGGGAAAACGAGTTAAGTGCCTGGAAATCTGTTTAGAAAGAAAATGGTTTAAAATGCAAGTTAGTGGGGCCTGCGAGGAAAATCATCACTTTTTTACGAAAATATCATAATTATATGGATAATATAATCATGTATGCGTCATATCCTAACTGAGTTTCGACATTGCCTTACTTTTCCTGAAAAATTGATTAATCTTTATAAAATCATTGTCAGTCTATGCCTTTGTTTTCATTTTTGGTGTTGTGTTGATTATGTCTGGACCTTTTTTGTACTTTTATTTTTGCCTTAAGTTTTACTACGATCTGGACATATTTTAATACTGCCGCAAAAATGCCGCAGCCAAACTTATTGACCATTTATTAACGGCCATGTTGATTGTTAAATGCCGCAAGGTCTTATTAAATGCTAGAATTTGAAATTTTGCGTGTTAATGGTTGAAAACGAGATTTTTAATTAAGCACATGCGCATATTCATTAACCATCTAGAATTTTTTTTATAGTTGCTTCATGAATTCCTATATAATCAGCATCAAGCGGGACCCTTACGTCTCTAGTGTGACCGACGCCGCTGTCAGCTGAAATTTATTTACCGCGACAATTTTAGGTTTTGTCTTCTGTGGGTTTCCTTAAGCAATTTGATATTTCTTGTGTAACTACAACTTCAATCTAAAAAAATCCTCATATACAGTCGGTCAAAAAGGTCTCCACACACATAGTACTTTTTCAGTTTTCTTTTAGTTTCTTCTTTCATTTACATTTAATGAGAAATATATTTGAAGTAAATATCGCCCATCTCATTAATAGTAATAAAAATAAAATAAAAATCATTTGAAACACTTTATTTAAACTATAAAAGATAAGGCAGTTTTAGAAGCAAGTCTAAGTCTAAGTCTCCGTACACTATTATTTCTTATGAAAAGTTTCTTAAAGTCCAATATTTTGTACAATTGAGATTTGCTTTAATAATGACATTACCTAAGTCTTTTTGGAAGACTCTTCTCTTATCCTATTTTTCAGATCTTCTTTACTCATAACTTGATGTTTTCACTCGTCGCTTTAATTCTTCCCACATCCGGAGATTGTAGTGGTATATGAAGTTGTTGGCGGACATTATGGATCATCCAGTGACGTACAAGCGTGGCAGTGTGTTTAAGATCATTATCCTTTTGGAATAAATAACGCCCCTCAAGGTTAAGTTTTTCAACACTTCGGTTTAAGTTATTCTTTAGGATGTTCAAACAGCCATGTTGGTCTGTGATTCCGTCGTCCCATTAGCTGACATGAACCCCACAGTAAAACATTACCTCGACCATGCTTCACCGTAGAACATACATTTTCCATCTGACCATCTGACCCAAAAAATTAATTTTTGTTTCGTCGCTAAAGATAACTAACCAAAACTCCCTAGTTTTGTTAATGTGTTCTTGGGCAAATTCCAAGCAAGTAGTTTCTAATCGTTGGAGGACTAAAATTTTTTGAGAACTCTTACCTGGTGTCCTCTGCAAATTTTGGAGCGCTTGTTTTAGAATTAATGGCGTCAAAAATAAACGAGTATAACTCATTTGTTTCAGCGAAATTTGATACAAGTTGACTTGATAAAATATTATTAATTAACGGTTCTACTTGTAGTTCTGAATAGTGATTTATTAAAGTGTATGAAGACTTATTTGACATAGTTTCTTGTTTCTAAAGCTCCCTTATTTTTTAGCCTTCAAATAAAGTATCTCAAATGATTTTTATTTTATTTTTAGTACTCTTAATGAGATTGCCGATATTTACTTGAAATATATTTCTGATGAAATGCAAGTGAAAGAAGAAACTAAAAGAAAACTGAAAAAAAACACATGGTCTGTGATCCGTCTTTTTCTTGGTAAGTGTGTACTCTAGGAGTATTTTTTAGTGCTTTGTGAGTTTTGCGTCTTAAAAGTATCGCTAGCTCCGTGGTTTGTGCCCTTCACAGAGAATATTTGTTGGTGAAATTCAGTCATTGTGTCATGTGCTAGTCTGTGACCAAATAAAAAATTTCCGCAACAAATGTTGGTGATGGGCGGATGTCTTGAGTACACACGAAGAACAAAAAGAGAGAATAATTGTATATGAGTATATGTCACCGCTTTATAGTAAAATGACATTTTGTATTTCCTTTGGTTTGTGTTTATCTCTGGTAGATTAGTCGCTCCCCACTGGATTCCTATATTAGCCCCAGCCTGTATCGCCGCTTAGAATTGTTGAAACAAAATATTGCCGAGTTTTATGAATGAGTAGTGGAGTCTATCTTTTATTTAGTCTAAGTTTTCAACTACTAAGTAGATAATACCGGAAAAAGCGTGGACTCACCGGAATCCTCGACCTCGGCGAGCGGATCGAATTGCATAAGCACGCTCTGCGACACCCTCGCCGCGGGCGGCTTGAACACCACATCGTGATTCTCGTAAATGGAATTGGTTTTGCTCTCCGACGAACCCGAGGAGCCAGACAAGTTGGAGTTGAGATCGACCTTATGCTTGCGTGCGGGCTTGACGGGTCGCGCCCCCTTGCCGGTCGGTACGTTCGAACTACCGACGTTGTCGTAAACGGGCTCGGGATCATAGTAGGCCCACGAGTCGGACCTGGACAGCTCCAGGCCTCTGGCGATGGTCCGCCCCGCCTCCGACGTGTCCGAATCGCTTTTGCTAGATCCCAAAGGAAACACGTACCCGTAGTCGGCACCCCGGGAGTTGTTGCCGCTCGAGCTCAATGATGCGGGGGCATCGTACAACGATTCGTCGGGCGGCGGGGGCGGTGGGTGCGATGGTGGCGGCAAGCCCGAGGACGAATCGCTGTCCGATCCGTCCACGTTGCCGTACACGCTGTCCGTTCGGTTAATGGGTGAATCGAACCTTATGCTGTTGAATATATCGAGTGCGGTTTCAATATCAGTGCTGTAGGAGGCTGCGCCCCGCGTCTCCGGCGGCGGTTCTTGCGACGCGGAGCTGAAGCGACGACGTATGCGTCGTACGCTCTGCCTGGTGCCCTCGATAACCGCTTTCTTGCGGTCCTGCACCAGCTGATTGATGTCCGCCGTGCCGGCCGCCCTCAATTTGCCCGCGATCTGTTGCGAGGCGCTCCGTACGCGTCTCGAGAAGGTGTTAAAGGGTTCGTCGGCCCCCCGACCGGCCGGGTTTTTGCCCTCGCTCGGCTCCAGCGCGGTTACCCGATCGTCGGGTTTGCAGACTGATCTGCGGGGCGTCGGCACCGGCCTTTTGCCTTCTCTCGGCGCAGGGACTGGCCGCTCCTCCATCGTGACGATATCATAAGCATGAGTAACACGTCGCCCGGTCACCAATTACGCGGCTATCGGAGATAATTAACGCGACAACAAAGAAACTGGCCGCGTCAGCTGACGCACATTCTCCTTTCTCGGCGAGTTCCTTTCGATCGGTCTGCGGCGAGACACTCACTCACCCATAACGCTCAGAATTCGACTGAGCAAACAAAAACTGCGTTTAATTTATCTGGCGGATGACGCATCGGTGGTTATCGAAAACAAACATTTTCCGGACCGAACTCGCACGACCACGCACGAGTTTTGCCGTTCAACAGGTCCGCACTATTAACGCACCATCTGGAGCTCACTGGCGGAACTAATTAGCGGTAAATAATATATTCGGCCTCTTTCCGGTGGATGCCGCGTAAATCAATTGCCGCATCAACTACATAAGTAAAACGCAAACATGAACTTCATATGAAAACAATGCAACCATACCCGATTTTACTTCCAAACTATGGCAATATTTTTCCAGTCAGAGGTCTCATTTGAATTGGAAAATCGTGCATTAATCTCACCTAATCCATGCCTAAAAATACTGTGGCATTGCACTGTCGGCTGGCGGTGAATCCACTGTTTTCGGCACATTTAGAGTTGTGTCAAACGCGATGATTCGGTCACTTTGATTCAATCATTTCATAGGATCGAACGACCGAATCGTGCTTGTTCGTAACGATTCGATCTCCTTGTTTGCTCTCGCTGTCGCCCTGGCCGGTCTGAAGTGACCGAATACAAGACGACCGATCGACCGACCGAATACGCCGGAATACGATTCATTTGAATGGTTTAAGATTTAAATGCATGACAGATATGCTACGGAAAAGGAATGGAAGTAACGTTGTAATTATTCTGTAGTATAGAGATGCGACATCAATCTGTAGATTTGCTGATGTGTTAAATTGAATATTGTATGAAATATCTATGTCCATACAGGTATTTAGTTTCAACAAATTAATGTATTACTGGTACAACTCAATTCGCAGCACTTATTTTGATAAAATCAAGATTCAATAAAAATTAGAACACAGCTAAATATTATACTAACTAGAAGAGAAAACAATAATTCAAATTCAAATGAATTTGAATAGGTCGTCCGGACTGTTCGCATTCAGTGACTATTGCCGCTTATGTTAGCAGCAAAAAGTATTGAAATGAACGATTAATTGAAATGACTCGGTCCTTTTCGAAATCGGTCACTGATTGATCCGGTCTTCATAGAATGAACGATTGACACAACACTAGTACAAATCGTTTCGGATCTCTTTTAATTGCGTTTTTCACTGCGAATGGTAAAAAAAAAACATTTTCTGTCAACATAAATGATAGTTTATGGGAATATCAAGAATTTGTGTCGGTCTGTGATCGATATATCAAAATTCCTAGTGGGATTGCCCAACTGATGTTGTAAAACATATCGATGTGTATAGGAAAAGTTTTTCCTTAGCATTAATGAAAGAACTGCGGTTGGCGCTCAAGGCTCACCAAGGCGTGGACAGAAGATGCGAGTTCGTGTCAGGATGCTCAATTTGACCGGTTGCGCCGAACAAATTAGGCATACTTGTGTGATAACTTGTTTATTACACTTAACAAACAAAACTAAAACTAAATTAAACACGTATATCTGTCACCATTGCCAATCACAGATCAGGCTTCTTCTTCTATCAATGTCTAGGGCAAGCTGTTTCCGCCACAGCCTAAGCGGATTGAAGTTAACCTATACAATAGACCATGAATTTTTCTCGAAAGCTTGTTACATTATATGGCCGAAGATGGGTGTTACGTAGTTTTAGCATAAAAAAGGCCCCGGAGCAAAGATCGAAGCCGGGACCGTTGACAAAGTTAGGCCAAATCGAACCGGTGGGATGGTTCCTCTTGGTGAGTTTAGGTCGGTTTTCGCTGCTGTCTGATGCCGCGACTGGGCCGGCAGGTGATTCCGGCTGCGTCATTGTCGTTGGGCGTGTGGCAGATACGGAGAAAACGGTGGAAAGCTGAACTGATCGACGAACTCAAAGAGAAAACGCTCACGGAACCTGTACCTCTACCGTTCGACGAAGAAGACGTGAAACGGTTAGAATTCAGGCCGGTTCGCGTTCGCGGCACCTTTCTGCATGACGCGGAGATTTACTTGGGTCCGCGCACTCTGCTCTCCGGCGGGGAGGCCTCGACGCAGAGCTCCCTCATCAGTTCAAGCGCCGCTCAAGGCTACCTGGTGATCACCCCGTTCCGGTTGGCCGACCGAGAGTAATTAGAGATCCGTGTGGGGGGGATTCAAATTTTAGGGAGGCATCTGTTTCCAGGGAAACGATACTCGTGAACCGGGGCTGGGTGCCGAGCAAAAACAGGGACCCCCGGACCCGGTCCCGCGGTCAAATCGAAGGCGTTGTCGATGTCGTGGGGATCGTGCGGTCCCACGAGAACCGGCCCCCGTTTGCGGTCAAAAACCGCCCAGGTAGCGGGGTGTTTTTCTACAGGTAAGGAGTGTGGCGAAGTTGGACCCTTGCCCCAAGCGTTTATATTGCCCAGGGATCTGAAGGCGATGAGCGCCGCAACCGGCAGTTCGCCTGTGTTTTTGGACGCGACCAGGGACTCTGATGTGGATGGCGGGCCCATCGGCGGTCAGACTAGGGTCGCGTTACGCGACGAACACACCTCCTACATAATCACCTGGTTCTCTTTGGCCGCCTTTACCGGGTACATGTGGTACCGGCGATTCGTGATGAAATAAAAAAGAAACCCGCAAACTCTTGAATTCTTTATTATTGTTTATTTTAAATACAAAAGCCCTAATTGTGTCTATGTGTGTGTCTCGTCAGTCTTGCGATCATAATTATTTGGGCTCGGACGTTGAACAATGCTTGCGTTTAATACTACTGACGCAACGGGACATGGGCGGAAGCGCGCGCCCGCACGAATCGCAATTCTATTGGCACTACAACGACCGGCAGTCGAAGCTTCAAATGGGGTGCGGTTTATAATTCGAGCCCGGCTTGGTTTTATGCCGGCCTGGCCCACGCCTAACGTTCACCAAAACACACGATTTCGTAAAATATATGTAAATATAATATATAAAAAAGACTATAAACTGTTAAAAATTCAAAAAAAAAAAGAAAACGTCACTAAACTAGATCATAGGGTCAATTCGAGAGGTGGTGGCGCGACTTCCCAGTAGGCGAAAATAAAAATTGAAAATCCAAATTGGCAGTTTGACGTCACTTGTGCCGCGCGCCCGTCGGAACCGCGACGTCCAAGCTGGCGACAGGTACTACGCTTTGTTACAAAGGGCGCGCCCCGACAAGCTCCTTATCCCGTCTACTTCCTTTTTTTCGATCCTTTCGGTCCGGCGACGGTCTCGGGCTGATGCGGAATCGCGCCGTTCGCCACCCTAGACCCAACGAACTACGTCACAATTCGAATAAGTACAAACGGTCGGAATTATACCAATTTGTAATGACGTCATGCTGGTTGCCAAAAATCCATGTTCGCTGATTATTACAAATTACAGTGTTTTAATTTCATTTTTAAAGGTCGCAATATATTTAAAATTATCGGCGGCGATTGTTCATTATACATATTGTACCTTTTTCCCGGCATTACTTAAAACTTTTCGAAATGACATGATGATGACATGTAGATGCCCGGCTTGTGCTGATAGTACAAACACTCATGAAGCAACTATTTAAATTTTTTTGAGTAGTCCATTCAACGTGCGCGTGCGCGAGATTTAAAATTTCGTTTTTAACCAATGGCAAATTCTGACGTTGACCCATAAGGCCTTGCGGCTTTTAACAAATAGCATGGCTGCTGACAGATCGTCAATGTTTGGATGCGGCATTTCTACGACAGTACTTTCTTTCTCAAAATATGTCGAAATCCTATTAAATTTTCAGGCAAAATAAAAGTTAAGGAGTCGAAAAGCAATGCTGAATTGCAGCACCCATGGCGGCGTTTGTATAATTCTGTAATTAATTTGGCGTCTTTGTTCATAGGTTTAACCTCTATTGAAATAAATACGGATATATTGACAATCAAAAATGAAAACAACAATGGCACAGGGCACAGACTGTTCTGTGAGAATAGCTCGGCGTGGCCAATTATGGTGGGATTTCAAAGATTGATACTGCGTTCTTATAAAAATTAATTAATTTTCCAGAACAATTACGGCAATGTATCAACTCAGTCGGTTGACGCATGCGCATACCTTCTCTACGAAAATATCATAGCCACCTGCGGCGCATCAATTTTTACCGTAGTAAAGGCACTATATTACCTTATAGCTATATGGATATTTGACATAACCTTAAATAGAGGTTCATAAAAAATGAATAACTAATATAAATGACGTAATTGCACATGGCTATCCGCGAATTTATTCTGCGTTGGTGGGGCTAAAAGTAAAAAAGTGCCCGTTTTACTTGCAAATTCATATTCATAAGCAATAATAAACCGTTATCATTTTTTGTGGTGTATGGAAAATGACGCAAGATCTTCTGATAAAATCCATTTTTACCCTACTTAAAGTGCAATGAAAAAATTGCCATTGTTCTGCATAAGCAGTTAATGTTGTTTTTTTTTATAAAATTGGTTGTCGAAGTAATATTTAAGTTATATATTAAATTTTACTTCATGCTGAATAGCTTTGAGCGTTTGAGTGTATAGACAGCAGATAACCTTAGTATTTCGTTTTTGTATGTGTTTTCTTACTTTATGATATATTTAAAAACATGAAAGACTGTTTCTGTAAATCCCGTCTAAATTTTGTTGTAACACTATTTTATCCTAAATTAGCCTTAGATGCGTTTTTTACCATTCTGACAATTTTTTTATAGTTTCAAAAAGTGACACAAGAAATTGTTAACCCACAGGTTCTGATTAGCTTTTACAATGGTGTTATGTTGGGGCCACTTCATTCATGCATCGAAATCCTTTGCGACACAGTGGGCTTTAAGGACGGTTCCAAATAAAAAATTATAGATTTGCAAGCACATACCCTTCTATGTATTTACATACTTATTTTCCCGCTTAATTTTAAAAGTAATCTCTCGGTGAGTTTAAAAAGAATTGCGATTTCCATGCGTACAACACTCAATGCAAGGATGATCTGAACATGTCATAAACTGGAGAGCCAGTTTCAGTCAAGCTCTGAAGAGGCCAACAGGATGATTGGCGAAACGTCAGCAATTTCGACTCAACAAAAACCGACGCGGTAGGAATCCAGAAGCTTTGTATAAAAAGTATTACAGTAGCCTGTGGAAGTTCCTTTCAAACATTGTAATTATCCTTTAATAGAGAAAGGTAGAACACTGGCAGGTAAACGGGTGGGTTTTGTCATTCTTAGTATATTAATGGAAGCAGATAAAATACTGAAGCACCTTCCCTCTTGGTTTTATGACCTACTATACTATGCTATCGCAATTAGTACCGACTACATCCACTGCCCAATGTCAACAAAATGAATAGATTAAAAAACCCTAGTATGAAGGGGAGGGGGGCTCACCTGTTCTCGATGCGCGGCACGGCGGCCCGCTGGTCCTCCATCCTGCCCGACTGAAAGCGCATGATCAGAGCGAAGAAGTCCTCATCGGGGACGGTGGCGCCGCTCCGATTCGCCGCGCCCGGCGGCGGCGGCACGTCGCTTTCAGCGTCGACGGCCGGCAGCGGCGACCGCTGGTCCTCGAGACGCGAGGCCTGGCACCGCGCCAACTGGTCGAGGAAGGTATCGTCGGGCACGCACGCCATCTTCGGCAACCGTGACTGCAGGCCGGGAAGGTTGGGGAATGCGACCCGCTGCTCGTCCATCCGTTTGCTTTGCATGCCGGCGATCATATCCAGCAGGTCGTCGGCGCCGTCGCCGCCGCGCGGCTGCACGTTCCCCACGTCCGCGTTCTCCTTGTCGTCGGCGGAAGCGGCTAGCGAACAACGCTGGTCGTCCATACGTTTCGATTGGAACCGTGACAGCAAGTCGAAGAAGGAGTCCTCGTCTTCCGGGGCCGCCGATCTCACCGTCTTCTTGCCGTCGGGCGTCAGCTATCATAAAACCATCCTATTCAGCGCCGCCCCCAGACCCTTCGGCTTCGAGCTACCTTAATAAGACTAAGCTGTTCCATGCTTTCGCGCCTCACCCTGTGCATTTGAATCGCGGGCTCCTGCTGTCGGAGAGACGTGGCCGACTCCTCGGCCGGGCTCTCGGGGATGTCGAGGATCCGCTTCAGGTCGGCGACGTTCATTTGGGCGGTGGCCTCGCCCATCGGGTCTCCCAACTCCCGGCTAATGTCCAAGTGTTTACGAGCGAACGCGAGCGCCTTCTCGTGGTAGCCGAGCGATGCGTTCGCGTTGCCGAGGGACCAACAAGCGCGCGCCTCGCCCACCCGGTCGTCGAGGGCCTGCGCGATCAGCAGGTGCCGCAAGTGGTACTCGATCGCGGTCTCGTAGTCTCGCAAGAGGGTGTAGGTGTTGCCGAGGCTGTAGCACGCCTGCGCCTCGACCGCCTGATCGCCGAGCTCCTGCGCGAGGGCGAGCGTGCGCCTGCGCGAATATGAACAAAAAAGCGTGAGCGATAGGATAGATGTTAGCACCAACCCACGCCGGTTCGCTTATACGGAGAAAAGTGACCATTAAATTAAATTAAAATTAAAAATTTTATTTACGTATTTACATTATCACTACAATATAGTTTAACCTAAGAAAAACCCCAACAAACACCAACACTTATAGTTGCTCAACTACCCAGTTTTGATTCAAAACAGTCTTCTTTACTTTGCAATTAAAACTACTGAGAGAGTCAGAAAATAAATCAATATGCTCGTTAATTGCGAGTCAAATATTTGTCAGCTTGCACATTCGATTCATAGGCGAGTTAATGCCATAGTTGGTCCTATGAAAATCAATGTTAAAAAGATCCTTATTTCTTGCATTAATAGGAGAAATATGAAAACCATGAAGATCTGGTGAATCCATCAAGTTATTAAGGATTTTGAACAATGTAACGATGTCAAAAAATATGCGCCTACTCTCCAAAGATGTCAAATTCAAAAGCTTCATAATCTCCTCGTAGTTTATTTCCTCAAATGACATTCCCAATTTAAAACGTATCACTCTAAGGAACTTACGCTGCACACGCTCTATTCTTTCCTTCTGAATTGCATAGTATGGTTGCCAGACACAGCTAGCATACTCTAAAATTGAACGCACAAGCGCACAGTACAGCTCCCTATACGTAAAGATGTTCTCAAAACCCTTCAAAGTGCGAAAAACAAAGCCAAGCAATTGAATAGCTCTGTTAGTCACAAAGTCAATGTGATATGTAAATGTGAGCTCCGAATCGAGCCAAACTCCAAGATCTTTAACTAGGTTCTGTCTTTCGAGCGATCCAGAGTTCAAATGAATTTTTACGCAGGCCTACCTCGCTTCGATTTCTCTTTGTAACCCTCAATAAATAGATTCGCAATTCCACAATGACGTTCCAGAGTTTTATCGGTGAGGTTGCCCGATTATTATTAGCTCATGCAGTGAAAAATCCATTCTTTAAAATGTTTATTACAAATATAAATGAAAGAGTAAATTTAGCTCTAAAATAATGTTAGAACATTTTAGAAAACAAAGTCACCTTACATGAAAATAATCACTATCATCACTGGACTTGTTCACCACATTACTAATAAGTTCTGGCACTAGTTGACTTCTGTAAACATTAGCTTCTTCGATGGCATGTATTCCAACTAGAAGCACATATTTTTCTTACATCACTCCTAAGAACCACCACCCAGAACTAAATTTCGACCTGGTGATGTTTCTTCTTAAACTGGGTTTCAGCTCTCCCTATATCAGTTCTATCGGATTAAAATTGCAGTGGAAGACGGGCAACATTGAATCCCCGGTCCATGGGCAGCTTGTCTACATTATACTTCTTATCAAACGTTCCCGTCTGAAGAACTCCCAATAATTGCTTTTTTGTAAATAACTTATTGATAAATTCGGTATTTTTTCCGCTTGTGCAGAATGGTAGCTGGCGTTGTCATTAGGGCAATACTGTTTGGTGGAATATTGGGAAGCAATTTTTCAGAAAACCATTTGTCAAATATGTCTGCTGTCATGTTTTCATGGTAGTCAACCTTTGCTTCTTTGACATCTTTTGCAGGAAGCAACAAAGCATTATCTATTAAACCAGTTTCAGGGCCCGTGAAACTGGCATGTCCAAGGAACACTTCCTGCTGTTACCATCGTGGCTATTAAACCAGATCTCATCTAAGTATATGATGGAGACGTTTTTAGCACGAATTTCTTGGATTTCCCTCAAATATCTTATCCTCCACTCCGAAATTCTTCTTGGTTCCATCAAAACTAAATTATGGTTGTGTAATAAAAACCAATTCTTCATACAAACACACGCAAAGCCTCTTGACAACAGTCAATGTTCAAAACACTACGCAACTTTTGATTGTAAAGTTTCAATTGTTAAAACAATATTCTTCTGATATGCATTATATATCAACCGTCTCACGGGACCCCACGATTTTTCCGCGTTTTTCTTTCTTGAACACCATTCATAACTATGTCAAGTACTGTGGCATACAATGTTTTAGTAATCTCGGACGTTAATTTTATGGCTCCAATTTGCCCAGATGACGATTTCAGGAATAGAAACACATTTAAAATTATAATTTTGGCAGCAACCGGTAACTGTCCATTTGAATTTGACTGATGTTCTTCTTCTTCTTCTTCTTCGTCGCGGGACATCGCAAGTGACGAACAATAATAAATAAATTGTAATAAAGTGTATATGGTACCTCAAAAATGGCACACTGAGTCTTTGAAAAACAATTGAATAACAGTAAGTTAGTAGTAACTAATTACAAACACAAGATGGAATAGAAAAACCTCCACAAACCAACCAACCCAATTTGGTTCCCTTGGATAACCTTGATTTAGCTAATTGTAAAAATGCCAAATATTTTAAATGATTAGTATCATTTGTTTCAAACTCTAGTTGCCCAAGACTGACCCCATAATATGCATAATTTTGGTTTGAACGCGCTTAAACTTATACTTTAGTTTTGATCAACATATAATAAAAGATTTGGATAGAGTTTTGTACATAAAACTTTCCTAAAGTGCATGATTTCACAAAATATATTTTTTTAATGACACTTTAGTTTTTCAAATACAGTTTTTTCAAAAAACAGCAAACTGGGGCAACCTTTTATATATATTTCAGTTTACCTATTTTGCGAATAAATTAGAAAAAATACAACTGAAAAAGTGGATCTATTGGTCAGTCATATAAAGAGGAAAATAATAACCCATTGTATATTATATTATCATTGCCTGGGGTGTCACTCCAGATTTTCTTATTTTAGGATTTGCCCTTCTTGGTTTCCAGTTTTGGATTGAAATTCAAAAATTTCAAAGTTAAAGATATTAATGGGTAAGATGAGATGTATCTACAAAATTTTTCAAAAAATTCTTTAATACTGAACTGGCTAAATTAAAAAAAATAATAACTTTTAAAAAACCTACCCCAACTTGGGCAACTTTTGCAATATTTTGAAAACAGTTAATTTTAAACCACAGTAGGAAGGACGAAATACATACATTTTCCCAAAAAATATTTAGCACCACTCACTTGTAATGGTGGGCCGCCTCTTCGAACTGGCCCATAAAGATGTGAGAGTTGCCGAGATTGCTGTGGGCACGCCTCTCCGCCGCCTTGTCGCCGAATTGTCTTGCGATTGCCAACCGTTCTTCGTGATAGTGGATCGCTTGCGGGAAATCGCCAAGTAAATAATGCGTGTTGCCCAAGTTGCCGCAAGCCCGTCCCTGTGCCGCCACGTCGCCGATTTCCTTCATCAATCCGAGATTCTCCCTGAAAAATTATGGTTCATAACCTTCCACCTCAATGCCTGTGGTAGGACAAAATTATGTCGCGATAACCTCAAAATACCAACTGCCAGCAAACTTTTCCACTCTTGCAATTGCTTAAAAAATGGCACCTCGACTTACTGGTAATATAAAACGGCCTGTTGCAGGCATTGTTTCACTTCGTCCGAGAATTCCCCGGGATCTCTCTGCCCCACACGGCCTAGATGTTTCCCCTTGGCGTGGTAAACGTTACCCAGGTTATACAACGCTCGTCCCTCGCTCAATTTATCCTCCAGCTCCTGGGAAAGCTCTAGATGCCGCTTACAGCACACCACAGCTTCGTCGAATCGCCCCATCACTTTCAGAGTGTTGCCCAAGTTACCCGAGGACTTGGCTTCGCCCAATTTATCCCCCATTGTCCGCGCGAGCGTCAAATCGTGCTTGTGGTACTGCATGGCCTTCTGATAGTCACCCAAATAGAAATAGGCGTTCCCCAGTTGACTGTATATCGCGCTGAGCGTCCTTAAATCATCGGTGCCCGCTTGAATGGCAGCTTGGAAAAAAGCCACCCCCGCCCGGCAATCGCCGGCCTTGCACAGCCGCTCCCCTTCCAGGGCCAATTCCAGGCACATGTTGCTGGAGCCGTCGTAATTCTGAAACGTCTCTGGCTAAGCTGACTAACTCAATCACTTCCCAGAACGGATGACTACCTGAACGCAGGTGGGAAGCTTTTCCGTGCTCGTATTGACCGACATTTTCACCGGATCGACGAAACGATCGGCCGGAGCGAAGATTATTTTATTTTAAACGACCTCCGACATATTTTTAAACGAAAAATAAATTAAAACAACGCCTTGCCCCGCTGACACATCTCAATACCATTGACGGTATTTACTAGTCCGCGAGTGTGCGGCACGCCACGAACCACAAAATCGAACGTTCCCTGTAGTAGAAATGCTTTGGCTGAACAGAGATGCAAGAAGCGAAGGTAGACTGACCAGGATGTGCCAGATACTAGATCACTGCATTGTCATTGATAATACAATTATGAAGGTAATGATTTAAAGAAGATAATATTATTTCTTCTTTCGTTTCAAGATTTTGAAAAAAAATATAGACAAAAAAAACTGACCGGTCCGCGCTCTCGCGCAACTGTTGTCTACACCGCGGACGAACGTTAGATCCGTTATCATAATTTTTTAGTGATAACGTCTCCGTTTAAATATTATTATATTCATCCGTAGCGTCGAGATGGTCGCGGTGCCACGCGTATTGCTCGGTTCGGGCCGAATCTTTCGCTTTTTCGAAAACAATTTAACCGCGGTTAACCTAAAATACTTCCACGCCACGGCTCCGACCTTTGCAGGTAAACACAATTTCTCTGTTCTGAGACGCGGTCTTTAGGACGGGGTGAATTATTGTCTTTAGAGCGGCTGTTCACTGAGAAACACGAATGGGTGCGTGTCGACGGCAAAATCGGCACCGTTGGCATATCGCATTACGCCCAGGAGTCGTTGGGGGACGTCGTGTACGCGCAGTTACCAGACGTAGGCACGGAGCTTAAGCAAACGGATGAGTGCGGTGCGCTAGAGAGCGTCAAAGCTGCGAGCGAGATATACAGTCCCGTTTCGGGCAAAGTTGTGGAGAAAAACGGGCAAGTTGAGGACACTCCGTCTCTTATTAACACCTCCTGCTACGACAAAGGTAATCGGGACGTAAATTCCACGAAGTCGGCCGTTTAATTAGTCGAATCCGTAGGGTGGCTGTTTAAGCTCGAGCTGTCGAATGAGTCCGAGCTGCAAGACCTCATGACCCAAAGAAAGTACGATGAGTTCCTAAAGAGCCAAGAATCTCACTAAGGTTTTAATTTATTGCGCGGGTTATCTACACGTTGACCTCTTACGTTGGGCGTATCACGTCAATCGATTATTATAGTAAGAAAAAATACGTTTCATTTTCGGAAGCTGTTTTATTTCGTAACTTGACCTATTCGAGTCCTCGTCCCGCCGCTCAAAATAGGCCATGATAGTGTGACGTAGACGACGACGTAGAGAACACTTTCGGATCGAAGCAAACGTGTTCCTGTGTGATTTGTAATTATTAGAGGCTATTTAACAGAGTTGATGATTATTTTATTGAAATTGTACTATTCAATTATTGCTTTGCAAAATTTAGAATTGGAGGTGGAACAAGTTAAGAGTATTTTAATAAAATAATAATTTAATAATAATATTAATAGTTGGAACAAGTTTTAAGCAAATTAATATTCAATCACTTTGTTTCAAGTTCGTAGACGATACCACTTTCACAGGAACACATTCACATTTTTTAGTTTATAGGTTATATTTTCATTTTCGATAAAATTCTCTTAATTCGTTGTTGCATTTCCAATTTTTTATAGTTGCAAAGTAGATCATTGAATAACGCACTATCGATAAGTAAACACAAAGTCTATTAAATGGCCTACAAACTCAGAAAATTTGACACTCACGAAAACAAGAAAAGTCGGTTCGTTTGGAACCCGATAATACGTCATCACCACAGAACACTAAGTGTAGCTAATTGTTTGGCGCATGGGACGTTCAATTGAAATCGTGATCTTTGCTCGGTTACTTCGTCCGCCGCTCGAAGGATGGCGCACCGTTTTAAGAAAACTCTTTCCAATTCACCCTTTTACTAGATTCGTCGTTTAACCGCAAAAGACGCCCTTTCCTTCCGGCTTACGCCGAGGTCGCAGGTCGGGGTTGTGACCACACTTTCTTTTTCTGCAGTTAGTGGCCTTCGGGTGCAACCGCGAGTAACACTTGCGGCATATCAGTTTGTCGAGGACGTACTTTTCCGCCAGCAAGCGGAGCGAGGGGCTGATACTTTTCTGCATATTTGCGGCACCTGAAATTAGATTAAAGAGATAGCGTCCTTCGAAACGCTCGCTGCCTGATCGGTTGCATATATAATTGGGGCGCAATATCGTTTTATTCCTTAAATTTTTCAAGCATTACATTTTGTACATTTCTCGTGGAAAATGTAACCGATATTGCGCTACACGGAGACTATACTCACGAACTAAACTTATTCCAGCACCACAATTTGTATGCCAGTCGGGCGTCGATTTGATTAGAGGCGCGCCGCATGCGTTTTTATATAAACCGTTCCAATTGCGGGAAGGCGGCGATCCGATTGGTGCAGAACCTAATGCCATCTAGGGGACGCACCCCGCTGTCGTCGGTTTTCCCGTACGAGACGTTGCGCAACATTGTCGTGAAAATATTGGGCGCGATATTGCAACCAAGTTGTGCAACCTTAGATGAACACAACGCTTTTGCATTTATTTTGATCAGACACGCTTGATTATTTCGATAGAATTTTGTTTCCAAAGGTCGTTTCGGAAACTTAAGTAAATTTTTCAGTTTGTAGAGAAAATTAATTATATTAGCAAAAAACGGCATTAGTTACAACATAAAAAGAAAAGAGTAATTTAACTGCCAGAATTATTCTTTATTTGAAATTGGGTGGATGTAAACTTATTGTTGCGAACTAAATGAATATTAATCAATCCAGTGTCGCAAGAACAACCCTGGAATGGAGAAACTAGAAACCACAGGAGAAGGCCTGTGGTTTACGAATGCATGTCACAGGAAGACAACTGCAAATTCACATAAACAATGTGCGAAATACAGCCGAATTTTGAGAACAGGAATCCTTGACTTTGTCAAACTTGTAGAGCTGTAAACAGAACTATTAGAGGGCGCCACTGGCCTTATAAACTACTGTAAAAAAATCTCTTTCGCACCTTAACAATGTTTTTTTTTCTCCTGTATGTAAAATACTTAATTACACACCGATCTAGCTTGCGGGAAGCGTCACTTTACCACTTCAGGACATTTCCGGGATATTACCGCACGGGTTTCGGAGCAGTCGGAAGTTTTCGGAGATATTTCCCACGCCTTCAATTTTGACATTTGTCAATTCTGAAGGTCATGTCAGTGAATGTATTCGTGTTGTTTTGCGAAAATGTACCTAACAACTAACGGTCGTAGAAAATGTATATTATGCAACACGTGCGGTAAACTTTTTGCGTCACTCGTTTTTTAAATACTCGCTCCGCTGCGCTCGTGTCAAATAAACATGTGAGTCAAATGCCATTTGGCGCACTTGTTGCATAATATACTAGCTTCTACTCCCGTCTGTAAAATACCTAGTTACACACGGATCTAGCTTGCGGGAAGCGTCACTTTACAACGCCAGTTTCGTTTCCCACGAATCCGAGCCACATCGGACATTTCCGGGATTTTACCGCACGTAATTGGGAGCAATCGGATGTTTTCGGTTTGAATTTTGACATTTGTCAATTCTAAGAGTCATGTCAGTGAATGTATTCGTGTTATTTGGCGAAAATGTATCTAAAAACTAACGGTCCTAGAAAAATTATAGTATGCAACACGTTCGGTAAACATTTGAAGTCTCTCGTTTATTAAACACTCGCTCCGCTCGTGTCACATAAACTCGTGAGTCAGATTCCATTTACCGCGCTTGTTGCATAATATACTATTCCGCTTTTGTAAAACCGCTTAAATAAAACGTCAGTTACTCATTACTGTTATTGATTTCCGTTGTGACCCGGACCTACGAACGCAAACGCTAGAAGAAGAAAAGGGAGGCACAGAGAACGAATTGCAATGTGCACTGGCGCCATCTACCGAATGCACCGCGCGCGAGACGCTGCCCAGCGTTGTCGTTCTGTTGGGGAAATTAATAATAAACGTCAGTGGGAATTAAAAAAACTGCTTTATTAATTAGGAAACGTATAAAATAACAAAAGTGACACCCGAATCCCCAATCCAAACGAGTCGTGGAAGTTAACTGTTGGTTCGCCACACGAAATCGTAGGCCATCCTCAGCGGCGGCACGAACCGACTCAGCAAATAAAAGAGGTAGTAATACATTGCGAAAACGAACAGCTTGTGGATGACGTACAGCCTGCGAAACACACAGCGGGGCGTCGAGACGCTGCGGTGACCCGATATACTCACACTTTCTGCTGGACGCGGCACCTGGGTAGCGACGACGGCGGCTCTTTCATCGTGTACTGCCTAGCGCCTAGTACCGAGTTCTCGAGGTATTCGTCGATCGGCAATGCGTTAAAATCCATCGGGAACGCCTTCCGGTCCGCCTCGCTCATCTCGTCCCACAGCTTAAGGAAACGCTTGCTCTCGAAGTACCACTGGCGCGTCGTGAAGAACTGCAGCAGCTCGAGACCGTCGTGGATTCGCCTCTGCACGTGGATCATGCTGCGAACACAAGGAGCGTCATAATCAAGAGAAGAGCAAATTTATATTGTAGTTTGATCAACAATGGCTTGTCGCTAGCGTCGCAACAAATGACTGTTAAAACTATCATCACCTCATTTCAGAGTTTCCTGTTTGCATTTTGTTTTTAAGTGCGAGTTGATTCAGTCCAAACTTTATTAACTGCAGGGTAATCCTTAGTAGATGTCATAGGTACCAAAAATTGTTAACTGGCACAACCATAGTTCCTTTAGTCCTTTGTTGCCAAATATTCTGCCTTGAGTCCCACGAGTTCAAGTTTATTTTTGATTTTCAGAATGAACATTTGTTTTCTATTATTTTGAGAACTGACAAATTTTATTTTTTGGGCCGAAAATGTACAAATTTTATTTAATACATTCGAACCTCTCATCTTATTAATCTTCATAGCTTCTAGTAAATTTAATTTTCTACTTTTTGAAACAGTGTATAAAATATGGAGATTAATAAGGTAGATCTTTCAAGAAACGTATCAACGAACATCGACGATCATTTAAAAACAATGGTTCTATACATTTAAATTTAGAAAAACACGATTTTGACGACAATTTCAATATTTTACACACTGTTTCAAAAAGTAGAAAATTAAATTTACTAGAAGCTATGGGGATTAATAAAATGAGAGGTTCGAATGTATTACTTAATGACCAACTGGATTTGAATGGGTGCCCCTTGTTAAATCTCAATTTAATACCTCATATTAAGTAATTACTACCTGTTTTGTATTTATAAACATCGGTACCGTTTGATATTCGCATTTGATAAAGGCACAGTGTTGCCGAAACAGCTGTCATTTGAATATATTTATGTGAAAATCTGAACAACATTTGTTCTTATTTAACTATTTTAAATGGATTTTCATCAAGTAAAAGCCACTTCAGTACTTTTTCGAAATTAATTAAATTAAAGGGGCATTTTTATATAACAACAATCTTCCCTTTTTGTTTAATTTTCTGGTTAAATGCTACAAATAAAGCAGTCTGTCCACACTGTGGAACTGGATTTGGCGACCACAGTTAAAGTTCTACTAATACTAAATATGTAAACTGTAGGATCACCAACTATAGTTAGTGAGACATATTTTGGTGTAGTACTCCAGGTTGCAATAATGATAATTAGTCGCTTAAAATATTTAGATTCCTCCATTTGGATGAGTATTTTCTCCTCATGTTTACTAAAATAGAGTATATCAAATTATACAAGTATACAAGAAAAAAATATATACAAGCTGTTTCAGCTCTATAACTAGAAAAATTAGAAATTTAGCTTGTAATTCCTAAACGGTACATTGATCTTGGTTAAATTTGAAATAAGGACCAACGTTGTAGCAAAAGTCGTTCTAATTCATTCAGAAAATGAAAAAAAAGGTATATATCATTTCCCGAAAATAGGGAATAGGGATTATTATCTAATTCCTAGTTAGCCATGTTATATATCGAAACAATGTACGAGAATTATCATAGGATTTCGTAGAACGAATGTATGGGTCTCCTTCTTAACAACGTAGGTTGTAGTAGTCACAATGTCCCATGCCTACTATGCTTCGATAATAATTCACAAAGTTATGATAAAAAATGGTGGGCATTTATTATCAGAAAAATGTATTGCAATTTCGAAAAATTCCAAATTTTTGCATATTGAATATTAAACTTTAATTTCCTTGGTAATAGGTAACTTTTTGGATTTTCAAAAGTCTTCCATCATACTAAAGAATAGAAAATATAAAAACTAATTGGAAAACTATTCGATGCGATCACTTTTATCACTTTAGTGCTTCTCAATACTTATTTCAATAAAAAATATTGTAAATAGATGTTTAGGAATATTTTCAATATAAATTGAGTTCAACTTTGCTTTAAAAAACATTCTATGTGAAGGTTTTTTTCCCCTAGCTTACAATCGTTTCTGTCTGAAGACGAACATCAGTCCATCGATCAGCAGCGCAGGCAGCCAGTGCATCAGCACGCAGCACAGCAGGTGCGTCAGCTTCGAAGACCGGATGTCGCCGTCCGGGTACCACACTTGCATCTCGAACGGGTTCCGATGCACCACGGCCCTCCCCTTCTCCAGGATCTCGCCCATCGTGATCTTGATCACCTCGTCTTGGGTCAGGTTGTACACGGGCACCTCCTCCGAGCTGCGGAAACACGTTTTTACGCCATTTACGTAGTCGCGATTGGAGTACGGACTTCAAATATGCAAACGTTTGGAGCGATAACTTCAAACTTTTAAAGCAGCGAATTCAATGACAAAAAGACTTCAAACACTTGGAGTCGCTAAAAAAAATGACGAAGCTTCGAATATTTGAAGCAGAGACTTTAAACACTTAAAGTCCCGCCAATTGAGCCAATGCTATGCTATTCCAGTTCCAACAATGTCTCTCATTACTCTTTTGCCCAAGGCTGCAATGCCTATCAGCTTGAATTAACTGAGCATTCTTCGTGCTGTCTCAAAAATTCTTGAAAAGGTGGTAAAATGTCAAACTGGTATAATATCGAAATTCCAGTCCGGGTTCAGATTCAGTTTTTTAGAGCTGTAGCACAGCTACAGCTCTAAAAAGGATTACCAGTGATATTGCTCCTGTTTTATTTCATAGTTTAAATTTGGATCTTCTTTTAGCCAAATTGAGATATTCTAGGAATGATTGCGACTGCTGGTTTAAGAGTTATCTGCATGAGAGGCAACAGGCAGTCAAACTGGCCGAGGATGTTGGAGTTACTGGCAGGGCTGATTAGAGAGCTGTGACGATGGGTGTTCCAGGTGGTTCTATCCTTGGATCACTCGTCTTTACGGTCTTTGCATCTGATCTCGCCCACTATATAACTAAATATACCCAGAGGACCTGCAAATTCTTGCACTTCTTGCACTTAATTGTAGCAAATCAGCTTCCACAAACAATCTTGTAATAGATTGTAATATCTTCTAATAGATCCAAAACGTAGGTATTGTTTTCTAAAATCGATATTGATAGGTCCTCATTTAATATTGTGCTAAATAACGTTAATTTTGTATGGGGTGATCAATTCAAGAATCTAGGTTGTTATATTCGAAAATAAAACTATTTTTTGAATTTAAAAATGCTCTTCCAGCTAATGTAAAAAATTGTTTTTCGAAAGTTTGGTGTTTTATATACCTGCGTATTGTGATTCTTCAAATTTTAATAAGTATATGTGCAGAACGCTTGTCTTCGATACGTAAATAATTTATCAAGGAGAGAGCAGCTAATTCAACATAACATGTCAATTAAGATCAAAAGAACGCAGTTACTTAGCGGAACTAATATTCCAAAGAAGTGATGCAAACCAGGTGAACATTCACAGCATAGAACAGAGAATTTTTAAAGTTTTTTTTAATATAACCCTTCCCTAATTTTATAACTCAGTACCTCCATATATTTAAAAATATTTTGTTGACTATTTTCGAGTGAAACAGGCCCTGTTTTTCATCTCAAGCGGAAAAAATGTGAACTCTATTACAATTATAATATCTTAATTAACTAATGGACTATATAAATAGAAAAATATTATACTTATAAATTAGACAAAGAAGTTTAAATTATGAAGTTTTATTGATTTTTACTACATTTTATACTGTTGGTTTTTAATACTATTTACTGTTCTGCAGTTGATGAACACTGCTTGGATAAGAGAGACTCTTTTAAGGTTTGTTTGAACTGGCAGTTATTACGAGGCAAAGTCTTGTTATACAGATATAATAGGTTGGCTTTTTGTTTAAAACGATTTTATGAAACATACACGCTCTCCGTTTCATATTCAACCACTTCATTTTACTGTCACTTAATTTATGAAAAATATGTTGTCTTCGTCTGTTAGATACCACAAATGATCTAAAACATGAATTTTGCACTACTTGAATTCTGCGTATGTCTGACGAATCTAAGCCGGGTCCATAAACAATATCCCTGTAGTTAAATTTTGACAAAACTCACAATTTTTTAAAACTTTGGACTTAAATATCGTAGTACCTGATATATTTCCTTCAGATTCATATATGCCGTTTTAACGCAATTGTTTATGTGTGGTTTGAATCCCAAAGGGCTGTGAAATATCAATGTCTAGCTTGTAGGATGGGACACATACTGTCGTTATCAAGTTTTATAAAAAAGACTTGTTCCCGGAGTTATTTTTTTAATTTTTATTTGTTCCAAAAATCAGGTAGTTTTTTTGGCATTTATCTTGAGAGAATGTTATTTCTTCGTTGATAATCTGCATGATATCTTGTTTTGCAATATCTAATAACTGAGTCTGAGTTCATTTTATACGTGTAACAAATATAAAGGAGGATCCTTTGGGTTCTTCTTGACAAAATACTCTGCACCATATTCGAAGGCGTGCTAAATAAGTGTGTGGATTTTAGAATTCCCATTAGAAGACAGAAAGATCGTATCAAAAGTTTTTGTAAAGTCTAATAATACGAACGCTGATAAAAAAAGTCTGGTGGCTGATAGATCATTGACTCTCTAGTGATATATGGAACCTTTTTTGTGCCTGTTTAGTTAGCTTGTCGTTCAGCTTGTAAAATTTTTATTGTTTATTATATTATTGGACGGTGGTTATTCATATACGAATGTTTATAGCTACTTGTGCTCGCGACAATAATAACAGGCATCGATTTAAGCAATGCTTTCAATATTTGAATCACAGAGTCAACGCTGACCTTTCCTGGCAAGCTCGCTTATATGCGGCGACGATGCTCGCGTTGATGGCGTAGTCGACGGGGATGACTTGGGCTCGATTCGTGCCGATGCAGTGCATGGAGCGGAGGACGCCCTTGCCTGCGGCCACCAGGAGACCCATCGGACCGTTGAGACTGTCGACCCAGCCTGGCAGCGGTTCCAACGCCGCGGGACAAACTGCGCGTGTACGACAAACTTTAGAACGGCAAAGGAGGGATGGGACCGACGCATAGTGATAATGATTACCTAAGTGACCCTACCTTAGTTATGCAGTATCCTTAGTTGCCCTAATCGTAATGCATAAAATAATTTACATTAGCACGGGTATTTTAGTAATTCAAGATAGGTAATTATTATCACTATGAGACGATGCGCGTACCCACTGAAGGCCTAACGATGCAGACGGGCACGACGTCCTTCTCGCTGGCCACCAGGGTCTCGGCGAGCCTCTTGCTGTACGTGTACGTGTTGGGGTGAGGCGCGATGATGGCGGGGGTCGCGAGGTCCAGCGCCTTGGGATTCATCCACTTGACAACGTCGATCACGTCCCTCGGGTTGTCCTTGGATGGGTACACCTTCTCCTCGAACACGTCGATGTCGGCGGAGCAGTAGGCCGTGCTAAAGTGACAAAAGACGCGCAGGCGTATCATCGTTTTCGCGAGGTCGAGCATGGCGGCGGTGCCGCAGGTGTTTTGTTCGACTGCGTCCTTTAGTTTCGCCTCGAGCTTGAGCGTGGCCGCCATGTGGAAGACGACGTGGACGTTTTCGGCTAGCGTGCGAGCGTCAGAGTTCTTCAGGCCGAGACGCTCGCTGTAGAGGTCGCCGTTGACCGGCACCACCTTCCTAATGGCGTCGGGATCTGCGCGGCGCAGCCTCTCGAACATCTGCGCGATACCGTTGGTGACGACGTACCCGGGCGTATGCGGACGAGATCACGGCCAAAAATCAAGCGCCAATAATTCGAATTAAAAAATTGTGGGAAAAGGAAACTTTGTGGTTCCACTGACCATTAACATTATTCTACTATTTAACCTTACTTTTTCATATTTGAAATTAGAGGATCGGATGACACAAGAAGGTTGTTGAAAACGTAATCTGGAATTGAATTCCTTGTACCTTCTAAATATCTAAGAATGGGAGGTTGTTATTAGTTTCTATTTCAATTTTAAAACGTATGTTAGGGTGTTAGGGTATGTTAGACTAACTTCACAATTTACAAAGCAACACTAAGAATAATTACATTTTTCTTAATTCTAAAGAGTAAGTAAAAATATTTTTAAACCCATGATTTTTGGCCGGGATTTAGAGTGAGGATCGAGCGCGTCATACTTACCGGCAGTTTCCACATGTCGTCGATCCTCTGCTGGGGCGTACGACCCCGTTTGTTCCTCAACAGCACGTAGATCTTCTCGACGCCTCTGCACGTGTAGAGCAGCTTCTCGAGCATCACCTTTCCCATGAAGCCGCTGCCGCCGCTGAGGAAGACGCTTTTGCCGCGGAACCACTCCGCCACCTCGCTCGTCTCTTCGCTCATGGTCCCTTCTTTTTTTATATCCGGAGTGTGCCGTTACAACGTCTGGTTTGGTTTAACTGAAGCGGGACAGAAAAAAAAATTAACACTAAAGATTGATGATGACTACGGTGCGTCTGCGCGATGTAGGTATCATGTCCAGTGCAGGGAATCCAGCATATATTGCGTAAGCCCTACACAACCAACGCCCGAGGGGATATACGCATCGAGGTAGGGTTAGGTAATAAATGTCTACCCCGATGGTGCGATCGGTAAAAAAGGATCGCTATCTTTCAAAGTTAACATTATGGTTAAGATGTCCAGTGTACTGCAGACGGCGCTGGTATCACTCTAGCCGCAAATGAAATTATTAGGCAGTTCTTGTACTTCATAGACCAACGTAGTACCAGAACATCAGAATTATCACTAGAATGTCACAGTGTTCTCGTTTATGCGTCAGTCGACAATGCGGTCATCCTTATTTGGATTAAAGGTCATACAGCACTAGAACTCTCTGTCCGATAAGGCAAAAGAATCAGGAATAATTTCTAAAACAATGGCGTGGGCTAGCTAGGAAGCTATTGAGGGTGGGCGGGCAGCCCTGCTTGGCGAATCATATCATCGCCTATATGGCCACTGGGCTTGATATAAAGCTGAGTGTCCAGCACAATGGGCTTGCTGAGCGCTAAGTGCCGTGTGCGCACAACACTAAAGAAATTGATGACAATGACAATCATCCGCTTTATTTCTGGCACGAAGACCGACGAAAGATATTTCGAAATAAGGGTGATCTGTTTTAACTGTGATTTTTTATGTCTTGTACTGTTTCTTTTCACTGGTAATTAATTAATAATGAAATTTTTGTATTAATTAGATGATTAAGAACATATTTCATTATATATTTTATATAACATAATTTGTCAATCAGATAGAAGCTACCTTATATCAGCTAAATATCAGTACTGTGTCATGTCCATTTCTAAGATGTCTCGATGAATTCTTATTTTTTTTGCCACAATAAATGATCTAAACTCGGAAAGTGTCATTGTACCACGTCAGATTCATATTCCACGGATGCGACCCATTTCGGGCATTTTCGGGATATTACCGCATGCTTCACTGATTGTTTTCATGTTGTTTTGCAAAAATGTACCCAAAAACTAACGGTGGTAGAAAAAGTATAGTACGCAACACGTATGGTAAACTTTTTAAGTCACTCGCTCCGCTCTTGCCAAATAAACTCTTGACTCAAATTTCATTTACCATACATGTTGCATAATATACTGTTATCGCTTTCGATGTTCGATAAAAGAAACGTGGGTATTCCATTTAAAACAAACAGATATTATGTAATAATTCATTCATCTTATTTTCTTACACATTTATGAGGCATCCTGTATACACCAGAATAACTTAAGGTTGTGTGTTTCAAGCACCTTTGCAACTTTCTATGTTAATATTTTTTTCGATTCCCCACGGTTTAAGAGATATAAACCGCCAACGCACTATTGCATATCTTACCCAGTCAATTATGTCATTTAGTAATTAATATATTTTAATATTCGAATCGTTAATCGATTGCATCAAGTACGCTTATTTAGCGACCTCTCGGTTTGTTTTGAGATCTGGGCGCCCTCGATCGACGATCTTTGACACGGACAATTATATATAAATTAATATCCCGTAACCGGGCTTTCACCCCGTAGGTATACTGTATCTCAAACTATATCGTCTTGGCTTTTGACGGAAATTATTGAAATAACCTGCGCAACACTTGACCAGCCGGTACTGTAGGACGGAGCGGACTTTTGAATATAAAAATATTACATATTATACTAATTAGTAGTACATACGATGACACTAAATATAAACAAATTATCTGTCATTACCTATTATTATTGATATTGATGTCGATGATAAATTATAATACTTAATTAAGTCGTCATTAAGATTAATAGCAATGGGCTCTATGTTAATTTTTATGCAAAGTAACATCGTTCAATTTTTAAATAGTGCTTTCATTTTGTGTCACTTGGTGCCACAAATATTCTATGGGGTTGAATATACATTTAATGAATTGAGGACGACGTAACACAGTATGTCTCGTCTATGGAGCTAAACTATCACATACATGTTGTTTAATAGGATTATGAACTTAATACTTCCAAAAGTTGCCCTTTCTTGTAATAGGATTAAAAATAAATATCACTTTGTTACAAATATGTATTCATGAATTTCAGTTTTTATACTTTACGAATTTGGTGGTTTTTGTAACAGCCGAGTGTGGTAGTTTTGGTTAGTTTGAAACTACTTTTCAAAAATGTTTGCACTTGTACCTTCGTGCAACCCAACTTTTTTCAATTTTTTTTTTTGATCTTCTTCTAGCTTTCTTTTCAGTTTAATGTTTTCCTTCTTATGACATCTTTGAAATTGAAAATCACTACTGAAATAAGCAACGCATTTCCAGCTTGAAGGCGATTGTGTGCGTATGTGTGTGTGTTAAAAGCTACACTTTCCAGTAGCTATATTCATACTACAGAAAATCAAAATTATCCAAAATTAAAAATTCCAAACTCTAGAGCTTCCTCGGTTACCCTTAGGCAATCCAATAATGAAAAAATGTAAAGTTCATCTATTGATGCATCATTCAAAATGTCATGGGCTTATCTGAGAAGAAAATTATATTAGTAAAGCTGCATCCAGACTGTTTCGCATATTGGAGCTCGTGCAACAATATCCCTTATCTAAGGTGTTGGCATTTTTGTATATAGGAAGCTTTCTCCTCACTAAACTCGAGGTCTCGGTAAAAACAGGTCCTAGGGGACCGCCACTGGTACAGAACGAAACAGCGTTGAAAAAACAAGATTGCGTTCGAAAAATCGTCGCTGGACGAGGCAAGCAGCTTTCTATTTCAAAAAGAAGTCGCTTCCATGAAAACGGCAATTTTGAACTTAATATAATCGACACATCCGGTACATAATTGAAAAAATTCCGGAAATGGAGTTTATAGCGCTGGATACTTGGTGAAATTTGATTGCCCCCCATTCCTACTTCTTAAATGTGGGTAAGGACTTTTATTTCTCTGCTAAATTTCAAGTCGATATTTGCAAGTTTAGAACACTTAACGCATTTCCTATATAGGACGGAATATTGGGAACACACTCTACAATAGGTGAATACCTTGAATACAGAAGAAACTAACATCTGAGACACAGTCCTTTAGTTAAATTCAGTTTTCAATACTAAGTTCGGTTTTTTTGAATGTGCAATACAATAAAAGTTTATAGAGCTTACGTCTTTCCGTCCAAGAATTTTTCCGGTTGCGCAAAATGTTTTCAAGAAATATTTTTTTTCAAAGAACCTTGCAAACGCGATTTTTTATACTTTTAAAATACTCTCCGACCCCCCAGCCTCCCAATTTCAAAAGGTTTCGTCAGGGAACCAAACACTAATTGCTTGCAAAATTTCAAGTTGACAACTTCTAAATTTGAACTTATCGTGTTTCATAGGAATGTCCAAAAAACAGTTGAAAATCGAAGCCTGACCTCAGCCATTTTTACATATCTTATGCACTCTGCGGACTGTTAAAAAGAAGCAAAATTTGAAGCGTGTAGCTCAAACCGTTCGGAAGTTTTAGCAGAACAATCCTAGAACAGAGAACGGAGATGGGAGAACGGAGGACGGACACAAAACATCGAAACAAAAAACGAACGTTTTTTGTTTCGATGCTGATTCCATACTGTACGATGCACCGTTGTCGAGATCTCCAGTTTAGTGAGAAGCGCGTATAGTTTCGAAAAGGATCGATTTCATCGGTTTTTCGAAAGAAAATTTTTTTTGTCTGTCCGTTCTCCGTTCTCCGTTCTGTGTTCCCGAACTTTTCCAACAATAACTTCTGAACGGTTTAAACTAGACTGTTGAAATTTTGCTCCTTTTTACTAGTGCACGGAATACACAAGATATCTAAAAATGGCAGCAATGAAACCTCGGCGGCCATCTTTTTTTTTAATTTTCCACTGTCTTCTGGACATCGCTATGAAACACGAGAAGTGTTCAAAAATTTATATTTTGCGTACATATAGAGTTTAGCTTCCTAACGGAACCAATTGAAATTTGGGAGACTGGAGGGACGGGAAGTATTTTTAATAAATTAAAAATCGCGTTTGCAGGGGTCCAAGAACAAAAGCATTTCTGGAAATCCGTTTACACAACTGAAAAAATTCTTGAGCGGCAAGACGCAGAAGATTCCGCTCGGTAAAATCTTATTCTTGATAATTTTTCAAAAAAACTGAAAAATGGGTCCCCCTATTAATGACAATTGGCTATAACAATAATAATGTGTTTAAGATGTTTGCTTCTTTTACATGACGATATAACTGGCACAAACAGCTAAAACTTTTATATTTAAGATTTTCACCTGTTTACATGGTGTTCAAGATATAAAGTGCTATATTGAAAAATTAACAGCTATCTTAAATTTACGGCTATCAACTTCAGATTGGGCAGAAAGATAGAAGTTCACACCTTTTTTCCAACTGTTGAAACAGTAACGTTAATCTCGCGAAATATTTTCCAAAACAATTTTGAAATTTTTTTTGGGATATTTTGGCTTACAGAAAAAAATATTTTCTCGAAAACTATTAATCCGGTCGACAAAATTTGATATACGGGAGATCCGGAACCATTACTTTTATTTGAGACATTTTTTGAATTATATACATCGGTTTTCAATTATAGACAAAAAGTCTAAAAGATGCTGAAAATTGGTGTCTAAGGCATTAAATTATTAGCCGAAAATCAAAAATCCAAATAAAAATCACCATTTCTCACCCTCAATCTAGACGCGATGACGCCACTTACTTAAACTAAAACAAGTCTTTTTTGAAAACTATTTTCTCTATTGGAAAAATTCATATACCAGAAAACTTGAGCAAACTTCTGTGTTGTTTATATTCAAAAAATCTGAAAGATCCAAAAAATTTCCGTTTTTGTGGGTAAATTACTGGCGATAAATGGAAAACTGTAAAATATCTCTATCGTCTATCATACAGGGTGCGATAGATATTTGAAAAAATATCAT